AATTGACTCCAACACTTTGAGAGTCCCTAAATCTCCAATATTATTTGGAAGCTTCTCTATGTAGTTTCTGCTCAGATCTAGTTCATCAACATTTCCCATTTCTAGGATACATTTTGGAAAAACAACAATTCCCATTTTGGCCAGAGTGAGCTTGCGTCGGCCCTCTGTTGTAGTTGTTATTGCCTTTTTGGCCATTTTCAGAGTCACTGTAGTGTCGTCGATACAACACCGAGCTAAACCACTGAAGAGAACCGGAACCACAGGGGACGTTTAGTTGTTTTTAATTTCCTCTCCAGATGATGAAAACTGTAAAGTATACAAATGTTCTCATAAAACTGAGCGATAGACATCAAAACAAATCAATCAATCAATCAATCAAATTTTATTTATAAAGCGCTTTTCATACAAAAGATGCAACACAAAGTGCTTTACAGTTTGGTTAAAAACAATCCCGCCGACCCAAGACCCCTCCCCCAGACCACCCAACAGACCCACCCCAAACCCCAGACAAACACACACACGTGCTCATGAACACTCATACACACACACACACACACACACACACACACACACACACACACACACACTCACACACCAGTAAAACCATAAAACCATGATGAGAGACTTGGCAGGGTTCAGATGCAACCAGCTGAAAAAGCGTCATCCAAGGAGCCGTCTGCACAAGGAGCAGAGAGCCGCCCGTAGCCACAGGGGACGACACAGGACCCAGAAGAGACATGAAACCGAGGCCCCAGGCCCAAGAGTCCGACCCCCGCAGCCACACCGACCACTGCTCCCAGTGCAGAGGGCTCCTCCAGAGGAAACACTGGGTACACTAAAAACAATACAATAAGTAAAACACTAAAATGTGAGACTAAAAGGAACACACAATACATGAATAATAGCAATAGCAATATAATAAATAAAATATAAATAGAATGGAATAATAAAAACTAATCTAAAGCTAATCTAAAAAAGTGTGTCTTGAGCCTACTTTTAAAAATATGAATGTTCTCTGCGGCCCTGAGCTCCTCCGGCAGACTGTTCCAGAGTCGGGGGCCGTAGTGCTAGAAAGATGCCTCGCCGTGAGTGTGTGTCCTGACTTTGGGGATGGTTTGGAGTCTGCTGCCGGAGGAGCGCAGTGTGCAGTGTGCAAATGTGCAAACATCCGTGTACAAAAGGTCCGAATAAACTCAAAACTATGGCTAAATGGCTCACAAATATAAGTACTAAGATGACAGAACACACATAAACAAACTTACGGCATTGCCTTGTTAGAGCTTCAATGCAGATGAAGACAGATTGTGAATGACACCATGCCGATACTAGAATGCAACCATGGATCTATTAGAATAACTGGATAGGGTATTACTAGCTTGGAGCTGAAGAACTCATGTGCTCGGGGGATTCTCGCGATACTGCAGACTAGACCAGACGAAATTCACGTAGGCTACCCAGACATTTTCCCCATAGAACTCAATGTAAATTAAAACAGCACGACCTCAGCTGACAGAGAACCTACAGCTTTCATAAAGGTCAGATTTTGTGGGGATTTTAGTGTCCCTTGTCATCCTGAACTTTTTTTCTTCTTAAATCCTTCGGTTTTCTTTAAATCCACACTTTAGTGCCACAAAATCTGCTCGTCCGGCTCTTGCTCTAACTGCCGCTCTGATGAACTGCTCTGATTGGTCAGAGCGCGGCTGAGCCCCTCTGTGCAAGTGCGTGAGACCCGGTGTGAGACCTACACACACGTATTTGGAGCAACGCATTATGGGAGATCATCCACTGTGCAGAACCAGGAGGACCAGACAATGCCCAAATACAGGCGAGTTTCCCATAGATCTTTGCAAGTTCCAGGCGACTTCCGCTAATCTTTCAGCCCCCATGCCATCACAAAGCGCCACTGAGCACAACCATTCATTTGAAGAGGGCGCCATCTTGGATCGCCGGGGCTTGAATGCAACGGAGATCTGACTTCTGACCCGAAACCGGAAGTCAAGCGCCAAAACCGAAAGTACCTATAAATCGCTATATTTTTTATCCAAGACACAAATAATCATGAAATATTTATGCAAATTACTTACAACAAATAACGTTACCGTTTTTAGCTTTTTAAACCTATCAATTAACATAAAATGTATTAACTTATTTATTAAAGAAAAACAATTGCCTTAACGGCAAACACAGCAACAGTATGGCATAGAGCAGGGGTGGCCAACCAGTCAGAGACTAAGAGCCAATTTTTTTTACTGTGTTACAGCAAAGAGCCACATCATACAAATGTGCACTACATAAACATCACCCCAACCCTTACACGCACACGCGCACGTACGCACTCGAGCAGACACGCGCAGACACATGCAATCTGTCTGAGCAGAGAGAGGTGTGCTCTGCTCAGATAGATGTATTGTAAATGTCATCAACATGATAATGACAGAAATTGACTCGTACAGTACTAAAGGGCTGGACTCGACTCTCCCCGGTTTGCGGGCGCTTCCACCGCTCGCTTCAACCGCTCCCCGGTACTTTTTATTAATGGTTTGGCCCTGGTTCTAACCGGGCGAGTCGATACCAGAACAATTTCACGTCAGCGAACATCAATTATGATTCCGAAATGAATGCTTTCAATCTCTAACCAAGAAAAAAAAATCAAGTTTCAACCCAGTGTTCAGCAGAAACACAACTGTCTTTAGTAAAAGATATAGATTTGACACATAACACCAACACCACTTTAGCTGATTTAGAACCACAGACACATGCTCAGTATAAGACCAGATACTTTTGCATTTGATTGAAGACAGACACTCACCAGGCAGAGTTGGCTTATCTCCTGGTGTAATGCTAGTTGTTGTTAGCTGGTTTTAGCATGTTAGCCGGTGTTAGCCGATGTCCGTAAATGTAATTCATTTGGTCAAACCACCTCCAGACTTTTCGGGTCTGCCTCTACTTCTGCTGCTGCGATCTTTCATTTCACGGTTGTCACTTTTAAGCTTTTTAACTTTTCTCTGCATTGTCATGTTTGTGGGAATCATTCTGCTCCGTCCTTAGTGCTAGCTCCACAAACACCTTCTGGTTTCTGGTGGAACCAGCGAGACCAGGCTGGTGTCCTCTCCTCAAACTGAGGAAGGTGTTGCCCTCATCCAGCGACCAAGGAATTGTTTTCCGTACGGACGTCATGGTTCGAGGCAACGTGTTGTTTGTTATGATATTTGCTACAGCTGAGGTAGCAGCTGCAGAGTGATTGACAGCGCATCTGACCAACCAGAATTGACGTTCGCCGACGTCAGATTGTTTTGGTGGCCTGGCTAGTGGAGTGAAGTCGGCCTTTACTATTGGTCAGAACTACATATGGAATGAAAGGCAGCGCCACCACCGAGGCGTTTTTGACGCTTGTCGAGTGAAAGCCCGAGAGCCGCACGGAACCAGCCAAAGAGCCGCATGCGGCTCACGAGCCGCGGGTTGGCCACCCCTGGCATAGAGGGTTAACAATAAACTGGACTGGTCCCATAACACCAACACCCTGTACAAGAAGGGCCAAAGTCGCCTCCACCTTCTGAGGAGGCTGAGGTCCTTCGGAGTGAGCAGGCCTCTGCTCAGGACATTTTATGACTCTGTGGTAGCTTCTGCTATACATCACACAGAGCGGGACAGGAGTAGACTGAACAAGCTGGTCAGGAGGGCCAGCTCCACTCTGGGCTGCCCCCTGGACTCTGTGGAGGAGGTGAGGGACAGGAGGCCCCTAGACTCTGTGGAGGAGGTGAGGGACAGGAGGCCCCTGGACTCTGTGGAGGAGGTGAGGGACAGGAGGCCCCTGGACTCTGTGGAGGAGGTGAGGGACAGGAGGTCCCTGGACTCTGTGGAGGAGGTGAGGGAAAGGAGGCCCCTGGACTCTGTGGAGGAGGTGAGGGACAGGAGGCCCCTGGACTCTGTGGAGGAGGTGAGGGAAAGGAGGCCCCTGGACTCTGTGGAGGAGGTGAGGGACAGGAGGCCCCTGGACTCTGGAGGAGGTGAGGGACAGGAAGGTGCTAGTCAAAGTAAACACCTCCCTTCAGTGGAAGACTGAGGCACCCTCAGTGTAAGAAGGAGCGCTACCGCAGGGCCTTTATCCCCACCGCTGTCAGACTGTACAATAAGTCACTAATGACCTGCACTAGGACTGAAACCCCAGCACTGCTATAGCCACTTTAATTGTACATAATGTATCCAGCACTGACTATATTTTAAACTTTTTGTAACCTTCTATCTATGCCAAATGTGACCTATACATTTCTCTATTGTGAGATGTAGTTTATCTTATCTAAGGCCTTTCAAAATATCCCAAAAGGCAGAGATGTCGGACACAAGAGAACCATTCAACTGGAGAAACTATCTATCTAAAGCATCATGGTTGACAACACAGCAGGTGGAATTGACATACTGTAATTAAGTTCATCCCTGCAATAAAAAATAATAGAAACTTTGCCTTACCACACCTACACTAATAAAAGTAGCGCCAAAAGTCAATGGGCCAGCCTCACCTGCCTGCATTCCCAACCTGCTATTGCCAGTATTGTAACATATGTAATCCATTTCACATTGATTGTGTTGACGTTTCCTGTGGTTTTATTTGTTTTTATGTTTTTATGCTCTGTGCTGCTCAGACAAATTGCCCCTGGTGGGATGAGGACAGTATTCTGAATCTGAATCTGAATCAGTTGATAAGTCCAGTCCTGAGTTTAAGGACTAACATAAATCAATGCAATCAATCAAAAACCAAACACACACCACATTTTTTGAGACTTTTCGTTACAAATTGCTCCACAAAATACTCAGAGATTTTGAATGCGATGCACTGTCTCCTGGAGCCAGTGGAAAAGCTGGTCAAACAGGTCCGTCAATAAAAATCTCGGCAGGAACACGGCGGCGGTAAACACCCCCTGTGTTGCCGACAGAGAACGCAGATATCAGCGAGACAGCACACACCTCACGTCAGAACTCACGATCGATTTGGATTCGGAAAGATGGGCGACCAGGTAAGAGAGCGATCACATGAGGAGGATGTGACTGAGACCAGGCAAAAATACAAGTAAACTAGAATATTGTTTGGACTTTTTTTCTTGATGATTTTGGCTCACGATTCCAAAAATATTCAAATTCTTTGTCTTTTATTTGGGGGTTTTACAAGCTGTGAGCCATAATTATCGACATTTCATTTGATTATTCATAATAATAAGGATTGCAACAGATAAGGTATCAATGAAAACAAATTAGCATTTTCTCCAAGTCCTGCCAAGAATAACGACGTGAAATTCCAATATCTTTTAAACTACCTCCAGGCTACAAGCGGGAGAGATAGAATGTTGAATGCCATTGTTATAATTCCTATTTTTATCATTATTATTTATGACTCTTTATTATTAGGACACCAAATATTTGAATATATATATATAAATCATACACATGTGAATGGGGATATTAGCGTATCATTTGACATTTATAGTGAAGGTATTACATGACGGACGAATTACATGTGAGATGTATTAAGCCTTTATTTGGGATTATGTTGATTCTCTGATCTGTTCTTGAGGAATCGACAACTTTGTGAAGTCTTCCGAGACGACTGCTGCTGTGATATTGGATTGAATTGAATTGAACTGATTTATGGCTGACAAGATGAATCACAGCTTGGAAAAATCGTATAAGTTTGAAAATGGATTGTAAGCCATAATCATACGTTTTAAAACATACAACGAATATAATTATGTCACTTTGCATGTAGAGCCTAGGAAAGAGTCAGGGCAAGTTTTTTTGTATAGCACGGTTTATACACAGGGCAACTCAAAGTGCTTAACAAACAAGATCAAAACAATCGCACAGGCATTAAAATCATGAATAATCACAGTGAATTAAAGTAAAAATGCAATTTATCAGTTTTATGCACAGCTAAAATTTAATCTGGATTTGAACATTGTCAGAGAGCAGAAGCCTCTCTCACGTTTTCTGGAAGATTGTGTATCAGTTATTTTTAGACTTTGGCTTTTAAAACTGCGTGAGTTTTATGGTCCTTTTATTTGATTTTGTTTTACTGTTATTTTATTGTTTTACATATACATATATGCACACCCGGTTTTTCCTATTTTTCATTAATAAGTGATTTATGGTTTACATTTGTTTAATCAGTCTTTTATTGTGGAGCACTTTGGAATCTGTGTTTATGAAATGTGCAATATAAAAAAAGTGGATTGGACTGGATATGTTGTTTCACATTTTAGGTTGAATTATTGAAACGAATTGACTTTTGAACGATATTCTAATGATCCGAGTTCCACCTGTACCATACATACCTAATATAAAATACTGTCATGCATAAGGAAAATAAATATGTAACAAATATATATATAAAAACGATCATTAATGCAGTGGTTTAAAACATTTTAGACACTTTTGACTGAAGTGAAAAACGTTTTTGTCTTTAATATGGGAAAGCACTGCATTGTATTCTTTAAATATAACATCTGACGAGGCTGAGGCAGTTGGTCATAATAAGGAATGCTGTGATTGGTTCGTCGCGTATTGACATAAAACTGGTCATGACCTTTATTTGGTAAAAAGGTGAACAAAATGAATAGTGTGATTGTTATTTCATGAATGGTGCTTTGTGCAGAGTCCTCGCCTCAGAAGCAAACACTGCAAATATGTGATCACTTATATATGTCCGTTTGTTACTCGTCAGAGCGGATTACAAAAGTCTGACGAATGGTTGTTTATGGTGTGTTACGGTGTTCCCAGAGGCCGACGGAGATGGACAGAGAGGACAGAGGGAGGAGGCCGAGTGAAGACATCGCAGAAGAGCAGTTCCTCAAAGACCTGTACATTTTTATGTCGAAGCGAGACACTCCAATAGAGAGGCTGCCGCACCTGGGCTTCAAGCAACGTAAAGCACCTGGAGATTTACATTTAACATAACTATAACAGAATAACATTTGTACATCATAACAGTAAATACAATTCAATCTTTTATTGCACTATATCGAAAAAGATATAATTAAGATTGAGTCAAACAGTTTGAACACAGAAAATGCAATAATATTATGAGTCACATTTATTCTTATACTTTTACTTACTGTAATATTAATTAATTTAGCAAAACTTCAATACTCTATACTAGGCATGGAAAACTTTTCCTCCAGAGGCCCACATTGGTCCATTGAAGCAGCTGTCATGGGCCAGACCTAATTTTCTAGCTTTTTCTCAGGCTTAATTGTTCGCACATAAATAGATGAAATATGATATTAAATATGTTACATCGCACCAGAGCGAGGAGCTCGACTGCAGCTCCAGATCTCTACACGCAGCACAAAGTGTAAAGGTAACTCTATTTAAACTTTATCTTTATAAACTGAAGAGGGATCATGGGCTTGATAGAAAGGTCTAGACCAACGCTCTTTAGGGCTAGGGCGGGGGACCATCTGGCCCATGGGCCGGGGATGCCCACCACTACCCTCTGCCCACTCATGCCTTTCAGCATCAAGCATGTTTACCAATTTAAACTTCAATGTATCAATCATTTTAGCACATTTGAAGAATTAACCACTAAATTAGAAATATTTCATTAATTTTCTTCTTTTTTTTCTTTTCTGACAGTGGATCTGTATCTGATGTACAAGACGGCAAAAGAGATGGGCGGCTATCACCAGGTAAGGCTTCTTTCATGGCTGTGAAAGTGTTTTAGTATAGTTTAGTTTATTTAAGCTGCTGACATTCTTATTGGGACAACTTCACAATATTACCTTCAATTCAATATATTTTTGTGTGTCACTGACTTTTCACAGTTTCGAGAAAAACAGATCAGAGAATCAAACTGATTGAACACATGAAAAGCAATCATAACAAACATATACAGTAGGAGCCATTAATGGTAATAAACGTACATACATTTCCTTGACTGTCCCGGATCATCACTGTCCTTAGCCCATCTTTTATCGACTAGGAAGGACAAAAAAACAAACAAAAAAGGTTTAAGCTCAAAAGCAACAGGCTGAGGCAACAAAGCTTGTGAGCACCACTCCTCTTGCATGTACTATTACTCGTGCAGGAATACATCATATGCTTTGTGTGTAGATTTTAGTTTCTTTGGTATTAGATAAAGCTTATTTCTTTCTGGAGACTCCTCTGTGAAATTGTTTGTCTGTGTACACAACTATCTTTACTAAACAAAAATTATTTGCCACAATGCAACACTCACAAGAGTACATTTTTCTCTTTTTACCAATGTATGTGCTAATATGTGGTAAGCAGATATAGCTGCTTTAAAAAGACTCATACTAACTTTATTTACAATCGTCACTTTACCTCTGGACAGATCAATAACTTGGACTGTTAAACGTCTATTGTGTGTACTTGTATATTACAGATTTGTTATGTATGCTTTTATATCTATTCTTCACTTGTTTATCACTTCTGCACCTCGAGCCAAAGCAAATTCCTAGTTTGTGACTTCCTGTTACGTACAATGGCGATAAAATTTATTCTGACTGCGTTATTATACAGAAGCTATTCCTAATCGTGCATATAAAAGACGAGGTCGCATGGTTCTTATGTACACGGTTGTGTAGCAATGGCGATGACAAGATAACAAGTAGAATCACAACGCTAAAGCTGTTGTTACTCATTGCTTACATTTATTTATAACAAGATGAGACGTTGGTACCGGGCCAGTAATTGTAATTTGCCTATTACAGTATTATACCTGTCTGTGCATAACTCTGGAGTAGTGATTGCTGCAAGTGTTACACCCAATTTTAGTTCAATTCCATTTATTTTTATTTAGATCATACTCAAGTAAGTAAGTAAGTAAGTAAGCTTTATTTATATACCGCCTTTCACAGACCAGAGTCACAAAGCGGTTTACAATTGTTATTTTTTGGGCACTTGTCTCTCACTCCACACAGAGATGGGAGCGGGGTCGCCGAACAGGAGGCGCATGCCAGACCTATTGTACATATTTTTAGTGGTAGGGGAAACCGGAGAACCCGGAGGAAACCTACGCAGACATGGGGAGAACATGCAAACTCCACTCAGAAAGGCCCTGGTCCGGCCGGGATTTGAACCCAAATCCCGGCACTCTCGCCTCTTGCTGAGAGGCGAGAGTGCTATCCACTCAGCCACCGTCCTCAAGACAGGATCACCCCATGACCCTCAGGGATTACATTATGTGGAATATGTCTTGATAATGATTCATATTTTAACTGTGTGTAAGCTAACAGCAGTCTTTAAACTATTCCTCAGGGTCACACCTTTTTAAGTAATATCACTTGAGGTCAGTCTGAGCACAATGTAGCTTGAAGTTATACAATCCTTAAATGTGTTGTTTTCCTTCTCAATAAGGGAACAGTTTTTGGCATATTACAAGGATGTTTGTTGTTTCAAGCGTTATGCAAGATTGGCAATGAATTTAGTCCAACGAGATCTTGAAGTTTGCGGTAAGTATTTATAAACTGCCGCTAGTTTGGAATGTACGATAGGATAAGAAGCTTTATTCTTTACTTGACATGTCACATTTGGATCACTCAGAGTGTGCAAAACAACAGGAATTGTGCCATAGAGGTACTTTATGTACAATCAAAAATACAACTATAATTAAAAAGTGACTATAGCAGTGCAGGTTTTCAGTCCTAGTGCAGTCAGTGTGGATGAAGGCCCTGATTTGTGGTTTCCATCAGAGAGATTGTATTCTTTCTATATTAGTATTGTCATTTACAAAACATAACAGTGTGTGTTGTTGTGTTGACAGTGTGTGTTGTTGTTGTTGTGCTGACAGTGTGTGTTGTTATGTTGACAGTGCGTGTTGTTGTGTGGCAGGTGACGGCGCAGCAGCTGTGGAAGCAGGTGTATAACGCTCTGGGAGGGAACCCCCGCAGCACCAGTGCAGCCACCTGCACCCGGCGACACTACGAGAAGTATGTGTGTGTATGTGTGTGACAGTATGTGTGTATGTGTGTGACAGTATGTGTGTGACAGCATGTGTGTGTATGTGTGTGTCAGTATGTGTGTGACAGCATGTGTGTGTATGTGTGTCAGTATTTGAGTGACAGTATGTGTGTGTGACAGTATGTGTGTGACAGCATGTGTGTGACAGCATGTGTGTGTATGTGTGTGTCAGTATGTGTGTGACAGTATGTGTGTATGTGTGTGACAGCATGTGTGTGACTCTATGTGTGTGACAGCATGTGTGTGACAGTATGTGTGTATGTGTGTGACAGCATGTGTGTGACTCTATGTGTGTGACAGTATGTGTGTGACAGAATGTGTGTGACAGCATGTGTGTGACAGTATGTGCGTGACAGTATGTGCGTGACAATATGTGTGTGACAGTATGTGCGTGACAGTATGTGCGTGACAGTATGTGTGTGACAGTATGTGTGTGTCAGTATGTGCGTGACAGCATGTGTGTGACAGTATGTGCGTGATAGCATGTGCGTGACAGTATGTGTGTGTCAGTATGTGCGTGACAGCATGTGTGTGACAGTATGTGCGTGACAGCATTTGTGTGTGTATGTGTGTGACAGTATGTGTGTGACAGCATGTGTGTGACAGTATGTGTGTGACAGTATGTGTGTGACAGTATGTGCGTGTCAGTATGTGTGTGACAGCATGTGTGTGACAGTATGTGTGTGACAGCATGTATGTGTCAGTATGTGTGTGTGTGACAGCATGTGTGTAACAGTATGTGACAGTATGTGTGTGTGACAGCATGTGTGTGACAGTATGTGACAGTATGTGTGTGTGACAGCATGTGTGTGACAGTATGTGTGTGACAGCATGTATGTGTCAGTATGTGTGTGTGTGACAGCATGTGTGTAACAGTATGTGACAGTATGTGTGTGTGACAGCATGTGTGTGACAGTATGTGTGTGACAGCATGTATGTGTCAGTATGTGTGTGTGTGACAGTATGTGTGTAACAGTATGTGACAGTATGTGTGTGTGACAGCATGTGTGTGACAGTATGTGACAGTATGTGTGTGTGACAGCATGTGTGTGACAGTATGTGTGTGACAGCATGTATGTGTCAGTATGTGTGTGTGTGACAGTATGTGTGTAACAGTATGTGCGTGACAGCATGTGCGTGACAGCATGTGCGTGACAGCATGTGTGTGACAATATGTGTGTGACAGTATGTGTGTGACAGTATGTGTGTGTCAGTATGTGCGTGACAGTATGTGTGTGTCAGTATGTGCGTGACAGCATGTGTGTGACAGTATGTGCGTGACAGCATTTGTGTGTGTATGTGTGTGACAGTATGTGTGTGACAGCATGTGTGTGACAGTATGTGTGTGACAGTATGTGTGTGACAGTATGTGCGTGTCAGTATGTGTGTGACAGCATGTGTGTGACAGTATGTGTGTGACAGCATGTATGTGTCAGTATGTGTGTGTGTGACAGCATGTGTGTAACAGTATGTGACAGTATGTGTGTGTGACAGCATGTGTGTGACAGTATGTGACAGTATGTGTGTGTGACAGCATGTGTGTGACAGTATGTGTGTGACAGCATGTATGTGTCAGTATGTGTGTGTGTGACAGCATGTGTGTAACAGTATGTGACAGTATGTGTGTGTGACAGCATGTGTGTGACAGTATGTGTGTGACAGCATGTATGTGTCAGTATGTGTGTGTGTGACAGTATGTGTGTAACAGTATGTGACAGTATGTGTGTGTGACAGCATGTGTGTGACAGTATGTGACAGTATGTGTGTGTGACAGCATGTGTGTGACAGTATGTGTGTGACAGCATGTATGTGTCAGTATGTGTGTGTGTGACAGTATGTGTGTAACAGTATGTGCGTGACAGCATGTGCGTGACAGCATGTGCGTGACAGCATGTGTGTGACAATATGTGTGTGACAGTATGTGTGTGACAGTATGTGTGTGTCAGTATGTGCGTGACAGTATGTGTGTGTCAGTATGTGCGTGACAGCATGTGTGTGACAGTATGTGCGTGACAGCATTTGTGTGTGTATGTGTGTGACAGTATGTGTGTGACAGCATGTGTGTGACAGTATGTGTGTGACAGTATGTGTGTGACAGTATGTGCGTGTCAGTATGTGTGTGACAGCATGTGTGTGACAGTATGTGTGTGACAGCATGTATGTGTCAGTATGTGTGTGTGTGACAGCATGTGTGTAACAGTATGTGACAGTATGTGTGTGTGACAGCATGTGTGTGACAGTATGTGACAGTATGTGTGTGTGACAGCATGTGTGTGACAGTATGTGTGTGACAGCATGTATGTGTCAGTATGTGTGTGTGTGACAGCATGTGTGTAACAGTATGTGACAGTATGTGTGTGTGACAGCATGTGTGTGACAGTATGTGTGTGACAGCATGTATGTGTCAGTATGTGTGTGTGTGACAGTATGTGTGTAACAGTATGTGCGTGACAGCATGTGCGTGACAGCATGTGCGTGACAGCATGTGTGTGACAATATGTGTGTGACAGTATGTGTGTGACAGTATGTGTGTGTCAGTATGTGCGTGACAGTATGTGTGTGTCAGTATGTGCGTGACAGCATGTGTGTGACAGTATGTGCGTGACAGCATTTGTGTGTGTATGTGTGTGACAGTATGTGTGTGACAGCATGTGTGTGACAGTATGTGTGTGACAGTATGTGTGTGACAGTATGTGCGTGTCAGTATGTGTGTGACAGCATGTGTGTGACAGTATGTGTGTGACAGCATGTATGTGTCAGTATGTGTGTGTGTGACAGCATGTATGTGTCAGTATGTGTGTGTGTGACAGCATGTGTGTAACAGTATGTGACAGTATGTGTGTGTGACAGCATGTGTGTGACAGTATGTGACAGTATGTGTGTGTGACAGCATGTGTGTGACAGTATGTGTGTGACAGCATGTATGTGTCAGTATGTGTGTGTGTGACAGCATGTGTGTAACAGTATGTGACAGTATGTGTGTGTGACAGCATGTGTGTGACAGTATGTGACAGTATGTGTGTGTGACAGCATGTGTGTGACAGTATGTGTGTGACAGCATGTATGTGTCAGTATGTGTGTGTGTGACAGCATGTGTGTAACAGTATTTGACAGTATGTGTGTGTGACAGCATGTGTGTGACAGTATGTGACAGTATGTGTGTGTGACAGCATGTGTGTGACAGTATGTGTGTGTGACAGCATGTGTGTGACAGTATGTGTGTGACAGCATGTGTGTGACAGTAAGTGTGTGACAAACTGCTCGGCACACGCCCAGACGCACATTTCCTTCACACCTGTAATGTGTCATTTGTATGTTCAGATTACTGCTGCCGTACGAGTGCCACGTCAAAGGCCTGTGTCTGAGCGCCGTGCAGCAGCCGCGCCACTATCGCTACGTCACCTACAGGAAGATGGACGACGACGGGCCGCCGCTAAAACGCAGACCACCTCAGTATCCATTACAGGTAAAGACTTTCACTGACTTTTCTGTCTTGTTTTTATCTTGTTTCTATCTTATTTCTGTCTTGTTTTGTTAGCACTTTGAGTTGCCTTGTGTATGAACTGTCCTATACAAATAAACTTGCCTTGCCTTGCCACATTTTCTTTCAACAATAGTAGTAGTAATAGTTTATTTCCTCAGCCATTATGAACATTGGAGCTTAGGTCACATGTTTTCAGGTCTTATTAATTACAATCAGAAGAAAGAAAAAAAAATCATGTACATTAAGAATTTCAGTGCTAAATAATGATCTGACCGAAGGGGACCGAAGACTTACTGTAGACTAACATTTTGGGTTTCTATCTTGTTTCATTTAGCACTTTGAGTTGCATTGTGTATGATCTGAGCTATACAAAAAAAACTTGCCTTGCCACATTTTCTTTCAACTAAAGGCTCCCAGAACTAAAATAGTAGTCGCTGTTTATATCTTCTGTTATTATGAACATTAGATCTGAAAATAATCTGCATTTTAAAATTAAAAGAAAAACAATAATAAAAAACAATTGTGTATTCTAAGCATTTTAGTGCTAAATAATGCCTGACCGAAAGGGGTTTAGACTTACTGTATACTATATATTGTGTTTCTATTTTGTTTTGTTGCCTAAACTTGCCATTTTCTTTCAACTCAAGGCTCCCAGATTGTCAGCCATAGTGGTAGTAATAGTTTGAGTTGCCTTGGGTATGAATTGTTCTATATATGATGAAAATTAGGTCAAAAATGGCTCAACTTTTTGCAAAATGTATCTTTTTTTGAGAACATTTTGTCTACCTTAAAACTAGATCCGCCAATAGGACAGGCAAACTGTTTGAGTTGTGCATAACCTGACATTTCCCGACTGAGGGACCAACAAAGGTTCACTAATCTTATCTTACTTTTGAACCCTGTAAGGCAGCTCTAAGGAGTCTCTTGGCTAATTTTAGAATACTTACAGATATTTGCACTGCTTTGATTCTCAGCTGTCAGCCGGCTTCTTGCTGACGTGTCATTTACTTGTCAGTTACTTCCTGATGAGGCACATTTCAATGAGAACCTGAGCAGCAAAGGGTCAAAAGCAGATAACATGACCATACGTATAGGACTACATAAATGAGCTCCAGAATCTAGGACACAATGTTTCCCTCCCTTTTTTGTACATATTATTCTTTTATCCATTTCTTTTATTGGTTTAACTGGTCAACTGTCTCTTATGAAGATTCATTCAAGATTCAAGAATGTATTTGCCATTTGCAGTAAAACCACATTGGAATAACTGTGCAAGACTACCCCAGTGTGCACCAGAATTATTTTTTTATTTTTTTCCAAGATTAGAAAGTGTCAGGGCCCTACCTTTTGTCTGATTTACATGCACATTTCCGAATAACTCCTTCTAAAGCGCTAATAGAGCGTTCGTACCATCACAACCCAGCGACACACTTCATATCAGCTCAATGTGTTTGTAGTTTTTGCACAATAGTCCCTAAAAAAGAGGAAAGACAGTCTCTTCACTTGCTCTTATACTTGCTTATTTATTAAGGTAAAGATTTTTTTCTGTTTTATTCTTCTATGCTTAACTCACTACTCTTGTGTTGTGTGTTCCTTATTCCTACTGTTCTTTTACTTGTGATACAACACTGAAATGTCCCCACTGTGAGAAGAATACAGGATCTCTCAGAACTTAAAAACATGTACACACCCACACACACACACACACACACATACAGGGTGGGGTAATAAATATGAAAGATGTATAAATGAAAAGTATGAAATTTTGATAGCAATTTTGCGTTTCTGTTTTCTCCAGAATCCCTTGGGAGTGATGCCGGAGCATAACTCGGGCTATCTTCCTCTGAGCCCCAGCTATCACAAATTCTACTACCCTTCCTTTCCATATCCTCCCCTCCCCCAAGCACCGCTGCCACCCCCACAGCTCATTGCCCCACGACCTCCTCCTCCTCCTCCTCCTCCTCCACAACCACAACCACTACCACCACCTCCGAGTTACCCATCCCGCACCCCTCCTTTACCCAGCCCCATGGAATGCCCTCCTCCAATACCCATCTCCCCGGAATCCCAGGTCAACCCCCTGGAGCACCTCCGCTACCTGGCCAAGCAGTACGAGAACTCGGCCGGCTTTTCAGAACCTCTGGACTTGAGCAAGCCTTTGACCCGGGACGTCGTGACCAATCCCGTGTCTTCCTTTGCCCCGCCTCCGTCCCTTAAGAACCCAAAGTTTTTAAACAAACCTTCCCCTTTGTACACATCGCTAAATGCTGGTGCTAAAGGTGAAGGAGAAGATGCTACAGATGCTACAGATGCTAAGGATGCTACAAGCCCACAATCCTCAGCTGTGAGAATTGATGCACAAAATAAAGAAGTCACTGAGACACAGCTCACTCCCTTTATGAATAAGTTACCAACAGAAAACGGAAAAAGAATGGAAATCGAAATACCCCTTTCGGTTTTTAATAATTGGCTTCAGATGTACAACCCGCAAGCCGCATTGCAGGGCTCGAGGCAACCGCAAATTAATGAGGCAAACAGAAAAAGTACAAATCCAGAGACAATGGCAACCAACTTTACTTTTGCAATCAAGCAAGGAAAGTCAGGGGAGGGAAATTCACGGCTTCAACCGAGTCAGAATTGTACGAATGTGTCTAGTCCTCTCAGCCAGAGTCACGGCAACTATCTTAAGTCCACGTTTGGTATTCAGAAAAACGCATTGAGCAGGGAATTCAATCTATGTGGGGATGTCCGCGAGCCATGTAACGATAAGAGTCAGGGGTGGGATCTGACCAGCAGAGGTGGGCTGTCACTCTCGAGGCTAGTGACCCCGAATCCGACCAGTGCACCACAAGACCTCCGAGCATCCAGGCCCAAGGGGGGGCAGCAGTCCCAGCCCGAGCCAATTTCTGTGCTTCAACTGACCCCAGACGAAGTGATGAAACTCAAGAGGATTATCTCGAACTCTTCCTGTCACTAGTATTTAAAGGTGTACAGTCCATATTACATTGTATATATTCCTGTATATAACTTTTTAATATCAAATAATAAATAATGTTCATGAACAAAATGGAATAATGGCGTTTTATTTTGTGGATTGGGGACAGTGAATTTCTGAATTAAGAGAATTTTTCTTTTGTAATCTGCCGTGGTGAGCAATGGTTGAAAAGAAGCGGTTATATTGAGAAAAGTTCTTACATTTAATGTATGCATAAATACCACTGTATATAAATGGACAATATACTAACCCGCTTCAAGACAGCTTTAAAATGATCCATAACTGAGCCGGAGCCGGCCGACCGACAAACGTTTACTATCTCACCAGCTCACAATCAACGACTGAAGTCCAGACGCACTGGGCTTTAGAAAGAGCCACGACATAATGACTGAGCTGAAGTTGGATGGATGACACAGTGAACTTGTGTTTATTGTCTCAAAGACTACTTTGGGCCAGCAAGGCAGAGGGCCACGCAAAATGACACAGAGAGCTGCAATTGGCCCCCGGGCCTGAGTTTGGACATGGCTGTTACAAACCAGTATCCAGGTAATGTATTATCCAATTGTTTTTTTTTTCATACATACAGAAGAAAAAAAAATCAAATACGCTGTGCATGTTTAAGGATGATGTGAAATGTCCATCCCGTTCCGTCCCGTCATATTTTGAGTATTGTTCATATACTGAATGTTTTAAATGTTTTAAAGTGAATTGATCCTGTGTGGAGTGGACCCCAGGAAGACTAGCGACCACTTGTGGAAGCTAATAGGATTTAAATAAGTAAATAAATAAAATACATCCTCATTTTAGAAAATATTTCAGCCAATTACAACGGCAGGTTTCATAGAATCTCTGTATGTAGATCATAACATTGAAAAAAATGTAAGTAATAATTAATGTGAGTAATTGGGAGGTACATTTTTAAAAATATACAATTAATTAAATATCAGCACAAAAGATTAGGGAGGACGAGTCTGGAGATAATTGAGGGAGAGCCATAACACTTGAAGTATGTAACATTCAAGCACATGATTATTATCTATTATATCTATGATGACGATTTTACATAACAATATGTGTTCTGTAAAAACTAGGCTTGACTCACCGTCTGTACATAATGTAATGATTACATGCTACTGATTTTAAATTATTATGTTAAGTTATCTTGTAAAAAGAAACCAGATTTCCAACGCCAGGTTCAATTCAATTCAATGTCCTAAATCACAACATTATCTCAGAAGACTTTTTCAAAATGGATGAATTTGCCAACACAGAGCAGAGAATCAAACAGTTCAAATACAAGAAATGCAATGATAAAAAAAACACGTTGTTATTGTTCCAAAAGAGGCCGATGACCAATGTCCATAAATGTTGATAAATGTCCATAAATGTTGATAAATGTCCATAAAATTTGATAAATGTCCATAAATGTTGTTGAATGTTGAGTGTCCTGGATGTTGAGTCCAGGTGGATTACAAAAGTTAAGCCTTCTGTTAATGGTGAGTAAGATAATATGCACTTTAAATATATGCAATTAACAATCTTCATAAACCTGTTTAGCACAAGATTTTCCTCTGTCTCAGTCTCAGTATTATTATGTCCTCAGGCTGCTGTCGCTCAGGAGCCTCCAGAGGCTTAAGGCTGAAAGCCGGTTTAGTTTAGGTTTGACTTCTGCAGCTCATAAACGTTCATAAACAGAGTACAACATACTTGCAGTAGCCAGAGCCACTTCAAGTCTTTCACATCTTTTTCCAGTAATTTTTTTAGATTTTTTATAATACTTTTTGTAGTTATATTTATACATTTACTCTTTGTAATGTTTTGTATGACTCTTAGAGCTGCCCTTGTGTGCTCCCGCCCCCCTCTGCTCTGGCACCCATCCATACCCACCAGCGTCAGCACGCTCGCTCCTGGCTGCTGTCTCCTCTTGACTTTAGCTTTATGTTAGCTTCCTTCCTGCCTTATTTTTCTTTGACCTGGTGGCTTGTATCTGCGGGTGTAACTAGTAGGGTTTATGTTATTCTTTTGTTGTGGCGTTGGGATCGGATCCGGACGGCCCTGTTGTATAGGGTTGGTCTGGTGTCGCACCTTTTTGTTTATTTTGGCTCATCACAGGATTTGAATTATGACTTTGGATTTTTTGCTCCAGACAGTGTTTTTTTTCATCGTTTCAAAAAACAGTTCAAACTAAGAACTTCATTTTGTATTTTTTTCCTCAACTCTCCCTGTCTCTGTGTCCTCAAATATGTTCTTATCTTTGGGTTGTAAAAGTATGTTATAGATCTGTGTGTGTTCACACAAAATGTGTAACAAATGTGATGGTTTCTGTCAACATGAGAAAAAAAAATATGATTTGATATCAAGTTTAATTGGTTTAGTTTATGAAAGTAATCACTTTGTTTATAATCTGTGTGGAAATAAAGAATATATTAATCAAATGTGGACATATGAAAATATGTCACAAACTTCTGCGTAGCTCATTCCATCAAAGGATCACGTCCATTACATAAATAAACAGAGCCACTGCAGGAAATTTGACTAATGTATGAAAGAGTTACTTTCTAGCATCTACTAATGGAGTTACTAGAAGATATTTGGATAAATTAAAAATATGATATCTCTTCTGATTATTAAAATCTAATGTTTGGCCATTTGTCACATTCTGTACCCTCTAGTGTGAACAAGCCCATCTCTGGAGTCACCTCTCCTGGTCCAGTGGTTGCAGGCTTTCCAAAAATTCTAATTGCATGATTTTAAAGACATCACAAACGCTAATTAGCTATGTAGTATTTGGTAACAATGAAACGTTTTATTTAAATCAAAAAAGGAAGACATAAGAAAAAGGTAAAGGTACAAGGCAGTGTAAATATCACTTCCTGATAACAAAAACTTGTCTTGGTAACAGGTTTTTCATAAGCTGGAGAGGTAACTTAGGTAAAATAAGGAACCAAGTCTGAAAGCAGCATCGGTTGCACACAAACATTACATTTGTTTCTAAAAATATGTTAAACTCGACCAATCAAATCCCCAAAGTCTGATCACAGAACCTCGCACATCACAATACTAAAGTTAGATAATTTATGTTTTCATTATGCTACAGTTAGCTATTTTATATCTTCACTATGCTAAACTTAGAGCTTGTATTTCTTTATTATGCTAAAGTTATAGTTTTAATGGAGATGTTAGAGTTGCTTCTAGTTATGGATTTTATTTATTTTGAATAGAGAGTTATTGTTCACTTACTGTATCTTGTGTTGTGTGCTCCTCATTCCTAATGCTCTATAACCGGCGATGCAACACTGAAATTTCCCCACTCTGGGACAAATAAAGGATCTCTTCATCTTAACTTGTTGAATAAACGGTGTGGCTGTATACGCGCCTGTATTTTCAAAGGCCATATCCAGTTGCACTTCCAGGAGTCAGCGAGTGTAGCTGATTTACAGTACCGGTCATTCAGGGCTCGACTTTGATAAACCCGTCGAAATGAGTACTGTTTTAGAACGTATTTGTGTTCATCTGCTTTGTAAATGCACTGTCACTGAGCAAAGTCTTTTCTCGCTTCAAAATGCAAAGAACAAGCACAGCTGCAGCCTCGGTCTCTGTTGTCCCGTTAAAACTGAAAGCCACTGTCAAATCGGCAAATCTTACAGTAAATCTCCAGTTTGACAAAATCCACACGCAAATAAAAAACGCAAATCTGAAATCTCCAAAACAGTTTTCCGACGTCAGATATCAGAGTATTTGTAGACAGGGCCTCAGTTCAGATCGAAGTAATGTCCTTATTAGTTGATCAAAACAGTTAAGTTTCCTTTCAGACCTGGACTTCGGGATGGGAAGAAGAGCAAATGTCTCCTCTCACTGCGGCAATCACGCTCTGCAATCATCACTCCTCAACAGCTGAAAAAACACACAAAAATAGTAATTGTTTAATGTCATATTTTCCCTTTCAATTCCATACTAGTTCTTTAACATTATCACTTGTTATATAGTTATGCAACATTTGAGATAAGATTTAAAAAAGCCTATATTTGTCCCACAATTTTGCAAGCCCACATTTAATAGTATCTATTGTTTAACATGAAAGATAATAAAATAGATCAAAAAACAATCGAATAAAACTCTGGAGCTATAATTTCACCTGGTTCACTTGTGGAGTACACATTGTAGATCGCAGCGTCATGAGGTATTTACAGATGTTTTTATTGTACTTTAGCAGCAAAAAATATGACCAGAGTAAACAATAGTAATGATAGCAGCAGGTAAAGTGACCAGTGAATGATCAAATGAATGGAATAAGTAATAATGTAGTAATTATAGTAGCAGGTAGTTTCAGGATGAGTCTACAACTAGAAATGTATCATGTAATCCACAAGGTAAACGTACCAAGTCTAAAGTTCTGATGGGACCAGCGGAGATGCCAGAACCAGACCTGAGCCCGAGACGAGTGTGATAACCAGCCTCAGACAATGAGTGGATGTGTGAACAGGAGACATTGCTGCTGTATTGATTCTCCAGGCCACATGCCAAGGTACATGCCAAGGTACTGAGACCCTGTACTTTTTCATATTGGTATTTCCGCCACTGTTTTTGGTTTTATTTCAACATTTAGTACGAGGAAATCACAATGGCAGCATGACAGGAATTTCTATTTATTTACCCTCCTTTCATGATATAGCATTGGTGCCTGAACTTTATTTACAACATCTCCATTGTGAGATCAATAAAGTTGTATCTTAATATATATTATAAAAGCACTTATGTGTATTATATGACAGCATGTATATGTAACCTTCTGGCAGTTTAAACCTTGGGTGTGGCAATGAGTGCCAATTTCTTATCGGAAACATAGCTGGTATGAGGATGTAGCTCTGTATACTTCTCGGAACAGGTTGATATCTCCCGTAAACAGCATTTCTTTTTAAAACATCTTTGTGTCGAGTGAATGTTCCATCACTGATCGCTGAGAATCTTGTGTTGTGTGCTCCTCCTTCCAACTGTTCTGTGACGAACAGAACAGAATGATCTCTTCATTACGATGAAGAGATTATTATTCGTCCCACAGTGGGGAAATGTCAGTGTTGCATCAGCAGTTACAGAACAGTTGGAATGAGAAGCACACAACACAGGATAAATTAACAATAACTCAACACTAAAATAAAATTAAATCTTTAACTTTAGCATAAAAAGAGGCAAGTGTAAAATGTATTTTCATGTATTGATTTATTTGACAGTGACATTGTAAGTCAGCACAGAACAAAACAAGCTTGTGACTGATGCGATGCAAAAATAAGAGTATAGATATTCCTCATTTTAAACTCCAGTCCCTGGTTGGGCCTTTCTACACTACATTAACAAATCTCTATCTTTAGCATATTGAGGAGAAAATCTAAGATCTCCAACTTTAGCATAATGAAGAAGCAAGAATTTAGCATCATAAAGAAGTAAGTACATCATCTCTCTCACTTTAGCATGGTAAGGAAAGCAAAGGAAATTATTTTGCTAATAGAGTTACCATTAATATAATATGAATATGATTGTAAGGATTGCTTGTCTCTCAATATATTAAAAATCCTTATCAGGAAACGTCAAATTAACAGACACAATGAGAAACCGGTTTTCTTTGTGAGTTATGTGTAAAAAAAACAAGCTTCCTCTGTATGATTTATTATCTTATCAGACCGTATCAGGCCGATCACAAGAATAACAAAGTTTCCATGACACATTCATGAGGAGTCAAAGCCTACTTTGTGTAGCGCACGTTATTATCGGTATCTCAGGACAAACCTGTTTTGCAGAATGGTGCCTGTGTAAACCACCGGCACTCAAAAGATATTGTACAAAGTCTCGACTGTTTGTCATCCCAACAAGTCAAATAACAGAAATGTGTGAGCCGTATAGAGCGCTATTGTTCAAGCTGACACTGTTTGCTACTTTCTACATTCATCTTCTCAGCAGCTCTAAAGCCCTGTGCCAAGCCACCTCAGAATAAATGCATTTATCCTCAATTTATAAGTTCAACCATTGTTCATTAAGCAATAAATCTTATCAGTCACATCTTTGCTGTTCTCCATTCCACCGTGTGCAAGACCACATCACTAAAGATAATGGAGGTTGTTTGTTTGCTTTTACTAGTTTGTTAGAAGAGCGGACGTTGTGTGTTAGAGGGAACATATTTGGGGAGTTTTAAGTTTGTCATGACCCTGTTCTCTCATCAAAAGCAGATCTGAACTGTTTTTAGATCCATCCACGCTATCAATCAATCAATCTATATTTGTAGAGCGCTTGTCACGCCAAAAAAGGAACACACAGGGCACATAGTTCATGTTATAATACATGGAACGTCTGGAACATGTAACTCCGCCCTGTCGCAGTTCTGTAACTGTATTATGTCATTGTCGGGTACTGCATTTTAAAACTAGTACTGAAAAGTATTGTCCCCAAAATTTGTTTTGGAAATTTCTTTACATTTCCATGACTGTATTTGCAGTTGGAAATGTTGGAAATGTTGGAAACTATGAATCATACACACACAAACTCACACACACACATGTACACATATACATACACACGCATAGATAGATTAGATAGATAGATAGATAGATAGAAGCGTCATCCAAGGAGCCGTCTGCACCAGGAGCAGAGAGCTGTCTGCAGCAAGGGACAGCACAGGACCCAGAGGAGAGAGAGGAGCCTCCAGACCTCCTCCACAGCCACAGCCGACCCCCGCTCCCAGTGCAGAGGGCTCCCCCTTCTGTATGAACAGTGCTATACAAATAAACTTGCCTTGCCTTCTCTTATAGAGGGATTGAGTTGACTCCTCCAAAAGTACCTAAAGTATTTATTTTTTTGTCTCCAAAAAAATGCTAAGGTCATCCATGCCGGTTCAGTCAGACTTGTTTTTGGGATAATTAGAGGTTTGTGGCTTTTACTCTTTTTTGTAGTAGGATGTTAGCAAAATGTGCATCTCATCTGACAGGTCCGACACGGCTGGCCCTTCTGCGGGTGCTGCTGGCGTCACTGAACAAAAGACAAAAAACAACAGGAGTATCTGTATTTTCATTTCATTCTGATCCCATATCTTTGGTGATGATAAACAAAGGTCAAGTGTAATATGTCTGAGAGAGAAACTGCAGAGAAATGAAAGCAATAAAACTAGGACTAAACGTGGACTTGGATTCTAGCTAAACCCGAACCAGATCTGAAGTTAAATTACCAATTTCATGATAGAGGGATCCTGGCTGGACTGCTAAAGGCTTTGATGAAAATGTCACCTTGAGTTTCATCAATTCTGTGCAACACTGCTGCCACTGACCTGTCGACCAGAGCAGACAGAAGGATTAGCACTTGATTATTTTCAATGCTTCAATGTTGACTTAAAAAGACAAAAACCGTCACACACTGCAGCTACAGCAACAGGCATCTGAATATTAATAATAATAATAATAATAATAATAATATAGTTATTTAAAATGTACAAAGACAATATCAACCACCAATGCATTGGTTTTATGTAGGTTTTGGCAAGTATATAGCAACGATATAAACACCAGGATTGCAGAAAGCGCTAAACCCAAGCCCCAGTGATCCAAGATGGCGTCCTATTCAAATGAATGGCTTGTGCTCAGTAGCGCATGGGACATACACATGGGACCATACATGGGACCGAAAGATTAGCGAGACAATATTTGGGCATCGTCTGGTACTCCCGGTTCTGCACAGTAGACGAACTCCCATGATGCTTTGCGCCAAATACGCATGTGTGGCTCTCATGCACGTGGACAGAGGGGCTCGGCCGCGCTCTGACCAATCAGAGCTGCTGATCAGAGCGGAGCTAGAGCAGGAGATGATTGAGCAGTTTGTTGCACTAATGTGTGGATTTAAGGATTTAAGGATTTAAGGAAGAATCCCCACAAAATCCGATCTTTATGAAAGCTGTAGGTTCTCTGTCAGTTGAGGTTGAGCTGTTTTAGTTTACATTGAGTTCTATGGGACTTTTTTCTGGGTAGCCCACGTGAATTTAGTCTGCAGTACCACATGGCCCCCTGTGCCCATGGGCGGGACAGCTGTAAACTAGTAATACCCTATCCAGTTATTATTAGAGATCTATGGCTAAACCACAGATTTGTTTGTGTTACTCAAATTGGCAATTGATTTACATTTCAATGCAAGTTGATATCAGCTGGACAGGAACCCTCCAGAATCTGTTGTGACATCACATGTTTTTGCAACGATTCTCTATTATCCCCCTGTTTTTTTAGGAACCACCTTTGGTCAGAGCAGTAGGGAGCGTTGACTTCCACTTCATTCTGCAAGATTTAAGGAGAATAATCTGACAAAATTGACTTTTAACCATGTTACAATCACCAAAAACTCGCTCTGGCTTACATTGACTTATTGACTGGTGAATATATTTCTTCCAGCCTTCAAATACTTCTTCCTTCATTTATCGTGAATCCGTTTAACTCTTGACAAGAAATAATGACCTGGAGCGTAAATAAAAAATGTTCTCTTCATACCAACGTAATTAGAAGATTAAAGGGACAATTCCAGTTACAGGTATGTTTTGACAACGGCGCCCGCAGGAAACCTATGCAGACACCAGGAGAACATGCAAACTCTAGAGAGAAAGGCCCTGTCTGGAGGTGGAACTGAACCCAGGACATGTAGTGAAGCACAAACACTAACCGCCACTGTATATACTTCCTATGAAAGTGGGCTGGGGGGCAGTTGACCTGAAGGAAGTTTAAGTTTAAGATTAATCTATTAAGGACAATGAGCAGCTACATTAAAAAGATAGCTGCACCAGATTTAGCATCATGCTACTTTCCATCTGTAGTCCTTAAAGGTGCAGTAAAGGATTCATGTTAGCTTAGCAATAGCATCCGAGTAGCACCGAGTCAAAATTACTCCCCCTCCCCCCTGTCCTCCACCAAACCCAACTCCCAGCACACATGAACGCCGTTTCTGTAATAACGCAGTCAGTGATGGAGCCTTCCAGGTTGAAATGTGAAATCATTAGACTACATTAGGGCTCAAGGATGTGAACGATTTGCCGGCCATACATGACAAGCTCTAGCTTCCCCTAACAAACCAGCAATTAGCAAAACTTGGCTGCCATTGCATTGCATAGCCCTGGCTGCGTCCAAAAAGTCTGGGAGTCTCTGTTTAGACTGCTGCCCCCTGGCAACGGATAAAGCGGAAGAAAATAGATGGACGGGTAGGTCTTTTTTTGTTTTTATGAACTTCTGGTTTTTTAATTATAGGCCTGTACCAAATGTTTGAGATGAAGTGTGACGGGGAAAGTGCCTAAATAGCTCCAAGCTTCAAATAGATATAGTGACTCAAAATGATTGAAGAAACCATTAAAGGGCTCCACACACACTTCCTTCAGCTCAACCGGGGGGAATCCTGAGCTGTTCCCACAAAACAAGAATTCAGCAGCAAATGTACAGCAAATGTTGACCGCAATATGTTCTCTTCATTCCAATGTAATTAGCCGTTGTAAAAGAAATGAAAGAGGCAGTGCCGATGACAGGAATGCATTGTCAGGTATCGGCAAGACCTTTCTCTGAATAGATGTCAACGTTGCATTCTGACGTTACTGTGGAGGTGTCTAAAGCCTGTACAGTGACTAAAACGGATTTGTAAGGTAGGATCAAGTTACTTTTCCCCGATACTTTATTCAAATCCCCTTGATTAGACATTGAGAAAATGTTTACAATGGACTGGTAATCTCAGTCTCACAACTTGATGCCATTTCAGTTAATCACAGTACGTAGAATTGAAAGTTGACGATGATAATAATTTAAAAGACCTAGGACTTTTTAATTAGACCTACTGTAAATGCACCAAACCACCGAAGTGACATTTGATTTGATAATTGTGTAACGATTTGTGTCTGTCCCAGTGAGAACAAACACAAAGGAGTGAATGTTTGAACCAGGTGAACTTGTACTTCTAGTACTTTTTTACCCAGGTTGTCACGGTGATGGTGAAGCGCTTTGATCCAGCGCTCTGGGTCATCAGCAGAGATTGTATAGATGACATCACCTCTGTCAGACTGTGCCCTGATGTGGACAGTCTGTGCTCGGCCGTGGCTTTGCTCTGACACAACAATGAGAGAGTCCTGCAAAGAAATAGAAAATAGTAATAATAATAATAATAACAATTATAACAATAATAATGATGCATTGGTTTTAAATAGGACTTTGTTGGACACTCAAATATAATTATATAAGTCATAATTCCTTACGTTCTAGGCAAGGCAAGGCAAGTTTATTTGTATAGCACAATTCATACACAAGGCAACTCAAAGTGCTGAACAAGATAGAATTAAAATCATAAATAATCACAGTACATTAAAAGAAAGATAAAAACATAAAATCCCTCAGTTGTATGCACAGATAAACAGCACCGTTTTTAACCAGGTTTTGAACATTGTCAGAGAGAAGGCCTGTCTCACATCTTCAGGAAGATTGTTCCAGATTTTAGCAGCATGAATCTGAAAAGCAGCCTCCCCGTGTTTAGTTCTGACTCTGGGCACTAACAGGAGTCCAGTCCCTGTGCTCCTCAGAGTCCGGGCTGGTTCATATGGGACTAATGTCACTAATACATTTGAGAGAGACTTGTACACAAGCAGAGCTGTTTTAAAGTCTATTCTCTGAGCCACAGGAAGCCAGTGCAGAGACCTGAGGACCGGACTAATATGGTCGTACTTCCTGGTTCTAGTCAGGACTCGAGCTGCTGCATTTTGAATGTACTGCAGCTGTTTTACAGCCTGTTTGGACAGACCTTTCTATAGTAGCCACAGCTGCCCTGGGGCACACTGACAGTGGCAAGGCAACCAGTCTGTGCCATCTGTCCTTCTGACCACCACCAACCATTCACCGTGGGCAATGTGGGTGAAGTGTCTTCCCTAAGGACATAGGTCTCCCATCACAGTACTAACCAGGCTTTACCCTGATTAGGATCTGTCTTTCACATGCTGGATTAGCCACAAGTTGAATTGAGGGTTTATTGTTTTTCAAGTTCAATATACATCTGATATTATTTTCAGATGTCACGACACAGAATGTTCTAACAAAGCATTCATCAGAGATGACTTATTTTACATGATATAGTAAATGATTCAAACTCAAAAAGTTCATATTGAATAAAGTACTGTATATATAAAACATATCATAAAAGAGACTCAAAAAGCTTTAACAAACCACAAACTTTCGAGGTCAGTGAGATCAGATTCGATCGATGTAATGGAGAAATATCTTTATTGCACTTGATTCAAAATTGCAAAAATGTAAATATGTTTCTGAATGTGAAGACCAAATAATATTCTCAAACAAAATCCTTTAGCAAAAAATGGTAAACTCAGCCTCAGAACGCCTGTGCACTGCTTTGTGTTGTTCATAGTTGTGCAGTAGCCGTGTTGGATATGTCATGGTGTGGATTTTTGCAATTTGGTACTTTTTATTTTGACCTTCGTGTCCTGTACCCTTTTTTTTATTAATGTATTTATTTCAAACCTGCACAATGCTTATTTTTACATTTATAAATTTAACAGATGAATAAACTAGGTTCTGATAAGGGGACCTAGTTGAAAAGGGGTTGGTTGAAGCAAATTTGTATCGAATTCCAACTCCATCAGACATACTGTTTAAACAATATCATGCAGGAGAATTCTCAAACATACAACATACACTACAAACAGTAACACAACACTACCACCGATGGTATAAGACAGACAACACAAAAACACACACACACTCTGACAGCACACAGGCCCAAACACTCTCCGACCCTACACCAGAACTTGTATTGATTGTTTGCCTCATTGTGGTTCCTGTGTTTCTGGGTCTAAATGTTCCCTATTGTTGCTGGTCTGTCTGTCCGTTTTCCTGGTTCCTGTGTTACATTTGGATTTGTAATGTTTGTTTTCACCTTGAACTTTAATTTATACTATCTTTAAATCATACTATTTAGTGTTCCTGCATTATATATCCTGTATCGTTAGGCCTCCTTTTGAATGAGACCCCATTCAGGCACTGGACATGGGTTATATCCCTGACCTTAAACCAAAACTGAAAAATTAAATAACTGTTGATCTGCTATGAAATCGCAAACTAGTTTTCTTATCTTTTCAATGGTCCATCACTCTCACAAAGGTTTGGTTTATAAAAAATAAATCAGGCCATAAAAACAGGTTAAACATAGAAAACAACCTCTACAAGTATGAAACTACATGTTGTCCTTGAAAGTCCTAATTATTTAATATCAATAATTCAATATTTTGAAGTGGATTTGTAACTTGCAGATGTTTTTTTTTTTTAAATTGTATCGTTTGTATAAAATGCTTTGTTTTTCTTGGATGTTCTCCCGTGTCTGCGTAGGTTTCCTCTGTGTCCTCCAGTTTCCCCTAAATGTACAATAGGTCCGACATGCACATTCTGTGCTGGCGACCCGGCTCCCATGTGGAGTCAGAGACAAAATGCCTGAAACAACAACTGTAAAGTGCTTCGTGACTCTGGTCTGTGAAAGACGCTATATTCATAAACATGACTTACTTATTTACCATCATTTTTATTATCATATTATGTTTTATGGATTGTGTTTTACATGAAGTTCTTCAAGTGAAATATTCTCTAAATATAATTTCAATTTAGGGGCGACAGTGGCTCAGTTGGTAGAACATTGGCCTTTAGGCCTGAACGTCGTGGGTTCAAGCCCACCACAAGACCTACTTCACAACTAGCACTGAAGTCTGCTGTTGTTGTCTCCTTGGGCAAGACACTTAACCCCACTTTGCCTGAAGCCCCCACTGAAAGATCAAGGCTCCTGTGGACTCACCACCTGCAGGAGGATCAGTGAGGTGCTATGTGTACTGGGCACAGCTCTGACTGCCACGCTCTGCTCCCAGTGCATAGGGCTCCTCCAGAGAAAAGACTAGAAAAACATTTCCTGCCATAGTCTTTCTACTGAGAATCAGCAATTCCCAAAGCACATCACATGATACAACCTTTCTGATCACTCCTGTATCTTTGCAACAGGCTCACCTTTCTGATGGGGATTTCATATAATGGTACAGATTGTTGATCCTCTTCACTATGATAACAGTCGAGACTCTTCCCCTGGAGGACACCGTAGACATTTTCCCAACCATCACAACCCTTCTGAAGCAGAATAACAGTAATGACAGCAGAACAATGTCATTGTCATAAGATAAAAAAAAGCAGGCATGAAAAAGCGTTACCTTAACCCTGAGCTGGCCACAGAACACTGGTGCTAACATGCACTGAGGCTGAGCCACAAAGCGGCAGCAGATGTTCCCGTACAGAGGCAGCCAGTAAGAGCTCTCATCTGAAAAGGAAAAAAACGTCACCTGATAGCCTTCATTTTTGTTCAATGTACAGTGCTCTGCAAAAGTATTCATACCCCATGCACTTTTTGGTTTTAAGGTGTACTCTACAAGTGTCTGCCTGTTAGGTTTCTAACATTGTGCTTGTCATTTTTGTTATTGTATGCCAAATTCTAGGAACAAGTGCTGTGAATTTGCTTTGGTTCTAAGATAAGGTAAGATAACCTTTATTCGAACCAGATGCATCAGACTACTGTGTGACAGTTTGCCGATGTTTCCTGCATCTGTCCCAACTCAAATAATAATGTATTTGGGGTACAGTATGTCTACTCTCTACCAGTGCTGCATGTTCATTTACAGACTTATATTTGTGATATAATTGCTCAATGAACCTTAACATTTGAAGGATTACTTTAGGTAGTTTGTGAACAGCATTTTGTTTATTGAATTTAGGTCTGGAATAACTTGTTTGAAGCAACTCCGGAAGGCGTTCGGTTGCACTCAATACTTTTACATTATATACATTGAGTTGGTATATGTCACATAAAATGCAAACAAATGTTTTGTTTATGGTTTTATCATGACAATGGGGTATGAACACTTTTTCAAGGTTTGTCCTTTTCTTAGAAACTATAAGATTGACATTAAACAGACACAGACTTTCCAAGAAGTACAGTAAGTTGCTCCTAACCTGTTGTGACTATTGTCAAGTCATGAGTCTTGAAACCATCGTGGACGTGTTTGATGCTCAGACTAACATGTGCCAAGAGGTTAAACTTTGGCTCCCTTTGAAAACAGATTTAAGTTTTAGCTTTTGAGACAACTCAGTATTCTAATGAGAAGACTCACACTGTGGAAGGGGCTGAGATGACTGGAGTTGGTGTTTTCCCATTAGAGTTTGATCCACAGATTGCAGCAGACTCAAAGGCAGCTCGAATTTTCTTCCCAGAAAAGTTTCCCATGGCAGTGACCCCCAGGCTTCCTCGCCTGGAGCCCCCAGAGCCCTCCTCAGCCACACAGCTGCTGTACAGCTCCACTCGCAGAAGGAAGCCAGGCGCCACCTCACTACTGCACGTCCAGCACAGTACCATCGTTCATTATTTGTATCACAAAAATCTGGCATTCAATACATTTATGTACAACGTATGAACTTACAAGACAAATGTGTCTTCAAAGCAGATGTCTGTCAAGGTTCTGTCTACCATCTGGAGGTCAGTGGTCAAGATCTGAGAGCCACACTGCAGCAGACAGAAGAAGGCACAGCGATGCAATTCTGCGGAAAAATATCCCATCATCAGCTCATTAGTATCTATACTATTTGATTTTTAAATAGGGAAAGGAAATTTGTATTATACGCTCTGAAGACTGATTGGTTAAAACAATCATGTGTTACATCCAGCCAATCTTTTTGTTTAAAACATGCATTGGATAAATTTTCGATACATCTGTATCATTCTGCAACACTTCCATCGAAGTGCTGACAGGCCCTGTACTGCTTAGCTTTCACATGTCAGTGGTACCACAAAAAATAAATTGTCCCGTTGAAATAGGGTATGGAGGCAAGCCAATAACCAAACAGTAAAGAACCATCTCTTGTTTGTTGCTGGAAGAGTGCAGATGCATGGTTTTAGTCACGTGACTCACTGCAGAACAGGACTATGATGAACCAGAACCAGACAGTGGCAGAGTTTGTCTTCCACCAAACACTCACCTCCCTTGTTTTTAAAGTATTCAGAGTCCTTCCACATCAGAGGAATGCGCAGATCTGTGATAGAGAACAGGTTTCAAGAACATGAAATGAGATAGTCTTCCTGATGTTAAAAAAAAAATACAGTAATAATAATTACCCTAATAAAACTTGAATGGTTGATTCAGAGTGACACTCACCAGAGATGGCGAGCTTTCCTACACATGGCAGCGGCTCATCAGAAGAGCTGTGGTGTAGAAATACATCAGTGACATTAGAAGGTGAATACAGAGCTCTCCCGCCCCCTAGTGTGTGTGTCCAGTATTACAGACCAGTGTCCTGCGCTCTCCAGAGCCCGGGCGGTCCTCCTCCCCTGCAGGTCACTGAGCAGCGCCAGGAGGCGGCTGCTGCAGCGCACCAGGTTCTTGGAGGCCTCCAGAGCCTGCTCTCTCTGGGAACAGGCTGCGAGCAGTCTGCTGGCCCCATCCCGCAGCCGCACCTCCACCTCAATCTGCTCCATCACCTGCTCCTCCTTCACAAGGAAACAGTCCTCTACCACAATACTACTGTCTAATACTCATTTAGAAACACTTTTACTGCAATACTACTGTCTATACTCAGTTGGATATGATACAATACTGCTCACCTCACCAAAATTTGAAAAGAAAGTAGTTTGTCCACATATAGGCCACACTTGAATATAAGCCGCAGGTTTTTAAAATAAAACTGATCCAGTCAAAAAAGAGCGATACTATGTAGCTATGACAACAGAAAAATACATGTATTAGCCATATCACTATGCAAGCTGCAAGGCTCAAAGCACTAGATTTACTCATTAATAACGCTTTTTCCTTTACTCACTTTTTACTAAGTGCTAAAACCAGATAATATAACATGAAATACAGCAAAAAGGTTGTTGAATGGCTAATGCTAAAGACCCAATGCCAACTGCTGACAGTAAACAGTGTGTTGCTATGGTAACTAGCAATCGCTCTGAACCAGAACCATCTCAGGAACAGTTCAGAACATAAATTACACTTCCAAAACAATAAGCCAAATATAGTATAAGTTCTAATGTTAAGACATTTAAATGTGTTATACTTAAAAGTGTTAATAAATTATAATCATACATAATTTCAGACTCATGGTCCAGAAATATTTTATAGTTCAAATAAATTCAAGATGTTTTTAAGAGGCCTAAATAGTTACTCTCAAGTGATAAAGGTCTGCACTAACCTGAGTGTTATCCATAGCCGTTCCCTTCAGTCGTCCCCTCCGAGTATAAAGTATCCAGCACATACCAGTGAGATTTAAACCAGTTCTAATCTGAGCATACATACTCCTTGTCCTGATGGTCACATGTGAATCCTAATCCCCCACATCCACGTACACAACACTGAATACTACAAGGTTTCTGAAAAGGTAAAACCCAGACAATTTGGACTATTATTCAATTGTTATTTATTTTTAAAATGTGAAACTTCCTCTGATATTTCTGTCAATTGTCACTTTACCTGCTGCTACTATAACTATTGTTTATTCTGGTCATATTCCCGGCTGCTAAAGACTTCTGTAAATATATCCGAATCAAGTGAAAGTATAAGCTTATTACTTATTAGTTCAATTGTATTATCTATTATCTAAACTAAATACATGCTCTTATTTCCTACTTTTTATTCTGCTGCAATGTGCGCAACAATGACATTGAAATTCCTTTTCAATGTCATTTTGTGATTTTCTAATTTCAGTTTTTTCCAAGTTTCTCCAGTAAATTACACATGCTTCACTTAGCATTATTTACATCATTGTGGTTGAAGAAACCAGTGGAAAATGAACAAAATAATCTTTTTAATACATTTGAATATATTAATATGAAGAGTGACCTTGATTGAAATAGTTAACATGGTAATATAAATATCACATTGTTCAAAATGATCAAACCCCATTTCAAAGCTTGGATTACAATATCTGTCTACAATACAAGACAACACCATTTTTAAGATTTTTTGTATTTCTAAAACGAGCAAAACTGTTTACTTTACATAATGCATTTAAATAAGAGAAATTTGAGAAAATATTTGTGCAATATTTACAACTTCAATAAAAAAAAAAAAAAAGGTCCTAAGGGAATTAAGTCCTGGCTTCACACAAAGCGCCATTGTTGAGAAAAGTCTTGATGCTTCTGTACAAACGTTGAGGTAAAACTTGAAATGATAATTTACAACATAACAAAGGTCAATAAAAAGGAGAACAGTCGATCTTTGCCTCTTTCCTAATTGCTACAACTTGTCGTCCACTTCTGTGAAAACGTCAGTTAGAAAATACTGTGAGACACTGATTGGTTCGTCGTCAAAGCCTTCGTTTGCGTTGCTTTGATCCGGGATTGGAAGCTGGAACATCAACAAATAATACAGAACAGAGTTAAATGTTGCTCAAGAGACAAAAAGGCAGATTGTAGTAGTTACCAGAGGTTCTCCTGAGGTGGACGTTTGAGGAGGTGCAAGTTCTGCCATACTTTTACTTTGAGGCCGTGACCTTCTGGCTGTGGTTCCAACAGTGGGTTTCTTATTCCTAAACACATCCGAAAAATGTGAATGTAAATCATAGACTGTATATCATAGACTGTATATCATAGACTGTATATCATAGACTGTATATCATAGACTGTATATCATAGACTGTATATCATAGACTGTATATAGATTGACGATGATAACCTAGCTCAGATCTGGGCAAAGTACAGGCCGATTCACATTTTTATCCATGGCTCATATTGACGCTGCACAGTGTTTAAAAATGACACTAAATTAGGCCTGGGCGATATGGCAAAAAAGTAAAATCTCATTTTAATTTCCTGCTTTGGACAATTTCGATTTTAAACCGATTTTTATTAAAGTCACCGAAGACAGACGGCACTTAAAAATATGTTTTGATTTTTCCGCTCAATATTCAGTTTCAAAGTTTCAAAACTATTTTTTATTTGTTTCCTAAATAAAATAAATAAAGGGGTATATAAATAAAGATTACTACTACTTACTAGCCAATTAATTGCCTAAATTCGATTTATTCCCGGCCCTACCCTAAATCCTTTTTGTTCGAGCTGAATTTTGTTGATTTTTCCAAACTTGACCAGCCTTGTGTCAATTTAGACCCTAATCCAGAGTATTTTTCTAATAGCTTTAATCACTGTGGCTGAGTATAGCACAAGGGATAAATGAATCACATGTCATTACCCAGTGTTATACATTTAGTCTGTTCTCATTAATTAACCCAAAACGTTATCAGTAAAAATTTGCTCTAAAAAGTCCACAAACACAAAGAAAAGACTGGTCCTTTGCAGTGAATACTAAAGTCCTCTAGCTTGGTGACCGTTTGTGTCACACTCAGCATTATGGGTTTAACAAGTCCATGCTTTAGCACTCTGTAATCCTGGTGTTTAGATTCATGATATTATCTTTGTAAATCCAGATACTGTATGAGTCATTTTACTGAGTCACTGTGCCCCAGAGCCTCATGCTGCTAATGTACAGATGTAAACATACTGCTGCTAATGTACAGATGTAAACATACTGCTGCTAATGTACAGATGCTAACATACTGCTGCTAACATGTACAGATGCTAACATACTGCTGCTAATGCACAGATGCTAACATACTGCTGCTAATGTACAGATGTAAACATACTGCTGCTAATGTACAGATGCTAACATACTGCTGCTAATGTACAGATGTAAACATACTGCTGCTAATGTACAGATGTAAACATACTGCTGCTAATGTACAGATGCTAACATACTGCTGCTAATGTACAGATGCTAACATACTGCTGCTAATGCACAGATGTAAACATACTGCTGCTAATGTACAGAGGTAAACATACTGCTGCTAATGTACAGATGTAAACATACTGCTGCTAATGTACAGATGTAAACATACTGCTGCTAATGCACAGATGTAAACATACTGCTGCTAATGTACAGATGTAAACATACTGCTGCTAATGTACAGATGTAAACATACTGCTGCTAATGTACAGATGTAAACATACTGCTGCTAATGTACAGATGCTAACATACTGCTGCTAATGCACAGATGTAAACATACTGCTGCTAATGCACAGATGTAAACATACTGCTGCTAATGTACAGATGTAAACATACTGCTGCTAACATGTACAGATGTAAACATACTGCTGCTAATGCACAGATGTAAACATACTGCTGCTAATGCACAGATGTAAACATACTGCTGCTAATGTACAGATGTAAACATACTGCTGCTAATGTACAGATGTAAACATATTGCTGCTAATGTACAGATGTAAACATACTGCTGCTAATGTACAGATGTAAACATACTGCTGCTAATGTACAGATGCTAACATACTGCTGCTAATGTACAGATGCTAACATACTGCTGCTAATGTACAGATGCTAACATACTGCTGCTAATGCACAGATGTAAACATACTGCTGCTAATGCACAGATGTAAACATACTGCTGCTAATGTACAGATGTAAACATACTGCTGCTAACATGTACAGATGTAAACATACTGCTGCTAATGTACAGATGTAAACATATTGCTGCTAATGTACAGATGTAAACATACTGCTGCTAATGTACAGATGTAAACATACTGCTGCTAACATGTACAGATGTAAACATACTGCTGCTAATGTACAGATGCTAACATACTGCTGCTAATGTACAGATGTAAACATACTGCTGCTAATGTACAGATGTAAACATACTGCTGCTAATGTACAGATGCTAACATACTGCTGCTAATGTACAGATGTAAACATACTGCTGCTTATGTACAGATGCTAACATACTGCTGCTAATGTACAGATGTAAACATACTGCTGCTAATGTACAGATGTAAACATACTGCTGCTAATGTACAGATGTAAACATACTGCTGCTAATGTACAGATGCTAACATACTGCTGCTAATGTACAGATGTAAACATACTGCTGCTAATGTACAGATGTAAACATACTGCTGCTAATGTACAGATGCTAACATACTGCTGCTTATGTACAGATGTAAACATACTGCTGCTAATGTACATAATAGTAAACATACTGCTGCTAATGCACAGATGTAAACGTACTGCTGCTAATGTACAGATGTAAACATACTGCTGCTAATGTACAAATGTAAAAATACTGCTGCTAATGCACAGATGCTAACATACTGCTGCTAATGTACAGATGTACACATACTGCTGCTAATGTACAAATGTAAACATACTGCTGCTAATGCACAGATGCTAACATACTGCTGCTAATGTACAGATGTACACATACTGCTGCTAATGTACATAATAGTAAACATACTGCTGCTAATGTACAGATGTAAACATACTGCTGCTAATGTACAGATGTAAACATACTGCTGCTAATGTACAGATGTAAACATACTGCTGCTAATGTACAGATGTAAACATACTGCTGCTAATGTACAGATGCAAACATATAACTACTGTGTATTCTTGTGCAAGCAAAGTGTACTTTATACTTGCCTCTTATTTTGCCAAATGTGAAACTTTTGCACTTCTTTTTATTATTGTTATTTTCAGGATAGAGATTTTATACTTGTTATTGAGGCTAGAGTCAGATTCTGATTTATTTTAATTAGTATAGCTACAGTTCACTTATCTTGTGATGTGCGCTCCTCTTTCCTACTGTTCTATAACTTGTGATGCAACACTGAAATTTCCCAACTGTGGGACGAATGAAGGATCAGTCGCCTTCATTTGTGAGAGAAACTCCAGCTTGACTTAGCAACGGTCTTAGCAACACATTTGTCCCCGTTATGGTGCAGAGCCAACGCCGTCAGAACAAATGGTCCACTCCAAATATACAGTCTATGATGTAAAAATAACCATCATTGATCAATTAAACACAACACATAGAATCTTTACCGTTGTTTTCCTCTTGTTCCTTTGCTCTCCGACTGTGGTTCTGTTTGTTGGGAAGGTTGCTCTTCGGTCGACACGCTTGGCTCCAAAGACGGTAGACCACTTGAAGCTCTCGTTTTTCTAGAAAGTAAATATGCCACAGAATCCTTTTTATTGCCATGTGAGTAACAAGAAATCACAAACTAGGGAATTGTTTTGGCTCTTGGTGCAAACAAGTAAAACATGGAACATGGCATAAGATAAAAATATACAGAGTAAGTAAGTAATCTTTCTTTATATAGTGCCTTTCACAGGCCAGAGTCAAAAACCTCTTTACAATTGTTGTGGGCGATTGTCTCCCACTCCACACAGAAATGGGAGCGAGGTCACCAGTACACAGGAGGCACATGCCAGACCTATTGTACATGGTTTTAGCAGTAGGGGAAACCGGAGCACTCGGAGAAAACCGGAAAAACTTTGAGGAAGCCTACGCAGACACAGGGAGAGTGCTAGCCACATTTCTTAAAATTACTAAAATGGACGTTTAGCAGTGCAGTTAAGTGAGGGTCATAAGGGCAGGGGACAGTAATGAGTTGTGAAGTGTTCATCAGTTCAACTAGCAACCGCGACATAGCAGCTATACGTTTTAAGGCTATGAAACCTCTCACCACACAATTTTCACATGAGCTGTCAAAGCTGTCAAATGTCATGTCAAACCTGTCTCAGCCCTGCCGTGCACACAAAGTAAAATAAAGCGTCAGGCAAAAAAAAAACATGTCATACGAGCACTTATATGTTGTGGGAGTACATGCAAGAAACACACTGTGCAAAGGAAGCACAGAGTAAATAAAACACAATTGCTTCCCAAAAAGAAATCTGCGAATCAGCAATGCCGCGAAAAGCTGAATTTGAATATTGCAGATGACCACTGCATTCAGAAATTAAACAGAAATACAAAGGAACTACATTTACCTTTTCTGCCTCGATTTTCCCTGTGTCGTTTGAGCTTGCGTTTTTTCCACCTCTGTGAGAGAGGCACCTGCAAGAGGCTGAGACACAGGGGTGGGCTCTTTGTCCGACAGGGTGCTCACCGACGAGGCATTTTTAGACCCTGAAATCTAAAAGAAAAAGAAAATACAGCTGCAACTTTAGAGCTGTAAACGGTTTCAAATGTGTCAAGAGCTAAAGTACTCGCTTGTTGCTTTTACTGACCTTCGGAGCGCCGCACAAAGTCAGGGGATGGTCCTGAGGTTGTGCTTCGGAGCTGGTCGATTTGTTTGTTCTAATTAAAGAATGGAATTATTAAATGCCGGAAAAATAGCCACAAAATAGTTTAAAGATATTATAATTATATTTTCTCACTTCTTTGATCCTTTCCCTCTGGTCTTTTTAGCCTTTGATTTGCTGGGATCAGGCGCTTTTTGGATGAGGGAGGTTAAACATTCAACACTGGGAGCGGCTCCAACAGCTGCTTCTGCTGCTGCTCCTATTGCTGCTCCTACTTCTGCTTCTGCTGCTCCTATTGCTGCTGTTGCTTCAGCTTCAGTCAGTGAGCTGCTATGTCCACTCAAGGAATCATCTGAAGCTTTTGCGATTCTGAAACACAAATTGCATTACGTGCAAATTAATAAAGTCCTAGTTTTTCATTATGCATTTTAAACCTATACAGAAAAAACCTAGTGAAATGATGTTATGTTATGTTGTATTATGACTTTATATTTGTTCGGATTAAATTACTGAAAAGGGGACAGTGCAATTTACTGTATGTGTCAAAACAATCGTCATCTATATCCATATACAGTCAGCAATTTAGACTTTTGACCAAACATTTATCACATTTATAAGAGCAGTTGCTGCAGTGTGTGAGAGAAAAGGTCCACAATACAGAGTTATATGCTTCAACAGATTATACAAAAGGTGGGTGTTCCCAAAAAATGTATGGCATTGCACAAGGCAGTTCAGGGTGTAAAAGTACTAACATTTTGAAGTTATAACTGTTCAACAAAACTAAACAATTAAAATAATTAAAATAATATAATACAGTAGCTTTCCCGTAAAGGTAAAGGTAAAGGTGCAATTCATACTCTACATTTGACCCATCCTGATGCCGCTAAGGCTTACGTCAGGAGCAGTGGTCACCATAGAACGTGATGCTCGGCTTGATGGATTTAACCAAGTGTGCATGTTTTTAGTGGTAGGGCAAACCGGTGTACCCAGAGGAAACCTACGCAGGCACAGGGAGCACATGCAAACTCCACTCAGAAAGACCCCGTTCAAACCCAGGACCTTCTGTCTGAGAGGCGAGAGTGCTATCCACTCAGCCACCATGCCATCCTTTGATACTACTTTGGCAAATACAGCCTGAGTCCTGGATCCACAGCCTAGAGTGGATCCCTCTCTCAATATGGGCTTCCTCAAGGTTTCTCACTTTTTAACATATAACTACACTTTGCTTGCACTAGAATACACAGTACTTTATACTTGCCTCTTATTTTGCCAAATGTAAAACTTTTGCACTTCTTTTTATTATTGTTTATTATTTTATTATCGCAGACACAGGGAGAGTGCTAGCCACATTTCTTAAAATTACTAAAATGGACGTTTAGCAGTGCAGTTAAGTGAGGGTCATAAGGGTAGGGGACAGTAATGAGTTGTGAAGTGTTCATCAGTTCAACTAGCAACCGCGACATAGCAGCTATACGTTTTAAGGCTATGAAACCTCTCACCACACAATTTTCACATGAGCTGTCAAAGCTGTCAAATGTCATGTCAAACCTGTCTCAGCCCTGCCGTGCACACAAAGTAAAATAAAGCGTCAGGCAAGAAAAAAACATGTCATACGAGCACTTATATGTTGTGGGAGTACATGCAAGAAACACACTGTGCAAGGGAAGCACAGAGTAAATAAAACACAATTGCTCACTAAAGAAATCTGCGAAACAGCAAGGCCGCGAACAGCTGAATTTTAATATTGCCGATGACCATTGCATTCAGAAATTAAACAGAAATATAAAGGAAATACATTTACCTTTTCTGCCTCGATTTTCCCTGTGTCGTTTGAGCTTGCGTTTTTTCCACCTCTGTGAGAGAGGCACCTGCAAGAGGCTGAGACACAGGGGTGGGCTCTTTGTCCGACAGGGTGCTCACCGACGAGGCATTTTTAGACCCTGAAATCTAAAAGAAAAAGAAAATACAGGTGCAACTTTAGAGCTGTAAACGGTTTCAAATGTGTCAAGAGCTAAAGTACTCGCTTGTTGCTTTTACTGACCTTCGGAGCGCCGCACAAAGTCAGGGGATGGTCCTGAGGTTGTGCTTCGGAGCTGGTCGATTTGTTTGTTCTAATTAAAGAATGGAATTATTAAATGCCGGAAAAATAGCCACAAAATAGTTTAAAGATATTATAATTATATTTTCTCACTTCTTTGATCCTTTCCCTCTGGTCTTTTTAGCCTTTGATTTGCTGGGATCAGGCGCTTTTTGGATGAGGGAGGTTAAACATTCAACACTGGGAGCGGCTCCAACAGCTGCTTCTGCTGCTGCTCCTATTGCTGCTCCTACTTCTGCTTCTGCTGCTCCTATTGCTGCTGTTGCTTCAGCTTCAGTCAGTGAGCTGCTATGTCCACTCAAGGAATCATCTGAAGCTTTTGCGATTCTGAAACACAAATTGCATTACGTGCAAATTAATAAAGTCCTAGTTTTTCATTATGCATTTTAAACCTATACAGAAAAAACCTAGTGAAATGATGTTATGTTATGTTGTATTATGACTTTATATTTGTTCGGATTAAATTATTGAAAAGGGGACAGTGCAATTTACTGTATGTGTCAAAACAATCGTCATCTATATCCATATACAGTCAGCAATCAGACTTTTGACCATACATTTATCCCATTTATAAGAGCAGTTGCTGCAGTGTGTGAGAGAAAAGGTCCACAATACAGAGTTATATGCTTCAACAGATTATACAAAAGGTGGGTGTTCCCAAAAGAATTTATGGCATTGCACAAGGCAGTTCAGGGTGTAAAAGTACTAACATTTTAAAGTTATAACTGTTCAACAAAACTAAACAATTTAAAATAATTAAAATAATACAATACAGTAGCTTTCCCGTAAAGGTAAAGGTAAAGGTGCACTTTATTGATCCCTGTAGGGCAATTCATACTCTGCATTTGACCCATCCTGATGCCGCTAAAGCTAAGCAAAGGGAGAAAATGCAAACTCCACTCAGGAAGACTCCATTCGAACTGGGATTTGAACACAGGACCTTCGTGCTGAGAGGCGAGAGTGCTATCCACTCAGCCAGCATGCTACCCTTTGATAATACTTTGGCAAATACAGCCTGAGTCCTGGATCCACAGCCTAGAGTGGATCCCTCTCTCAATATGGGCTTCCTCAAGGTTTCTCACTTTTTTCCCCCAATATTTTTTTTCTTTTTTCTTTTGTTCTATACCTAGGGGGATAGTGATGATCCGGGACATTAAAGGACATTCATCAACATTAATGGGCATCATCCCGTTCCCTATAGAACCTAATTGCGCCTATGAGTTTGTTATTGCATTTCCTGTGTTCCGTTTTCCCGTTTCCCGTTTGATTCTCTGATCTGTTGTTGGTGAATAAACAATTTTGTAAAGTCCTGGGAGACGACTACTGTTGTTATTTAGAGCCACACAAACAAATTAAATGCAATGTTTACTTTTCGTATATACAGTGCCTTGCGAAAGTATTCGGCCCCCTTGAACCTTTCAACATTTCGCCACATTTCAGGCTTCAAAATTTTTTGTCAAGAATCTACAACAAGTGGGACACAATTGTGAAGTGGAACGAAATTTATTGGATGATTTAAACTTTTTTAATAAATAAAAAACTGAAAAGTGGGGCGTGCAATATTATTCGGCCCCCTTGCGCTAATACTTTGTAGCGCCACCTTTTGCTGCAATTACAGCTGCAAGTCACTTGGGGTATGTCTCTATCAGTTTTACACATCGAGAGACTGGAATTATTTCCCATTCTTCCTTGCAAAACAGCTCGAGCTCAGTGAGGTTGGATGGAGAGCGTTTGTGAATAGCAGTCTTCAGCTCTTTCCACAGATTCTCGATTGGATTCAGGTCTGGACTTTGACTTGGCCATTCTAACACCTGGATACGTCCATTTGTGAACCATTCCATTGTAGATTTGGCTTTATGTTTTGGATCATTGTCCTGTTGGAAGATAAATATCCGTCCCAGTCTCAGGTCTTTTGCAGACTCCAACAGGTTTTCTTCCAGAATGGTCTTGTATTTGGCTCCATCCATCTTCCCATCAATTTTAGCCATCTTCCCTGTCCCTGCTGAAGAAAAGCAGGCCCAAACCATGATGCTGCCACCACCATGTTTGACAGTGGGGATGGTGTGTTCAGGGTGATGAGCTGTGTTGCTTTTACGCCAAACATATCATTTTGCATTGTGGCCAAAAAATTTGATTTTGGTTTAATCTGACCAGAGCACCTTCTTCCACATGTTTGGTGTGTCTCCCAGGTGGCTTGTGGCAAACTTTAAACCAGACTTTTTATGGATATCTTGGAGAAATGGCTTTCTTCTTGCCACTCTTCCATAAAGGCCAGATTTGTGCAGTGCACGACTGATTGTTGTCCTATGGACAGACTCTCCCACCTCAGCTGTAGTTATCTGCAGTTCATCCAGAGTGATCATGGGCCTCTTGTCTGCATCTCTGATCAGTCTTCTCCTTGTTTGAGATGAAAGTTTGGAGGGACGGCCGGGTCTTGGTAGATTTGCAGTGGTCTGATACTCCTTCCATTTCAATATAATTGCTTGCACAGTGCTCCTTGAGATGTTTAAAGCTTGGGAATTTTTTTTGTATCCAAATCCGGCTTTAAACCTCTCCACAACAGTATCTTGGACCTGCCTGGTGTGTTCCTTTGTCTTCATGGTTCTCTCTGCGCTTTAAACAGAACCCTGAGACTATCAAAGAGCAGGTGCATTTATACGGAGACTTGATTACACACAGGTGCATTCTATTTATCATCATCAGTCATTTAGGACAACATTGGATCATTCAAAGATCCTCACTGAACTTCTGGAGTGAGTTTGCTGCACTGAAAGTAAAGGGGCCGAATAATATTGAACGCCCCACTTTTCAGTTTTTTATTTGTTAAAAAAGTTTAATTTATCCAATTAATTTCGTTCCACTTCACGATTGTGTCCCACTTGTTGATTCTTGACAAAAAAAAATTATATTTATATCTTTATGTTTGTAGCCTGAAATGTGGCGAAATGTTGAAAGGTTCAAGGGGGCCGAATACTTTCGCAAGGCACTGTATATCCCAAATAACTTGAATAATGTGAATTGCATACTCGTTTGCAGGTTTGAATCTCTCGGTCTTCATAGTCTCTGCAGCTTGAGCTTCCAGTTCAGCGGCCGGACCATCGTCATTCGTCACTTCTGTGAAAATATCCCCGATGAAAAACTGCGTCACGTTGGTTGGCGCTTCTTCCGAAAGGCTGCCGTCAAAAGAGTCGCTTTGTTGAGAGACTTGAGGCTGAAACAGAAAAGTAAAAGCGAGTGAGAATGTGTCGCTGGAGCTCGGAGCACGCTCAGGCTTCTCACCTCAGAGCTGCTGCATTTGCTGCTTTGTTGGTTCGACTCTTGTGTCGGCATGGCAACGGTGCTGCTGGATGAAGGCAGAGGGTCCAGGGAAAGTGCATCAGTTGATTTGACGGACACACGCGTTCTTTGAAACCGTGAACTTGCAACTTCAATTGAAGATTTGCTTTTTCTAAACAGGAGATAATCATTTCAAAACAAATACTGTATAAGACGGGATATAATAATAATAATAATAATACACCCAAGGACGCATTACAATACATTTAAAACATCACACATATTAAAAGCACAGAATATAATGGATTTTAGAAATACAAAGAAAAATCCAGTTTATGTTCTGGCCCCCATCGTGGCCATTTTGACGGTGGGGACAGTGAGGAGAGCAGCAGATGACTAAAACATTAGTACATATTATGCACTAATGTTCTTCATAATGTCATAACCGTTCTTTGTCGCAGGTATGAGGTCAATTGCAAAAATCTAAATATGTCTTCACTAGATAGAATTCCCTCATTGACTCATTAGGCTCGACAGTTTCTGAGCGGAAATTCTATTCACTTGTAAGAATTGAGTCATGAAAATAAACTAGCCTCATCTTTTAAAGCATTAATTACAACCATTGTGGTTAATGACAGCAGCGGTGAGTGATTTATCGAGGTTTGACACACTATACTTCTGCAATATCTATACTTAAAGAGCGACTAAACACCTGTGCCCAGCCTGACTCCGCCCACATGAAGATTTGAAAATGTTCTCTTAAAAGGGCGTTGCCTGGAGGACCAAAGGACAAGAAGGGGGGCTTAGAGTTGGGCGTGGTCTGGGCTGTGATTGACAGCTCACTTGTCACACAAAAAAAACAGACAGTTGTCATTGCTGCTTAAAGCAATAGTTTACAGACCAGAAAGTCTCATTCCACCTTTGATTACACACTAAGATAATTGTAAAGCTACACACCTGAACCTAATCACACTCAATAATCTCAGAATCACTCATGTAATTTAATTTTAATCCACTAGATGGCGCCAGAATACTCCAAACTGCAGCTGGGGCGTGTGTGAGAGTTGGATGGGTTTATATCACTGGCTCTGACAGACTGACGTCACACAAAACAACTGATGTCATAGAGAACTTCAGAGTCAATGGAGAGGCCAGAACCAAATTAAAATGTAGTACCACCAAAAAAGTTGAGAGGGCGCCACACAGACGTTTTTTGGCTCAAAAGTGATATTTTATCTAATTTGAACTAAAATGTCAAAAAAATGACCAGGATATGTAGAGAGCACTACAATAAACATATGTATGGAGTTTATGAGTTGAAAAAAGTTGATTTGGCGTTTAGTCGCTCTTTAAAAAAACTGGTTTGTTTCTTTCAAATGACAGTGAAGACATTGGCAGCCGATAGGTGTGGTAGTCGAGTCTCTTGTGCTAAATGCTTACTCTTAATTATGGGGCAGTAGTGCAGTGGCCGTAGGAAGTACGTAGCTCTTCCTACTGTACGTGTGAATGCAAATGTGGTTGATTACACGTAGGACTTCAATTGAAAAGATTTTTTTTTAAATAAAGGTTGCACACAGTCACGACATGTGTCCGAGAGAATAAGTCGATCAAACAAACAGAGCCTCACTTCTATAATGTCGTTTTTCACAGGACTTTGTGACATCATGTGTGCTTGAAATAAAAACGAAATAAAATAAAACAAAAAAGTTTAAAAAGTACTACACATTGGATCCTCTACGGCTGAGAGCTGAGTGGCTGATGCAGAGGAAATCTATCATGAACACACCTCTCAGGATTATAGCTTTGGGCTAAATTTCAATTTCAGTCGCACTAATAAACACAGGGGAAACCGGAGCACCCGGAGGACACCTTTGCAAACACATGGAGAACAAATTAAAAGTACTGGATTCTTCTATACCAGACAATATATAATATAAGTCTGGTATCATATAACTTATATTGTCTGGTAGAGAAGATCCCAGTACTTTTAATTCTACTAAGAAGACAAGATGAATCTTCCAAAACAGGGAGAACATGCAAACTCCACACAGAAAGGTGGAATTGAACCCAGAACCCAGTTCATTCTTACGGTGAAGCATAAGCTCTTTGGTTGTGCTAGCAGACAAACATTCATGCGCTATTGTGACAGATAGGACGGTGGATAAAAATAAAAAAAGTAAATTAATTTGAAAACCAGATATTGTTTGTTTCTTACCCAGTTCTTTTCCCTGGAGCATTATCCTTTTTGCTGGAACCAATCGCTCTTTTGGGTAAAGAAGTTTGATTTTCTTGTAAATTCGATGATGCCAAAGCTGTACTGTCTTCTGTGAGAGAGTCTTTCCGTCCAGTCGAAGATTCAATGGACGAATCTACTTTTCTGTAAACACATTCACATATTGTAGACTCTCATAAATAACCATAAAATCATAATCGTGAATGTATCCTAGTGTCCAACCTTTGTTTCTTTCTGGTGGCCTTTGTCTCTACAGGTTTACTTTGTGATTTCTCAGGGCCGGCGCTGTCCTTAGTTGTGGATCTAGGATTAGCTTCGTCCACTGTTGTAAAAACGTTGCTGAAGAAAGACTCCGAGACATTTGTGGGCCCCTCCTCCAGCTCTATCAAGTCACTGGACTACAACACACAAAAAAAGCTGATGAAGATGCACTGTTACACAAATGAGTTCATGAGTAATTCCTTGACTTTCACAAACAATTTACAGGACAGGCACAGCGGTGATAATCGGGTATCTAAAATCAAAATAGAAATGGAGAGATGTGCTTTCCCTTTCACATAATAAGGATAGCCCTAATCACATAAAAACAAGTCCCATGTAATATTTGCTTCGATCTGCGCTGTTCACATAAACAAACCAAGAGGTAGGAATGTGTGCTGTGTCATTACCTTTGGAGCCCAATACCTTCTTGGGGCACTCTAACAAAGTAAAAGTACATACACCTACCGCAGTGTCTAACAAATAATATCTTCCAGGGCACATGTTTGAGACAGCTATAAACATGAATTATTAAATACTATGATGTCCTTTATATACCTAGATATGAGGAATGAGGAGCACACAAACAAGATAAATGATTATGTATTGCACACCTAAAAAAAAAAAAAATCTATCTTTAGCTTAAGCAAGAAGAATACACTTTTATGTATACATCTGTAGATAAATCTGTAGATACACTCTAGAAAAAAATGGCAGTGATTGCTTAGTGCATATTTATTAATTGTTGATGTTAACGACATCTATAATGACCCCTTTAATCTTTCCGTTTTCTTACCTCAGATGAAAAACAGGTGAGCTGATCTTTAATTGAACTCGACGTCATTGTTTTTGAAGACTGTGTTTCAGAATGTTCCTTTTGAAGTTCACGTGTGGCTTTTGTATTTCTGAACACAACCATTCTAAGTGTAAGTCAACATTACACTATAAAACTGTATGAATGTTGTCTTACCTGGTTTGTCGCTTCCTCCCCTTAGTCTCAGAAGGCTTCCTCTTTGTTTCACTGGTGAGCGATGGGCTTTCTTCATGTGCTGTGGTTTCTGGGACATCTTTAGCGTTATCTGAACACTCATTGACTTCTTTGGCAGCTGCCTTCCCAGTTAATTTTGTCTCACTAAGACCTAGATTTCACAATGACCAGTCCTTAATTGGTGGATCTTAACAGATTGACTTGAGGTTGTGATCGTGCAGACTACCTTTGACTGGAGGGTGGCTCTCTGTTAGTGAAGCCTCAGCTATATTATCTTTACTGTTGTCCTCAGCTTCTGCTAAAATCAATGTTCTTCTGGATGGGTTTGCTGTAAAAACAAAACATCAGATATATGCTAATGACAATAATAATATTCACAAATAGTTAGAAGTGATAAAAAAATCTACCTTGAGGCTCTTCCAGTATGCTTATGTCCTGGTAAGAAGACGACATTTTTATTTTAGTTATGGTTTCATAAAAGCGTCACAGTGTCATTTTGGTTGCATTTGTGTGACATCACATTACAAAGAGCCTAGAGTAGAAATTGTGCTGGAGGGAAGCTGACAAATCTTTCCACATAACTATGGGAAATTTGTTTTTAGAATATGTATTTATATGTATGTGTGCATGTATGCAAGTGTGCGTGCATGTGCCTGTGTGTGTATGTATGTATGTGCAACCGTATAAAGTGAAATTAATTATATGGGGTGGGACCTTGAAGGTATGAGTAGGATTTTCTACTTCTGGGTGGATCATCCAGACTATTGGTCCTCCCAACTGTCAATCATTCTGGTGCTCGTCAAATAAGACCAGAGTTTTTCTTTCAAAAAGTGGAGAGGGCGGTTCTTTCCTAAACCAAAGTGACCAAAGTGAGAAAATGGAAAGCTTTAAATGTTTGCATGGATGCATGTTCATGTACGTATGGATCATGTATGTAAATGGTGTAAATTCCACAATTGAATCTATTATTGTGTGTGCTTCAAAAGTCAGATTTCTAGTCATCCCTGGGTCAAACAAGAAACAAAAAACGTATCAATTTTGACAGAGCATAACTGACTATTTTCTCATAAAATAGATGTCTAGATGTGGTGAGAATAGTCAGGGACTTCCAGACCTATATGGCGGGTTTCTCGACCATGGGTCATTTCTTTCTTATGACCCATGGAATTGTGCCACCGGCCCTCCAACTGAAAAACAATTCTCCGACATGAACCTATTCACTCACAACAAAAGGTGCTGATGGGAGATATTCCTCTACACGAATGAGGTCAGATCCAAGAGCGGCTTTCTCTGGCGTTGGAATGTAGATGTCAGAGAGCGAGACGTTAACACCAGTTGCGGGCGGCAGCACCGGCTCGACAGGATTTCTATAGAATAAGAATTTGTTTTTGGATACAGACAATGGTATCCTGTTTGACTACTGTATTATCAGACAGATGTATATGCAAATACCTCTGCTGTGCCTCCATAGCTCCCCCTGATGGACAGAACGGTATCTCCGTCAGAGAGAGGATGAAAAATGGCTCGTCGGGATCAGAGGGGACCTGATCTGGGAGCACTTTAAAACCACATAAACCAGTTAAGGTAAAAACAAAGTATATGGCATAGATTACATATTACTGTTTCAGCTTACTGTCTGCGAATACATGTTGGTAATCAAAGGTTTTCTATAAAGATGGAGGAAAAAAACAAGATGAAAGATGGTGAAAATATTTAAGAGCACAAATGAAAAAAAATCATAGTTAAACATTTACCGATGCAGCTGCAGCCTCAGTGTTTTGGGGCTCAGGAGGCTCGGAATCACGACTTTGAGAAATGCCTGTTTGAATATAAATAATGCGTTTAATTGAGATTTTTAAATAAAAATTATACATCTAGGCAGGCAGGTAAGTATTTATATCAAACTTATATTTTTCATACTGCATGACAAAACAAACAAGATACATAAGTTTGATTTGAAAAACAGAAAATCAGAATCGATCTGACCTTGATTTTCATAAGTGTTGCCCTCAGCTTGATGCACGTTGACTGAATCACTTGGAGAACTGTGAACAAACGCTTGTAAGTACGAAATTGGGGTTTAGAATGACATAATTGCACGTTTCGCTTACCGTTGAACAAGCTGGCAGCTCTCCACGCTTGTCTGATTTGAGCCACATGCTTCGGTAATCTTGTCGACCATTTGAAAATTCACAGAAAAGCTCTTTAGTTCCTCTGGTGTTGAAATGGACTCGGGCAAAGCAGGTGAGATGAGATCTGTAGTTGTTGAGTTCAAACTACATGAAGCTTGTTGAGCCTCTACTGCGTCTTTGATTCCCGTTTCTGTATCTGGTTTTGAAGATGCTGAGTGAGATGTCGTGGATGTGGGTTCTACAAGCTCGCCGATCGGGAGGCTGTTATCCTGCGCCCCCACTTTCGACTTTGTGGTGCGAGGCAATGACACCAATTTGGGCTTGACCTTCGGAATCCACCGCCTTCTTTGAACCGCGCCGAGTTTGGAGCTTTCAGAGTCCGGCTTTGACTGTGGAGCAGGCTTGTCTGTTTTCTCCTCTTCTGAAGAACGATCAGTTTGGGTCAAGTTCTTGTTTCCGAGTTCAGGGGCTTTCATTGTTTCGCCGACCGCTTTGACTGGCTCTTGCTGTGTCTCTACGCATTGGGCAGATGGAGTAACAGCACATTTTTCTTTTACGTGGCCCAAATCTGTCTCACTGCCGCTGTTAGATCCAGGGTCTGTTTGTTTCTTTGAGTCTTTGCGAGATACCAGCACAGATTCTGAGACGGACACTGGGGCTGGCTGGGCTTCACTCGTTACCGCGGTTGCACACTTGAGATTTATTTTTTCCTCAGGGTCAACGGCAGATTTTTTTCTCGAAGATCGCCCAATGTTTGGCTTCGGTTTAATCTTGGGAAGCCTTCCTTTCCTTGGCAACGCAGATGTTTTAGAACTTTGAATGGCGAGTTCAGGAGCAGCAGTGGTTTCTTGTAGGCTACAGGTGTCATCACTGGGTTTTATTTCAGAAGATTTCACCTCTGGAATCTCATTCGTTAACCTTACAGCTTCATTTTTATTGATAGATTGTTCTAAAACAGGCGACGTGGATTCCTCCTGACTTTTTAATGACGGAATGGTAGTGGTAATGTCATCGCAAACAGCTTCAACAGTTTGTTTGCTAGTTCCTAAATCACAAACAAGGCTTGGTTCTGTTGAGCTCTTTGCAGTCTCAGTTTGTTTAGGGGATAAAGAAGTCTCTGGAGTAACTTTTTGCTCAGGGGATAAGGACGTTTCTGGAGTAACCTTTCCCTTAGGAGATAAGGTTGTCTCTGGAGTAACTGTTTGTTTAGGGGATAAGGTCGTCTCTGGAATAACTTTTTGCTTAGGAGATAAGGGTGTCTCTGGAGTAACCTTTTCTTTAGGGGGCATGGCTGTCCCTGGAGTAACTTTTTGCTTAGTCGACGAGGTCGTCTCAAGAGTAACTTTTTGCTTAGGGGGCATGGTTGTCTCTGGCGTTACCGTTTGTATATGAGACATGGTTGTTTGGGGAGTAACCTTTTGTATAGGGGATAAGGTTGTCTCTGGAGTTACTGTTTGTTTAGGGGGCATGGCTGTGTCTGGAATAACTTTTTCCTTAGGGGACAAGGTTGTCTCAAGAGTAACTTTTTGCTTAGGGGACAAGGTTGTCTCAAGAGTAGCTTTTTGCTTAGGGGACGAGGTTGTCTCAAGAGTAACTTTTTGCTTAGGGGGCATGGTTGTCTCTGGCATCAGCGTTTGCATACGAGACATGGTTGTTTGGGAAGTAACCTTTTGTATAGGGGGCATGGTCGTCTCTGGAGTTGCTTTTTGTATAGGGGGCATGGTCGTCTCTGCAGTTACTCTTTGTATAGGGGGCACGGTCGTCTCTGCAGTTACTCTTTGTATAGGGGGCATGGTCGTCTCTGCAGTTACTCTTTGTATAGGGGGCACGGTCGTCTCTGCAGTTACTCTTTGTATAGGGGGCATGGTCGTCTCTGCAGTTACTGTTTGTATAGAGGGCATGGTCGTCTCTGCAGTTACTGTTTGTATAGAGGGCATGGTCGTCTCTGCAGTTACTGTTTGTATAGAGGGCATGGTCGTCTCTGCAGTTACTTTTTGTATAGGGGGCATGGTCGTCTCTGCAATTACTGTTTGTATAGGGGGCACGGTCGTCTCTGCAGTTACTCTTTGTATAGGGGGCATGGTCGTCTCTGCAGTTACTGTTTGTATAGAGGGCATGGTCGTCTCTGCAGTTATTTTTTGTATAGGGGGCATGGTCGTCTCTGGAGTTACTGTTTGTTTAGCGGGCATTGTCGTCTCTGGAGTTACTTTTTGTATAGGGGGCATGGTCGTCTCTGCAGTTACTGTTTGTATAGAGGGCATGGTCGTCTCTGCAGTTACTTTTTGTATAGGGGGCATGGTCGTCTCTGGAGTTACTGTTTGTTTAGCGGGCATTGTCGTCTCTGGAGTTACTTTTTGTATAGGGGGCATGGTCGTCTCTGCAATTACTGTTTGTATAGAGGGCATGGTCGTCTCTGCAGTTACTTTTTGTATAGGGGGCATGGTCGTCTCTGGAGTTACTGTTTGTTTAGCAGGCATTGTCGTCTCTGGAGTTACTTTTTGTATAGGGGGCATGGTTGTCTCTGCAATTACAGTTTGTATAGAGGGCATGGTCGTCTCTGCAGTTACTTTTTGTATAGGGGGCATGGTCGTCTCTGGAGTTACTGTTTGTTTAGCGGGCATTGTCGTCTCTGGAGTTACTTTTTGTATAGGGGGCATGGTCGTCTCTGGAGTTACTCTTTGTATAGGGGGCATGGTCGTCTCTGGAGTTACTTTTTGTATAGGGGGCACGGTTGTCTCCTTTACCTCACAGGGTTCATAACCAGTTTGAGGTGATGGCATGAGTGATGGTGTGTTGTTTGTTGGTCTATTTTCAGTCTGTGATGGTTCAGGCTCATCTTGTCTTGATTCCAGTGGTTCAGACGTATTTGGCTGACTGGTTGCTGTGGTCTCCAATTTGACCGGTTTGGTTTCTTTAACACAAACAGTCTTTGTTGCCCTTGAACCAAGGTTGGGCTTAGGTTTGATCTTAGCAAACCTTCCTTTCTTGGGAGGAGGCGACTTCTCTTGTGTGCTACATGATTCCTCTTCAGATTTATTAGAAGTATGAGGGGCTGGAAACTCTGCAGTTTGGCTTATTTCAACGGTTGAAGGCTGCAAACTCTCATTGTATTCTTCAAGTTGAAAGGAAATGGATGTATCATCAACATCAATAGAAATACTGCTTTCAATGTCTGAAAAAAACACATAGATTAAGATAAGATAAGATTTACTTTATTAATCTCACAAAGGAAAAATTTACATGTCACATCTGGCATGGATAGAAACATTCAAGATTGTGCAAAAAAAAGAAATGTGCAAACAAATGTAGGATATATCATGTACAATAAAAAGTGGCAATTTAAAAAGTGGCAATCAGAAACAGTGACAAACAGTGCAGGTTTTTTCAGTCTTAATGCAGTGACTTAAAGTGATTTGTACAGTCTGACAGCAGTGGGGATTATACATTTAGGGACAAATTGTAAGCAGAAATACATTTGTAAGTACATTTGGAAATACATATTGAACTTGTAAATATAGCAAGACATGGTGAAACTATAGAAAATAGTGTAGCTTGATTGAGTATTATATGTATATATATATATATATATATATATTGTAAGCACAGTAGGAAAAATAACAGAAGTAGAAGTCTATTAACCACAGAATGTAAATACTATAATGTATGTTTTTATTGTATTTGTCTGTGTCTTGTGGTGTCTTTGGATTGTCTTTTATATGGACCTCGAGACTGGAATAAATATTATAATTATCATTTCTGTTCGAATTAATAAATTCAATCAATAATTACGTAATCCTTCACACACTATATTAACAAACAAACAAACAGTTATTCTTACTTGATGTGTGATCCAACTCCGATGCCTGCCTGTCTGTCAGCTGGGGCACATTAGATAAATTTCCTATGGCCAGCAAAGTCTGAGCCGCCTCATCCTCAGAGGCTTAAAAAAAGGCAGGATCATTTATATTAAGTACATTTCAGTGATTTTATATAAATAAGGACAACATGCCTACCTTCTGTATGTTCTGAAAGGAAGTCTATGACATCCTGAAAAAGAAACATCTGTGGTCAAACATATGTAAAGCAATTACAACTAAAAAGTGGTACAGTAGTCCCTCACTATAACACGGTTCACCTGTCGCGGCCTCGCTGTTTCACCATTCTCAATAGAGCCAACTAGATACTCCAATAACACCATATAACCGCTAGTAGAACATGACAGTCACCTAAATCCTACACGAGTAAACTTTATTGCGTAAGATTATTTCAGAGGACTACCGCAATCTTTCCGTAGGCCTCAGTCCTGCTCCTGCCCCTCAGCGCGTTGTCCCATGAAACTATATTTTACAGTGTATGCACGGCTTTCAACAGCTGCAGCAGCGCTCAGACCTACAACCAACAGGTTTGATATCTCCCGTCAGCAGTGGTGGTTCAAGTAGAAAAGTGTATAAATTGTGTGATGTGGGGTTTTACAGCCTTAAAGTAAGAAAGTAAGTAATCTTCAATTATATAGCGCCTCTCGCAGATTTGTGCTCTATATCCGCACAGTGATGGGAGTGGGGTCGCATGAGGTACATGCACACAAAGTACAGGTTTTTAGTGCTAAGGGAAAGCAGAGCACCCAGATGAAAACCTACAAAGGCACGGGGAGAACATGCAAACTCCACACAAGAAAGGCCTTGAGAGGTGGACTCAAACCCAGCTCTGAAGCACAAGCGCCACCGTGCATCCCACATATAACAAACATAACAATACAGCAGCTAATTCACGGATTTATTTTATTGCGGGCTATTTTTCAGAACGAGGGACCACTGTACGACCAAAAAAACGTGAAGGACGGTGAAAAATGGGCACGTGCGTGATGGGTTAAAACTTACGACGAGGAGATCCAGCTGGTGCTCACAGGGTTCAAGAGAGCCACTTTCATTGGGCTCGAGCTCGTCAGGGAACAGGGCGTTGGTGGACATGCCCAACACGTCAGGCATGTCATGGGGCAACAGCTAAGAGTGAAATGAGGGCCGGGCCATACAGCAGAGAGAGTGCGCATTGAAATGAAAAACCATGCACAAAAAGAAAAAAACACACCAAAAGAAAAAAATATTTACGGATGAAGTGATTGAAGCAGTGGTTATGATGAAGACATGGGAGTTTATTAGCCACAGATATATGTTCCCTTACCTCCTCCATCGTCTCCTCCACGTCTCCCACCACGGGTTTGGGAGAGCACAGACTGGCCGGCACGAAGGCGTCTTTACTGTTCTCTTCGTCCCAGTGCGGGGCGTGAGCTTCCTCTTCGTCGTCGTCACTTTCTTCCGACTGCGAGGCCCGGAGGGTGATCAGCGTGGGCTTCTTCGATTCTTTCGTCGCTTGTTTCTGCGCCGTTCTTCTCTTCCCTTGGGTTTTGCTTTTGCGTTTGGATGCGGCGTCGCGTCCGGGGGAGGTCAAGGTGCCGTCGGATGCGGAGGAGTGTCGGTCTTCTTTCGCCGGGTAGTTTAGGGACTGCACGGGTTTGGAGATTCTCCCAGATCTATTAGAACACAGCTGTGAGTTCATGCCAAAATCATGGGCCAAATTTGAACCTTTTTTGACTTTTTTCCATCATTTTTTGCAGTGTATAAGATCAGATCAGATTCAGATTCAGATTCATTTATTTGCCATTTGCAGTAAAACCACATTGATTAGACTGTAGGTGCGGACTTACCTTGTTGGTTTTGAGTTCAACACTGTAACCTCTTGATCTGAATCATTGTCCGACAGTCTCTCTCTAGTTTTTGGTGAATGCACAATGATCTAAACAAACATGTCTTTTAGTGGGAAAATTATAAAAGTTTAAAAAGGTGGATTAAAGAGAGTTCTCTCCCACCTGGGCCTCGACCGTTTCATCACTCTTGCTCTCTCCTTTATCCGAAAGTATAGCTTTGGACTTGGGTGCTTTTCGAGCTTTGTGACCAAGGAGTGTGGCTTCTGTGCTCTTGTCAGACTCTGGTGTTTCAACGTCCTCTTGTCTACAACATCAAACAGAAGACTTTAAGATATCGCACACACACACACACACACAAACGCACACTGTATAAATCGTCACACACAAAGTACTCACTGTATTTCCGCAGGTATCGCCTCGTCATCTGCAAGTGTCCAAAGAAAGTTAAAGTTGCAATATGCAAGATTTTCATGAAAAGTCATCATTAAATGGCCCTGAACCATGTTCTTTTCGAATACCTCTTTAACTGATAACAGTAATTCAGCCAAGATATTTGGATTTCAATACTAATTTTACAGCCCCTCTATCTTATTATTGTTTTCTATTTCTATGTCCCACCCCCCACCGTTTTACCAATCAGAAAGTCTGTGATCCGGGTTGCCAGAACTCACCGCGTCGAGCTAATCTCACTGGTAAAGTGACATGTGGCCGCAGAACTAAAAATGACAAAACAAGAAAATACAGCTATATTTGTTTGCATATCTGGCAACCTGAATCAGGGAGATTGGGGGAGTAATTGTAATACCACATTTGGCTAGATGTTTACATACTGCTCTTTTAAACTTGTTGCAATACAAAATATAAAGTTATTTCTTACCTGGCATGTTTTTCCTTTTCTTCTTCTCCGCTTTTGAATCTGGGGAAGGATCGTCTTTATCTTTTCTTTTGCGCTTGCTTCTGGAGTCTGATGTGGTCTTATTACAGAGGTTCTCCTTCTCTCCTTCCTGCTCTTCGTTGGAAATATCCTCAGCTTCCTCCTCCACGTCACTCAGACTGATGGTCTCCTTTTTACCTGCGACGTACCCGGCGTGTTAATAAAACACATAAAAACCATGAAATAATTTCAAAAGAACACACATCTCACCTGATTTTCTTTTACGTTTTCTAGGCGCTTTTTCTTTTTCGCTTATTGCCTTTAATTTCTTTTTACTCTCCTGATATTCAATAATCTTCTGTAGCAATTTCTTGAAATACTCCAGATCCAGTCTACGTCTCTCTCCTACAGAAAAATGCCTTTAACCAATACAGTAAATAATGCTGCACACATTAAAAGTATTAGAGTTACATACTGAAGGCTTTGTCAATCCTCCAAGCATTGTGCCGTTCCTCCTTTTTAAATTTGTTCTTTAAAAACAGTAGAATAATTACATGCATATTATTCTAAACCACAAGTATATTTCTTTTAACTATTTACCTTAATTTCCGTTCGTGCTCTGTGAGGAAAGAGTTGACAGATCATGCTAAAATCAGTGCCCACCATGTTGATGGCTAAAAAGAACATGTCGGTCTCTGCAAAAAGGAAAGATTAAAGTTAATTGTGATTGTGTTTTAAATTGAGATAAATTGATAATGACGGTTTGGAATCTTAACCTTCCGTCGACCAGGGCTTCGTGTGGGTCCCTTTTCTGAAGCTTGAATAAGTTGTGGTGGAGCCTCGTTCAAAAATCGGATCTCGGTCTTGAATTGTATTTGGACCTTTCATTCTCTGGACCTCCACCGTCAAGCTACAAAAATAATGAGAGATATCAACGTTGGATAAGAGTAAAAGACTGTGTTTTTCACTTTTGACATTTGTTAGTTTGTCATTTCTTTTGTCATTAGTCAAAAACAAGCACAATTTCATACATGCGATTGAAACAGAAGTTTGAGTTCATTTCCTTACTCCATTACCAATAAAAAAGTTCACAAAACGTGGTGAATCCATAAGAAATGAAAAAAAGTGCCCAAGGCTTTAAAATGCTTTCTGAAAGACTTCGTACATTTCTAATAGTATATCTAATCTTTCTTAATGTTCTATTTCTGTACAAAACAAACCTCATTTTGGACATATTTTTCCCTAAGTTGTCACAATTTTATCTCATTTTTTTTCCTTACTGGTGTTGCTACTTCCTTTTCCTCCCTAGCTTGACAAAGGTGTAACACAAACAAAAGCTCTACTTTGCATGTAATGAGTCATTTTGTGATATTTGTTTCACATTATAAGTGGAACCTATGGAAATAAAACTTTTGCATAATATTCAAATTTTCCCTGAGTTCCCAAAGTTTCATCTGCATAAGTCTACACATCATATCAAAGACAAAGGGCTACACACCTTTCCTCATCGATGATAAGGGAGCCGTCCTCTGCCACTTTGACCTGAGGGACCATGACTGCATCTTCATCCTCCCCGTCCTCTTCCTCCTCCGCCTCCTCCTCCGCCTCCTCCTCCTGCTGCTGCTGCTCCTCTCCAGCAGCTGAAGCGTCGTCCATCGGTTCTGGCAGAGAAGGACTGAACTTCTTGGGCTGGACTTCGGCCTCCTGTGCCCTCTCTGGTGACCTGTCAGCAAAAACAAACCATCATCCATTCTGTTACACATAAAACACAAACCCCGGACTATTTACTTGAACTGATTCTGAATTATTGTGATTCAGTACAACATGTCATACCGCATTTCGAAGCTTATTTTCTCGAGAATACAGAATATAAAACAATCTTTCAGTTTATTATTTATCAGCCGTTGCCTGGGCAAACAAGGTCTGCGTCAGGTGCTGGGGAACCAGAGCACCTTGATGAAAAGTGGGCAACTGGAACCAGGCGAAAGTGGGTGAGATGCGATATATACACCATTTGAACCCATGTATTTGGATATAGCTAAATATAACTAAAACGAGTCATTGGCAAGTTTACAATTACAAGCCTTCTTCACCTTAGGTCCAGTTTTGGTTCAATACAAAAACACACAGTAACTCATTTTGTTGTCAAACTGCCTTAATAGTGAAAAAAAAAGGGTAACGCTTTATATTAAGGTGTGCTTGTTAAGTATTAATAAGGTATTAATAGACATTAGCAACATGCTTATAGATTGCTTATATGTACTTATAAACATATTAATAAGCTGCTCATTTCACTATTCTCTAAATGATGTTGTTCTAGTTATATGCTTTTAAGCATTTAATAAGTAATTAGTAAGATACTTATTAAAGGAGGAATATGTTTATAAATATATGAATAAGCTGCTTATTAAACTATTATCGATACCATGTTAATAGGCCACTAACAATATGCCTATAAAGATATTAATACGCTGCTTATTAATAGGTAATAGTGGTAATAGGCCACTAAAAATATGCGTTAATAAACTGCTTATTACACTATTTTGATGTACCCTAATCTAAAGCGAGGAGCATTTTTGTTAATGCAGAAAAAAACACAACAATGATCTAAGATGTTTTTATTTATTCAAACAGCAACAATTAAAGTCTAAATGAAAAAAAAAAATCAAAATTAAGTTTGTGCCAAAAGTTTGTTAGTAACTTCAGGAGCCATGATGAACCCACTCATGCTCCGACCTGCTCCGTTAATGAATTTGGCTTTGGCAAAACAGTGAATCAACTGACTTCACGAGCCTGAGAGATTAGCGGAACTCGCCTATTTTTGGGCATCGTCTGGTCCTCCCTGTTCTGCGCAGTGGACGAGCTCCCATGATGCTTTGCGCCAAATACGCTTGCGTGGCTGTCATGCACGTGCACAGAGGGGCCGTGCTCTGACCAATCAGAGCTGCTGATCAGAGCGAGAGTTAGAGCGGGAGTTAGAGCGGGAGCCAGACGAGTAGAGTTTGTGGCCGTAAAATGTGGATTTCCACTTTTTTTTGCTGATAAACGGTATAAATGAGTGTCCAATAGTGTTGTCTACATATCCTGGTCATAATTTTGTCACTTTGGTGCAAATTAGTTGAAAGTTAAACTTTCTGCCTAAAACCGTCTGTGAGGCGCCATCTGCTGGCAACCTGTGTTACTACATTTGAATTTTGAATCTGGCGCCTGAGACCGGACGTCAGCAACCCCCCGCCCAGAGCTATATAAACGGCCCAGTCTCGTTCACGCCCCCTTTAGTCCTCCAGGCTACGCCCATTTAGAGGAAGATTTGAACAGGAAATGTGAGTGACGTAAGCTCCGAGGAGCGGGGGTGAGAACCACTTTAAAGAAAACTGAAGGATTTAAGAAGAAAAAAAGTTCAGGATGACAAGGGACACTAAAATCCCCAGAAAATCCGAACTTTATGAAAGCTGTGGGTTCTCTGTCAGCGGAGGTCGAGCTGTTTTAATTTACATTGAGTTCTATGGGACTTTTTCTGGGTAGCCCTCATGAATTTAGTCTGCAGTACCACAGCGCCCCCTGTGCCCATGGGTGGGACAGCTATAAGATAGGAATACACTATCCAGTTATTATTATAGTTCCATGGTTGTGCCACAGGTGCGTTGTTTACATGGATCTATTATAATAACTGGATAGGGTATTACTAGCTTGTAGCTCGGGAGATTCTCGTGGTACTGCAAACTAAATTCACGTAGGGCTACCTAGAAATTGTCCCCATAGAACTCAATGTAAACTAAAACAGCTTGACCTCAGCTGACAGAGAACCTACAACTTTCATAAAGGTCGGATTTTGTGGGGATTTTAGTGTCCCTTGTCATCCTGAACTTTTTTTCTTCTTAAATCCGTCAGTTTTCTTTAAATCCACATTTTACTGCCACAAACTCAGCTCGTCTGGCTCTTACTCCCGCTCTAACTCCCACTCTGATCAGCAGCTCTGATTGGTCAGAGCGCGGCCCCTATGTGCATGTGCATGACAGCCACGCACGCGTATTTGGCGCAAAGCATCATGGGAGCTCGTCAACTGCGCAGAACCGGGAGGACCAGACGATGCCCAAAAATAGGCGAGTTCCGCTAATAGGGGTGTGACGATACTTTCTCCCGCGATTCGATTATCGATATGCATTTGCCAAGTATCGATATCAATTTTGAAAAAAAATATATATGTTTTTTTTTTTCGTTTTTATTGGTATCAATACTTAATATATGGCTACATTACGCATCTCCATTTTATTTATCATGATAAAGAGTATTTTTTATTTTATTTATGCCATAAATTGGCATATTGTATATTTCTGACCAATATATCAATAATCGTCATATTGTGATAAAATCGTTATTGTAATCTTTATCGTGAGCTTTGTATCGTGTATCGTATCGTATCGTGAGGTACCCTTAGGTTCCCACCCCTGTCCGCTAATCTCTCAGGCTCGTGAAGTCAGTTGATTCACTGTTTTGCCAAAGCCAAATTCAAGCAGGTCGGAGCATGAGTAGGGGCATCATGGCTTCTTGAAGTTACTAACAAACTTTTGGCACAAACTTAATTTTGATATTTTTTTTCATTTAGACTTTAATTGTTGCTGTTTGAATAAATAAAAACATCTTAGATCATTGTTGTGTTTTTTTCCATCCATCCATTTCCATCCATTTTCTTCCCCTTAATCCATTTCTGGGTCGGGGGGGTGGCAGTCAGAGCTACACCCAGTCCACAGAGCACCAGCCCCTCAATGATCCTCCTGCAGGTGGTGAGTCCACAGGAGCTGAGATCTTTCAGTTGGGGCTTTGGGCAAAGTAGGGTTAAGTGTCTTGCCCAAGGACACAACGACAGTAGTCATCAGTGGGAGTCGTGAAGTAGGTCTTACGGTGGGCTCGAACCCACGACCTTCAGGCCCAAAGGCCAATGCTCTACCAACTGAGCTACTGTCGCTCCTCGCTTTAGATTAGGGTACTGCAAAATAGTGTAATAAGCAGTTTACTAACGCATATTTTTAGTGGCCTATTACCACTATTGCCTATTAATAAGCAGCGTATTAATATCTTTATAGGCATATTGTTAGTGGCCTATTAACATGGTATCAATAATAGTTTAATAAGCAGCTTATTCATATATTTATAAACATATTCCTCCTTTAATAAGTATCTTACTAATTACTTATTAAATGCTTAAAAGCATATAACTAGAACAACATCATTTAGAGAATAGTGAAATGAGCAGCTTATTAATATGTTTATAAGTACATATAAGCAATCTATAAGCATGTTGCTAATGTCTATTAATACCTTATTAATACTTAACAAGCACACCTTAATATAAAGCGTTACCAAAAAAAGAATGTCATTGTTCTCTATCTTACTCAATATCCTAACACAAAGAGAAAGAAAACATTAAGGAACGTACGCTTCTCTTGCAGGTGATGGAGGGAGGACAGTCTCATTTTCCTGCTGGGATTCTAAAGATGTTCTGTATTTTTTTTAGAAGAAAATTGAAATCAATAAAGGGTCAATATGAAAAAAATGAAAAAAAACACTTTACATGATCACATAAAGAAGACTTACGACATGGGGTTGGCTGTTGGGAGATAACGGATAAGGTCCCGCATGGTCATCTTGGAGGGATCTAAACAATGCTCCTTTACATTTGATTTGGCCTTTTTCGTTTTCTATAAAGTGTTGAGACGTCGGTATGGTAAGCGCTTCCGGCAAAAGCATAAACATGAAAGATGACACGGAAACAAGGACATTTTTAACTCACCCCTTTCAGCATCTCTTGTTTCAGCAGTTGTCTGAGTTTCCGTGCCTTTTCCAACCTCACCAAATCAGACTTGTCATTGAGGAGTTGACTCAAGGAAAACTGCTGGGAGGACGCTGCCAGATTGGCTTTAGACATGAGAGTTTTGGCTTTCTCTGATATTTCAATAGCTTCTCTGTCGGGAATAGAACGTGGGACTGATGCTGTTTTAGGAGAGATTTCTTTCCCTTTGTTACATGGCTGTATATTGACAGTTTCATCAGGTTTGTGCACGTTTTTGCCTGAGCCTTCAAGTGGCAACACATCGTTCGTTGTAGGCAATCTGGAATCTTCCGAGGGTAATATTTCTTGCTGAGGTGCGGTGGAGTTTTCCTCAATCGCGGCGTCTGCTTTGTCGATGACTGGAGCTGGAGACTTGACGGGTGGAAGTGTGGGTTTGATTGGAGACTTGGGAGTTCGTGGGAGAGCAGAGGGACGACCTGGTAGGACTTTAGGCTTGACAGAAAACCTCTTTCTCCTCTGAATTGCAGATGCAGCAGCAGTTTCTCCATGCTGCTCATTTGAATCTCTGTGATGTAGAGAGATGTAGAGAAACAAGTCAATAACAATAATAGATGTCATCCATTAGTTTTAATAAGACAAGATAAGAAAGGATAAAATATAGTGATCTCACAATGGATGGAGACATTTACATTTCACATTTGGCATGAGTAGGATCACTCAGGTTAGGCAAAAGACAGGAATAGTGCAAACAGGAAATGTGCAAATATGTTACTAAGTCTAAAAGAGAGTCTCTTTTGTGCAAGATATATGATGTATAATTCAATTGAAGACAAAAAAGACACATAGAAGACTCACCCTGGGGTTTGCTTAATCGGTTCATCCGCAAGTTTAGTGTCAGTCGCAGAAACAGGAGTCTCTGCTTCAATGTTGGCTTTAGCAGAGTCTTCGTTTGATGGGGGGGTTCCCTGAGATGCACCTGTCCGCCCGATGGTGCTCAATTTGGGCCTGACAGACAATCTTGAACGCCGAAACATTTTATTCTGTCAAAAAGCAGATGTGGCGATTGAGTTAAAAAGGAGAAAACTTTGCACATCCGATGTTGTGACAGGTGCCAAAGAGACAGCCATGGACAGAGCTGAGCCAAACTCTCTCACACACACTTGTTCTTTTCAATAGGAAAATAGTTATGTCACAATAAGTTGTTTATGTGTGCACTTGTTTCGCAGATACGGGGAAATGGCAATACAATATTTTTTTCTGTCTTGAATATCTTTAAAAAATGTATGTTCAAATTGGTGTTCTTCAAGGTTAGTTTTATATGCAATGTGGATCTTGAATTTCATCTTCAACATTAAATCCTTCGATCCCAAAACCAGTTGCTGACTGAAATGTTGTCATAGCGTAGTTATAGGCCTCTACCCTGACTTTGTTCCAAACTAGGCTGAAAACATATCTGCTTAGCTGTGCTTCTGATAGTATTTTGTACTATTTATTGATTTATCTCCCTTTTTAAACCCACAATCTTTTACGCTGTTTCAATCAGAGATGTCGGTATACTTCATTGACTTTGTGGACTTTGATCTGTGTTTTAAAATTGCTCTTGTGAAGCACTTTGAATTGCCTTGTACACGAAATGTGCTATACAAATAAATGATTAATTGATTGATTGATTGAATAGCACCAGATTATAACGGTGGAAGTTCCCGGTTTTGTGACTTTCTATGTTTTTACAACACATAGAAACACATTAGTTTTGTTGGGGGGGGGGGCAACAGGCCGTCTGATATCTCCACAATTTATACCTGTTTTTTATCATAACAAATTGAACCTTTTTATCCTCTGATCTGTTGTACATCCCCTCAAGACGACGACTGTTATCATTGCGTCATTATGTACGTCATTATATACGGCACACTTATGGACTAAATACAAAAAAGCAACCATCCGCAAACTCAATGTGGCATACAATGATTGCTTGAGGATTTTATTGAAAAGGCCACAATGGGAAAGTGCAAGTATTGTTTGTGTCAGCAGGAATCAGGACATTTCAGGCCGCCATTCGATGTCTGATGTACAGTTTTATTTGTCGGCTCAATGAAAGCCAGAACATTATTGTCATAAGCCTGACAAATGTCAAATTCAGTGCCACACGGTACCAGTCAGATCTGTGGAGACACTGGTACTGATGTTTGCTCTGAGGAGTGAGGCTTATTGTTGTGATTATATGTATTTTTTTGTGTTTTTATGTGATGTGTTTGACTTATCCTGGACCATGAGTCTGTAATAAAAGTTTGATGATGATTTAGGGCCAACTATACAGAAATAAAATGTAATAGAATTGAATGGACTCAAACTGCAGGTAGTTCTTAGATATCCACACAGAAACAAAACACCATTAAAGTAATTTCTGTCTGTGTGGGATGTTTTCCTAGTTGACAGCAGAGAGCATGGGCTTGTTATGAGCATGATGAAATACTTAGCAACAACACAATATGCCTATAATCAAATAACTTAAACAACTAACTAAAACCTGTTTAAAAGCATATACAGCAGGCGTTAAACTGACTCTAAACTAATGTTATCTCGTAGCTACAGCTAACGTGAGATACTATGGGGGGCTTTAGTTACTACATTTGTCGCTGTGGGGAGAATGTGGAGCACATTTACGGTGTTTAAATCATGTAGAAGTTGGATTATAAATGTAAACTTATACCTGTTATATCATGGAGTCATCTGGTGAAAATAATCCATTATTACTGGTCAGAAAATTTGTAGAAAAAGATCCATGGACACACGCTACTCCGCCATCTTTGCTCTGACGTCACGGATGTTGTGCTCTGCGTAGCCGCAAAGCATCGTGGGACATGTAGTGTTGCAGTAGAACGACGAACATGACTCGGACCTATATTATAATACATCCATGGACTCTACTCCTAGTATTATTAGTACCAATTTTGACGGTCAATTGATTAAAATTAAAATAATTACCATCTACGACTGCGTATTTGTGCCATATTAACACAAGAACTACCATAGCAGTCAATTTGATAACTTTTAGATTTGTAATTCCTCAGCTCATGTACATTTTCTGTCACCTTGTGATTTTATTATGTATTTATATGTTGGGTATTTCTATGTCAATATTTTATTAAACGGTCTTTTTTCAAATATGTTAGCTCCACCTGTACCTAATTCCATGTATTTGAATGGGAGCAGTCGAAATAAAGGCTGTGAGAGTTCTAGTTGATTCAGAAATCTGGGAGTTCTATAGCCGGGAAAATTGATGATTGGGAAAAAAATCCACGATTAAAACATGTAAATATGCCAATTTTCAAAATTGCAAATTTTCTTGCTTTTTACGATAAAGTATTGTGTCTTTTTTCCAATTTTTATATATATATATGTTTCCAACTTTAAAGTGGCACTAATACCCTGTGACCATCATACTCCTGGAAAAGTTAAAGATTAAAATAAAGAAATAATGCACTGTAGTAAATGCTTTTCACTTTTCCAGCATTCTTCAAATATTTGTGATAAAAAGTCTTGAAATAGGCGGACTGGAAACATTGATGCAAAACACCTAGCATACTACAAATGTATCATTGTTAATCTTGTACAGGTATGTCCAAACTAAGGCCCAGGGCCCAATTGCGGCCCTCTGTATTGTGTCATGTGGCCCTCTGCCTTGCTAACCCAAATTAGCCATTGAGATCATAAACATGAGTTCGCAGAACCATCCAACTTCAGCTCCACCGTTATGGACATGCTCCACCTCGTTGTAAAGCTCAGATCCTTTCGAACTTTTATTTGCATATCCTGACATTTGTTTTTGAGTTCCAAAATCTCTTATGTGGCGCTAATGTTGCACAAAATATAAGCACACAAAAGACTTCATAATGTAGTTGTTTTATTTGAGTATTTGTTGTATACCAGCAGTTAAATACAAACTTGTTAAGGTCTTTTTACTGAATAGAAACCACATCTAGACTTTCTGAAATCAGGCCAATCAGCATAAATGTGTAGAGTTTGTGCGTAAAATATGGCAAAAAAATAATTGTTTATTTTTTAATCCAAAGTTATTATTTCTTGTGACAATCTTCTTTGTTGCCATTTACTCCCATAGTATCTGTAAAATCACACAAAACACGATTAGACTATAAGCAAATATCTGGAATTTGAAAAGTAAACTGCAAAACCAATCACTCAACTTTTATAATATCTTTTTTTATTTTTTTTTATTCTCAAGCAAAAGGGTCATCAAAAGCCACTCCAAGAGAACCAGAACTTTGGCCAAATGAAGGGTTCATCTGAAAAACAACAATTACAAATGTGAGAGTTAGCATGTACTCATAGAAATTAACTTGTTTTTAATTGTTTTTGAAATGTGAAGAGTTCTAGATTTAAATGCAGTCATTTCAGATAAAGCTGGTTCTGGACTGGTTTTGGACTTGTCCTGGTTCAGCTTAGTTTTCCACCAGAGACGAGTGAATGCTGATTAACATAGCAACACACTGAATGGCCATTATTCAGGGCAGGGCCTGGTTAGTACTGTGATGGGAGACCTCTGGGAACACCAGGTGCCACAGTGGTGCAGCTGCAGTTGTAAAGTGTCGAACTGTCGTTGTGTTAAGACACTTCATCAGACACTTCATCCACATTGCCTAGAATGACTCTGATGGGGGTGATTGGAATGGCCAATGGCACATACCAATTGCCTCACTTCAGTGTGCTCCTGCGCAACTATGGCTACAGTTGTAATTTATCACCACCGTGTATGGAGTGAAAGAATAAAGACATGTGAAGCATCTTTAAGTGTCCTGAAAAGCGGTATATAAAACGGATGCATTATTATCATTATCATTTAAAGGGAGCAGTCAAAATTAAGTCTCTGGGAGTTCAAGTAGTTGAATAACTGTGGGAATCCTAGTATTAAAATGCATGTACCACTGGTGGTAGAGTTGAACTTGATGTTGAGACTCCAAAAGCATCATCGAACATGTTCTGGCTGATGCTTTGGGTTTGTGCTGGAATTGGAGAAAAAGCATCCATAAGTCCTGGGACCATGGCGCCCGCTGGTTTCGGCGTTCCTGCATCAAGTTTTAAAATGTCATATCAAATATCCAATAGATTATTATCCTGACATATTTTTATCTCTTGAACATAGCTCTTACCATTAGGGGCTGCTGAGATCTGATGTATGTCAAAGTCGTCGTGATCAGCTGTTTCCTGAGCCACGCCCACTTTACTGGAGAAGTACTGGTCAAATGCTCCGTCTTCTTTACTCCCAGCGTTTGACCCCTGTTCTCCTTTTCTTGCTGGAATGGCCGGTGGCTTGGCGATCTTGAAGTCTTTGAACATGTCCTTTCCCATCTTCTTTTCTTTATCCCCGAGTGGATCCAAAGCCGTGAAGGCGCTATTTTCAACCTTTGGAGGCTCCTTCACAGGTGGCCTGGGAGGGGGCCGAGTCGGTCCGTGCTGCTCAGCCCCAGCAGAGAAAGGCCCAGCGTGAAAGGGGTTACTGGGAGGATGGCCCCACCCTGGAGCCATAGTTGGAGTAGGTTGAGCCCAGGCGAGGTGAGGTGGAGATAAAGGTGGAGCATACTGAGCTGGCATTTGGGGGCCCCATGCAGACGGGGGGATGGGGAGCCCACCGAAGGCAGATGGCTGTGGGTAAACAGGTCTGGGGCCTCCAGGCATGACTCCTGGCATGTTTAAGACTGGTGCTGTGCTGGGGGCTCCCCACACGGGGGCAGCACTGGCACTTGTAGGAGGTGGACCCAACTGAAGATTTTCTAAAAGAACATCATGACGTTAAAAATAAATTGGCAAACACTGATACAAAAGTAGTGATTGAGTTACCTAAAGCAGCTAAAGAGGAGTTTGTAGAGTTGACAGAAGTACTGTTAAAGAGGTTTCCTGCAGTGGAGGAACCTTCAGACTGAACAGTACCAGCAAAAAGATCATCTCCAAAAAGGTCACTTGACGTAGACTACTCAGAGAAGTCAAACCATTAGATGGAGGCAGTCAAGAGAAAACATGTGTGATCTAAATAATATCATAAAAACCATGCATTTCTACTTAGCAAATCAAGGACATGCAAACTGATTGCTGTGATTACTTTTGACAGAGAAAGGAGTTTGGGAGTTATTGTGCAACAGAGTGCAGACATGCAGCAGGAAAGAGTTCAACCTTGTGTCAATCGCAGTCCAGTAAAGTCCACCCGGTTCCTCCAGTTTCGAGCCCAAGTGCATGACACATGCAGCATCACAAACTTAAAATACTGAAGTTCACCTTTGTGCTTCTTCTTCGTCCCGTCTTAAAGCTTTGTGGAGGTGGACTAATCACAACTGAGTCCTTGCTACAAGGCTTATTGTTCTGTGAGAATCTAGAACTTATGTCTTCATGTATCGAGGAAGTGTTTTTAGAAAATAGGTTTTTAGTCGAACAAGGTGAGTCCACATTATTTATGTCGATTATGGTTGTTGTGCTGTCTTCTGAAATCTCACCCCCAAGCGGCCAGTACCCATGGTTCATAGCAAGGATCATGGCTTTACTCGATAATTCATTTATTTGACTTGTGTGTTCAGAGTCCAAACGTATAACATTGTTGTTTACTGTATTAACATCACTGCCAGCAGTGTTGTTTAAGTGATTGGTAGAATCCATGGAGTGTTTTGAAAAATGAGGGGGTGATTTGGAAAGTGGGTCATCTCTGAAAGGATCATCATCAGGAGTCGGAAAATAACCACATTTGTCAGAAAAAGTCTTGAATGTTTTATGGTTGAGAGCACAAGCTGTAACAGGGAGCGTTCTCTTTATGTGGTTCTGATTGTAGTCTACATCAGCAGAAAAGTCCAGCAACAGAATGTCATTATCTTCCTGCTTAACACCAGAGAACAGACACAGTTACACATCAGCTTCACAAACAGGACAGGTGTGAAATAAGAAATGATAATCACTTGGCAGGTTCATTCTTTGTGTTTTTAAAGAACTAAGTCAAATTCATTTCAAAAGACAAAAGGAACATTATTGTAGAAACATTAAGTGTCATAATCAGATGACAGGTTCAGGTCATTATGATTGTGCTGTTTTAGAGTTTGATCAAAGACTTACGTTTGGAACCCGGATGTCTGGTGGAGTTGTGATGTCACCAAAGAGGTCCGGCTGCTCCACGGGCTGAAAGCAACAAGATTCCAAACATACAAAAGTTATCACAAAAGATAATCGCTTTTTGTTATTAAAATATTGTAAATTTCCCACTTGATCTGCTTTTCCAGCACCTATTCCCAACAAGGAGTCCTCTCCATTCTGAAAGAAAATAAAAAGGTAATTCTTTGCTCCATACAAAGTAAACCTTCTTGTGTTATAATGAGTACCTCCACGACTGCGCTGCCGTCGCCCTGAAAACAGAAGCAGACTGTTACAGCTTTGACTTATGTTTTTTTACATGTTTGAAATGGAAGGTTGTGACTCGCTGACAGAACACAGAGGCACTGTTATTCATACACTGAACCTTCATGAGCAGTGAGGTAATGTGTCTTTGAAAGGAAATTGTTTTCTCTACATAGAAACTCTCTCATAATTCTAAACCACTTCACCTTTACGGCCTGCTGTGCAGCCTCAGCCTCCTTCTTCCTCAAGTTGAAGATCACCTGAAATAAATCTTTCAGATCGATGACGAGAGGTTCAGCCTGTGTAACATAGCATGTTTTCATTTCAAACATTTTCATTTTAAACATATCGATATATTTGGATAGAATTTACCTTATATATTGTTTACCTGTTGTGCTGTTTTTATAGCAAAAAACTGGTGCTGCCCCTCAGCTCCACAGACGTAACCAAACGCTCTGTTATCTGTCACGTCTCTGGCAATGAACGAGATCTTATTTACAGCATGCTCATGCTCTATCACCTGCACACAATAAAACATATTTAACACTAGACTCCCAGGATTCGGAAACTACCACAGCAGTCATTTTGACGGCTTCTGAAACAAGTTTTTCAACCGTTTATAAGGAGTAAGTACTTTATAAAGTTTTTACCTTTACTCACTTTTAACAAGTGCTAAAACTGGTGAACATAACTTGACATAATATTCACCATTGCAACACATTGTTTACATATACCAGTAAACAAAGTGTTGCTATGGTAACGAGCCGAATCAAAACCTGCACATTGAAGAAAGAGCTTTATCTGGTTGTGAAGCAACTGAAAATGACTACATTTGAAATGTACATCCAAATTAATGGAGCAGTCATTTTGACTGAGAGTTAAAGATCAAAGTAATCGCATTTCAAATGAAAAAAACAATCATAAAAGTAATTGCATAGAAATAATTACATAAAAATCTACAGTTAATACCAAAAATTTACAAAAGCTGAGTAATTCCGTTTCCAAACTTAAAGCCGTCAATTTGACTGTTCTGGGGTTTCTATACAGTCTTTTAATTCTTGAATGATTATTGAAGAATGAAGCATACCCCAGACTTTTCATCAATAATTTTGAGTCCTGTCATCGAAATGTTGACCCAAATTCTCTGTTTGTGTTTCCCTTGTGAGCGAGCAGCCACAGCCATGCCCTGCAGAGGAAAACTCATGTGTCATCAATGATGAATATCAACAACATACAGCATTCCTTTAGTAAACACATCTTTAATGTCCTGCTTTAATGTGCATTTCATATTCCATTTCTTTATTCTACCATTCTATTGAATGGTGGGAGCAAGCCTTGGATGGTACTCTTACTATCACTGTCATTATTAGTAATTTATTACATTTCGAGTTTTCATTTACAACATTCTAAATATACATTTTTTTAAATATTCAGAATATGTATTTAAAATCGAAATCCTTTGGGGAGTAACTTGGAAGGGAGTTACTGCAAGCTACAGGTTTGAGAGCCCTGTTTTAGACCCCTCAGTATGCTTCAACAGAACACATGACAGCAAAATGACACACACATAAACCCACACACACTGTAAAAAATGATGAAATATGAGGTAATAATTGCTTGAATGGAGTGTTTTTTTTAAATCTATCAGATACGACACAGGCCTAAAAACACGCATGTACCTTCAGTTTCATCATGGAATCCTGGCACATCTTGTCTCCTCTGGCCTCGGAGACGTCATCCACGCCGATCAGCTTTGCTTTATACCTCACTCCATCCCCTTGGAACCGGGCCAACAGGTATTCGTCTGTTTTCTCTGGAGCTGGAAACATTTATGTGGTGTTCAACACAAGGACTCCCACAATTATGAAACTACACTAGAAGCTAAAGATAGAGATTTAGTTTTTAGAGTTGTGCTTCTCATTACTACTGTTCTGTAACTGATGGTGCAACACTGACATTTCCCCACTGTGGGAGGAACAAAGGATCTCTTTAAGGATGTTAATAGAACTCCCAGAGTTTTAATTGTAAAAATGCCCTTGTTCATGTCATTTGTGATGTCATCGTTCACAGAAAAAAAAAAAAAAAATCACCAGATTGCTTAAAATGTATTAATTTATATAGGTTTTTACCTTTATTCACTTAAAACCGGTTTGTTGAAAAGCCGATGCTAAACTCGCTTTTCTCTGGTGGAAAACCAAGCTGAACTAGAACAGTCCAAAACCAGTCCAGGACCAGGATCAGTCCAGAACCAGTAGTACAAGGACTTTAATTGCCATAGAGATAAAGCAAATGAAAATGGCTACACTTGAAGGAACTAGTTGAAGGAAGTACTCAAATTTATTTTTTTATTATTAAAATAATGACATGAACTAAATGAACTAAGAACTATGAAGACCAAACATGTACAAACACTAATAGAACAGTAATTACACTTCCCTAACTTAAAGCAGTCAAATTGACTGCTCTAGGAGATTAAACATTACACAGGTTTAGTTTAGTCCTCTGTCTAATAAATTCAGTGAGACCAATTTACCTTTCTTTTTCTCCTTCTTGAGTGAGGCCTTGGCCAGAGTGCTCGGTGTGGTGGGAGGAGTGGTGCTGGAGCTTGGACTGGCCGGATCTGTAACCACGGGCGCGCTGTTTTCCACTTCTGCAGACATCGTGGAGCTGAAGGCCTCGAGAATCAAGAGCCAGAGGGCGACGTCTTCAGGATTAATGCAGCAGAAGATCCCTAACAACCAAGCATGCTTTAAATCGCAGCTGTCGAAACAACAAAAAATAGATTGAAAAGCCCATATTTATGTCGATGATAGTTTTGATCCATCTGGAAAAACTGTATACTTGTAAGAAGCCCTTTGAGTCACTAATGGAGGCTTTGGGCTGAGAGCTGATTGGTTGATTGGCTGAATGAGGGTAGTCCTCTCTTTACAGTCTGACAGAAGCCGAACATGCAGTGAAATCTTGAAATAGAACCAGACTGTTTTAGAACCAGGAGCTAGTCAAATGAGCTTGATTATAGTTATCTGTTTTGTGGTTTGAAAGTTAGGTGCCCCAGCTTTAAATGTCTATTGTGTGTACTTAAGTGTACTTGTATATAGTGTATTATTCTAAGAAATGTTATGAAGATGTTATGTCTATATTTTTACTTTTAGAACTTGTTTGCACCATATGCCAAAGCGAATTCCTGTTTTGTGACTTCCTGTTACATACAATGTCAAAACAAATAATTCTGATTGTTAAAGTTACAATACCAATAATCTTTTTACTTTTTGATGTGTGTATGTCCATGTTTTTCTTTCAAATGGAATTGAACAAGACTGCAATCTCCTGATGCAAGACACAAGAAAACCCACTGTTTACATTGCCGTTTAGAAATGCTCCCAAAGGCAATAATTTATTCCCACAGAGAGAACAATGGTTGGTGAGAAGAGGCTGTGCTTGAACCTGTCATTAAATGCGTCCGGTAAACGTCATTTTGCTTCAACCAAGAAGGAAATTGTGGCCCTGTCCACGGTGCAACAAATAATCTGATGTTTACAGAGGATTTCTACTGTCATCAAAACACAGCGAGCAGACGACAAGCAAACTACTGGAACTCCCAGAGCCGACATTTTCGACTGTTCCCCTTCAAACTAAAGGCATTCTGAGGAGTTCTAGTCACCAGATACATTAGAATGAATCAATTTATACGGTTTTTACCTTTACTTACTTTTAATAAGTGCTACATTTAATTTTAACCAAATAACAGGGGAAAGCCAGTGTCTAAATACATTGTTTATTCATTTAGTAGTAAAGTAGTAAACAGTGTGTTGCAAGGGTAACTAGCACTTGATATTTACTGATGGAAGTTAATGGAAGAACTCCTCATGTTTCAAAAGTAAAGATAATTTCATTGAAAAATGAATGAAATATGGTAGAGCAGAGTAGATTACAGAAGGGTAGAGTAGATTAGAGTAGAGTAGAGTAGAGAAAGGTAGAGTAGAGTAGAGCAGAGCAGAGTAGATTCGAGTAGGGTAGAGTAGAGAAAGGTAGAGTGGAGTAGAGTAGACAGAGTAGGGTAGAGAAGAGAAAGGTAGAGTAGACTAGAGTAGGGCAGAGTAGAGAAGAGTAGAGTAGAGAAAGGTAGAGTAGAGTAGAGTAGAGAAAGGTAGAGTAAAGTAGAGTAGAGAAAGGTAGAGTAGAGTAGAGTAGGGTAAAGTACAGTAGAGTAGGGTAGAGTAGAGTAGAGAAAGGTAGGGTAGAGTAGAGTAGAGCAGAGCAGAGCAGATTCGAGTAGGGTAGAGTAGAGAAAGGTAGAGTAGACTAGAGTAGAGAAGAGTAGAGTAGAGAAAGGTAGAGTAAAGTAGGGTAGAGTAGAGAAAGGTAGAGTAGAGTAGAGAAAGGTAGAGTAAAGTGGGGTAGAGTAGAGTAGGGTAGAGTAGAGTAGAGCAGAGTAGAGTAAGGCAGAGTAGAGTAGAGTAGAGAAAGGTAGAGTAGAGTAGAGAAGAGAAAGGTAGAGTAGAGAAAGGTAGAGTAGAGTAGAGTAAAGTAGGGTAGAGTAGAGAAAGGTAGAGTTGAGTAGAGTAGAGTATAGAGTAGAGTAGAGTAGAGAAAGGTAGAGTAGAGTAGAGTAGAGTAGGGTAGAGTAGAGTAGAGAAAGTTAGAGTAGAGTAGAGTAGAGTAGAGAAAGGTAGAGTAAAGTGGGGTAGAGTATAGTAGGGTAGAGTAGAGTAGAGCAGACTAGAGTAAGGCAGAGTAGAGTAGAGTAGAGAAAGGTAGAGTAGAGTAGAGAAGAGAAAGGTAGAGTAGAGTAGAGAAAGGTAGAGTAGAATAGGGTAGAGTACAGTAGAGTAGAGTAGAGAAAGGTAGAGTAGAGTAGAGTAGAGTAGGCCAGGCTTCAAGGCCAGGCTTAAAGCACTTTACTTTAATTTAGCATATAATCAGGTAATATATAATATGTGGTGTATATATTATATATATATGCTGTATTATGTTATATATTATTCAATAATGTATTGTGTTATGTTGTATATTATGTTATATATTATGCTGTATGTGGTTTGCACACCTGGTGTGCAATCCATTAATCTCTTTATTCAAGGCTAGGTTTAAAACAGTCCTCTTTAGTTTAGCATATGGCTAGGAAGGTAAGACTCAGGGAAGGCTAAACTCCTCAGACTGTCAGTCAAGCTGCATAGGGAGCCCCCTGCTGGAGAAGTATGGTAACTTGAGCACTATCCTCTCCTCCTTCCTACTTTATCTGTTTAGCACTTTTAGGATTCTGACTGTAGTTTGTTCATTGCTATTCACCCGTTGTCCCATTGTCTGTTTCATGGTACAATGACGGGATCTCTGAGCCTGGCCTCTTCCATCTACACCTGCGGACTGCCCCGCCCGACCCGCCTGGGAGTGCTTCAGTCCTGCACCGGACCTGTCCACGTTCAGCGGCCACTGGTCCACGTCCTGTAGCTAGCTTAGGTCCTAGATCATTAGCCTGTCCGTCCGGAGGAGCGGATCCCTTTCTCATATGGGTCTCCCTCCCTGTGGGTTTCCCTAGTGCTCCCCAAGGTTTGTCACGTTTTCCCACTGGGTTTTTTTAAGAGTTTTTCCTTGTCGATGCAGGAGGGTCTTGTTGGACAGTTAGTGTCCAACAGAAAGGATTGGTGATGATCAGGACACTTTAGCATTCTACAACATGTATGGACATTTTCTTCTGTGTGTGCTTTATATTCTCCATGTGTTTTAACTGTTGATTCTCTGACCTGTGTTGGTGATTTCAATGGTTTTGTTAAGTCCTCTGAGATGACTTCTGTTGTGACCTAGGGCTATACAAGAATAAATTGTATTGTATTGTGTATTGTATAGTAGGGTATAGGGTAGGGTAGAGTAGAGTAGAGAAAGATAGAGTAGAGTATAGTAGAGTAGAGTAGGGTAGAGTAGAGTAGAGAAAGGTAGAGTAGGGTAGAGTAGAGTAGAGTAGAGAAAGGTAGAGTAGAGTATAGTAGAGTAGAGTAGGGTAGAGTAGAGTAGAGAAAGGTACAGTAGAGTAGAGTAGAGTAGAGTAGAGAAAGGTAGAGTAGAGTAGGGCAGAGTAGAGAAAGGTAGAGTAAAGTAGAGTAGGGTAGAGTAGAGTAGAGTAGAGAAAGGTAGAGAAGAGTAGAGTAGATTAAAGTAGGGTAGAGTAGAGTACAGTACAGTGGAGAAAGGTAGAGTAGAGTAGAGTAGAGTAGAGCAGAGTAGATTAAAGTAGAGTAGAGTAGAGTAGAGTAAAGTAGAGTAGAGTAGATTAAAGTAGGGTAGAGTAGAGTAGATTAAAGTAGAGTAGATTAAAGTAGAGTAGAGTAGAGTAGATTAAAGTAGAGTAGAGTAGAGTAGATTAAAGTAGGGTAGAGTAGAGTAGAGTAGATTAAAGTAGGGTAGAGTAGAGTAGAGTAGAGTAGATTAAAGTAGAGTAGAGTAGAGTAGAGTAGAGTAGAGTAGAGTAGATTAAAGTAGGGTAGAGTAGAGTAGAGTAGATTAAAGTAGTGTAGAGTAGAGTAGAGTAGGGTAGAGTAGAGTAGAGTAGGGTAGAGTAGATTAAAGTAGGGTAGAGTAGAGTACAGTAGGACCAAGCGCTGCTGGAAAGGCGACACAGTTAGAAATAAACTAAATTAAAAAATTAAAAAAGACACAAAGTTATGGAGACCAAGAATGCACATAAGATGAGACGTCAAATTGACTGCTCTGGGAGTGCTAGAGTTAAAAACAATACAGCCCTGAGACCAGAAACCGGCTCTGTTTTATACTGCGATTAAAAAGCGATGAATTTGCACAACAGACACATGATTTTGTACGAACAATAATTAACAGAGCGCTGAAAGTCTAATAAAAGGGTCAATTTTCAACAGAATTCAGGTTAAAGAATTACTTGTTTAACAACGTCTGCGGCACATTTATATGGATGGTAAGCATTTAAAAACGTTACAAGCTGACTCTCCCATCATCATAACAACACCAAAAAGTGCTGAATCCATATTTTTTGTCAAGGCAAAGGGCCTTTATGCAAACAGACATGTCACAATCCTCAGGAAGCGTGAACTACTGAACATCTGGAGGAAATCACAGAATGAGTCAAGTCTGCAGACGGAGTAAATGAGATGGTGAAATACCACGGGCTCACAATATACAACCATACAATATGCATTCACTTTTTTTTAGCAGTTTAAAGGTCTTTGTTGGCGTGTTGCGTTCAAGGAAAATTGGTATTATAATGGAATAGATGAGGTATATAGTCAGGAAAGGTTAGAGCAACAGGGGTAAAAAAAAAATCTTAGGCCTATAAACTAGACACAAAATCCAAGTCAGGATTTTTTTTAAACATACTACTTTAAAAAAAGACGCACGAGGTTTTACGTTTTCTGCACGTTCGCCTATTTAAATATACGTAACACTATCCCATCATAAAATAGGAACAAATGGAAGAGCGTCAAAAGTGAGATGAAAAAAGACTTACTTGTGAACACACAGGGCAACCACACTCCACGATAGTTTCTGTGGTTAAAAAAAAAAAAAAAAAAAAAATTAGGAAGAGGCTCCGTTATAGAAGTCAGCAGTCAGATGTTTTCCGCTGAAACAGGAGACAGAGAGGAGGCTGCAGACTCGCTTTAACCCGTGCGTGTCTGCGGGACGTGTGGCCCACAGAGAGAGGGACGGCAAGGCGAAGGCGAAGGAGGGGCCTGTCTGTTGTCCGCGCCCAGAGCCACTTCACGGGGAGGTGAGAAACAGGACACCCCCCCCCCCCCCTTTAATGGGATTTCAAGTTCACACGTATCCTTGCTCCATATGGGACTAACGACAACTTTGGTGAAAGATGTGTTACTGGAACTGCTGAAACTGGAGGCAGTGTTGCTCAATTTCAAAGCGATAGTATTTGTTGTGTTAAATCTCACCTTCGCGCGTTCACTGAAATAGAAAGTAAAGCATAAAGGAGATCCGGGCAAAACTGCGGGCTGAGGGCCACATGCGGTCCTTTTCACGTTTCTATGCGGCCTCTGGATTGTGCAGTCATAATTTGTCAATAACAATTGTAATTCAGTTTATATTTCCAAAGAAAACTGTTTTACCATTACGATTACGTAGGGCTGGGCAAAAAATCTAATTTAGGTAATTAATTGAATTTAAAAAAAAATAAAATTTGTGAAAAATGTGAGAATCGTGAAATCGAATGAAGGATATTGTGAGAATTATTATTATTATTATTAGAATTAGAATTATATTATTGTGAATTATACTTGCAATATCAGTACAGTCTGTACCAGACTTTTATAATACGTTTTGGGGGAAACAAATTAAAAATAATTTTGAAACTTGAATATTGAGCAGAAAGATCCATTCATCCATCTATCTTCTTCCCTTAATCCATTTCTGGGTCGGGGGGGGGGGTGGGTGGCCCCAAATACACACATAGCACTAGCCCCTCACTGATCCTCCTGCAGGTGGTGAGCCCACAGGAGCTGAGATCTTTCAGTGGGGGCTTCAGGCAAAGTGGGGTTGAGTGTCTTGCCCACACGCATGTACCTTCAGTTTCATCATGGAATCCTGGCACATCTTGTCTCCTCTGGCCTCGGAGACGTCATCCACGCCGATCAGCTTTGCTTTATACCACTCCATCCCCTTGGAACCGGGCCAACAGGTATTCGTCTGTTTTCTCTGGAGCTGGAAACATTTATGTGGTGTTCAACACAAGGACTCCCACAATTATGAAACTACACTAGAAGCTAAAGATAGAGATTTAGTTTTGTTTTTAGAGTTTTTAGAGTTGTGCTTCTCATTACTACTGTTCTGTAACTGATGGTGCAACACTGACATTTCCCCACTGTGGGAGGAACAAAGGATCTCTTTAAGGATGTTAATAGAACTCCCAGAGTTGTAATTGTAAAAATGCCCTTGTTCATGTCATTTGTCATGTCATCGTTCACAGAAAAAAAAAAAAAGTCACCAGATTGCTTAAAATGTATTAATTTATATAGGTTTTTACCTTTATTCACTTAAAACTGGTTTGTTGAAAAGCCGATGCTAAACTCGCTTTTCTCTGGTGGAAAACCAAGCTGAACTAGAATAGTCCAAAACCAGTCCGGGACCGGGGCAAAAAATCTAATTTAGGTAATTAATTGAATTTTTAAAAAAATCGAATTTGTGAAAAATGTGAGAATCGTGAAATCGAATGAAGGATATTGTGATAATTATTATTATATTATTGTGAATTATACTTGCAATATCAGTACAGTCTGTACCAGACTTTTATAATACGTTTTGGGGGAAACAAATTAAAAATAATTTTGAAACTTGAATATTGAGCAGAAAGATCCATTCATCCATCCATCTTCTTCCCTTAATCCATTTCTGGGTCGGGGGGGTTGCCCCAAATACACACAGAGCACCAGCCCCTCACTGATCCTCCTGCAGGTGGTGAGTCCACAGGAGCTGAGATCTTTCAGTGGGGGCTTCAGGCAAAGTGGGGTTGAGTGTCTTGCCCAAAGACACAACGGCAGCAGTCATCAGTGGGAGTCGTGAAGCAGCTCTTATGGTCGGCTCAAACCCACGACCAAAGGCCAATGCTCTACCAACTGAGCCACTGTTGCCACAAGCGGAAAGATGTGTGTCTTCAGTGACTTTAATGAAAATCGATTTAAAATCGAAATCGTCCAAAGCAGGAAATAAAATTGAGAGTTTTTTTTTTTTTTGCTATATTGCCAAGCCCTACGATTAGGTATTCACCATTTGATTCTTTCTGTAGTTACTGCTATGTTAAAATGATGTGTCCTAAAGCATGTGTTGAAATGTGAAATGAAATGAATGTTACAAAAAACGGGTGACAAATGTGAATCCCCTTTGCTGATAAAGCACATTTTGGACAAGGCGGCGCGTGGGCGGCACGGTGGCTGAGTGGATAGCACTCTCGCCTCTCAGCAAGAAGGTCCTGGGTTCGAATCCTGGTCAGACCAGGGCCTTTCTGAGTAGAGTTTGCATGTTCTCCCCGTGTCTGCGTAGGTTTCCTCCGGGTACTCCGGTTTCCCCTACCACTAAAAATATGTCCAATAGTTCAATAGGAGTGAGAGACAAATGCCCAAAAATTAACAAATGTAAACCGCTTTGAGACTCAGATCTGCAGTGAAAAGGCGGTATATAAATAAAGATTGATTGATTGATTGACAAGGCCTCGTTCATTCACTGAAAGCTGGAGTCACCAACTTCTGGATCAGTGTCTGTCATAATGCAGTGATTCAACGCTGGAGGTAGATGAGCAGACGCAGAAGTTTACTCATGAACAGGGACAACAAACAAGTAAAAGTGTTGCGCACAATAAACATAGCAGGGGCTTTTCTGTCTAAAACAGACATGTCCAAACGAAGGCCCGCAGGCCAATGGCGGCCCACTGCTTCCTTTTATGTGACCATCTGCCACATAAAAAGAATAATATAGTTTCACAAATTATTGTGAAACTATATCAATCTTGTTTTTTATAATGGAATAATACCACAAAGCTAACATTATGAAAACAAAAGCTAACATTATGAAAACTCTGGAATCAAAGATAGATAAAGAGTTGTCCTTGAGTAACTATTTAGTTTAGTTACAGATTTTGAGTGACTAAATTCCTCATTTTGAGTAACTAAATTCCTCAAATCTGTCAATGGGAGAGTTCTACAATTCATTTCAAGTAAATTCAGTATCTATATTTATTTACAGTGTATTTAGATGATTGTATGATGAATGTAAATTTCTTTTTACTTTGTTTTTAACTTAATTTTAGGATAACTAGTTGTATTAAGATGTATGTCTTAACATGAGGGTATTTGTTGAAAAGTAATACAAGTGCATAACTTTCTGAATGACTTTTTATTAAAAATTTCCCAAGAATAGCTTGAGCCTCTAACAATGTTCCCACCCGTTGAGAACCACTGGTCCAGAGCAGTGGGATCCGAGGTGGCAGCGCTCCAAGAACCCGTCAGGAGCTGATGAGGGATGGAAACTATGTAAATGTTAAAAAACAATAACTCAACAAGACAAAAAATAATCTTTTTGAATCGGTGTAAATGTTGATTGAAATTTGCATCAAAAACACTCACACCTTTTCCTTTAAAACGTGATTGATTGAATCATGAACAATATTTAAACAATATCATATCATTTTGCACAATTGGCCCGTAGAGTAAAAGGTTTGGACACCCCTGCTGAGAGTATGGATTAGAAAACCAGCGGAAGGATGTCCTTCCTGGCTTTGTATCTTGTTTTCTGCTGACTAAGATTTCTGAATGGAGCCCCTCAAACTGTCTTTTGAGAAAAATCTGATTAGTCAAAAAAAAAATTGGATTGAATCAGCAAATTTATTTCATAATGTTCTGAATGTAAGTTTGTAATTTTACTAAGAATGGGCTTCAATTAGACAACTCACTTATCAGTCTAAGAGGCCTTCAATCCTAAAATGCATTATGTTATTAGATCAGAGGAGATATGGATTCTGTCTGCAACACCATCACCACCACCTCATTAATGTGCCACTCACACCACAGATTTAGTGATATAGTAATAGTATAAAAGTAAAAGAGTAAGAGACAATGCCGTGTTAGGATGTCATGGGGTGAAAATGTGTCAGTTACAGTGAAGTAAGAAAGAGTCACCCCCTCGTGAAAACAGGAAGTCTTTTTGGTTTATCTATCCTTTAGTTTCCTGAAAGTCATGAGGAAGCTGTTGGACCCCATAAAACTGATGACTTCGGCACATAGTTGTGCCTCTGCAGCAGGCCACACAGATCCACGACTCTGACAACTCCACAGGTTTGGTTTGTCAGGGGTTCGTTTAAACAATATGCATTCAAAACGGACAGTTGTAAAATCACGGTGCTCTTTATAATCCACGTGGACACAACAAAAGAATACAGATTACTCCAGGAAAGACCACTGCTGTGGACTGGAGCCAGGCACTGAGTGGGACTGAGCTCCAGCAGGAGATCATCAGAAAGACAGGGTTTACCTACAGAATGTGAGGCGTATTAGCAACATTTAGCAACGTTATCATTACGTGATGTGTTCTGAAGCACAAGTCATTTTGAAGAACAAAAGGTGCAGAATCAGCAACTTTCCAAATCACATGACAGGCCACTGAGTGCACGAGTACACTTCCTGTTACAACTATTACATTTAATAAAAGATAGAACAAGACATCATTTAAAGCCTCAAGGTGCACTTCCAAGCACTGCACTTTTGATTAAGGGATAAAAACATTGATGTTTGGTGCTGCACAAGTGGTTATACCAAAGTCTGTTCCATGTAACAGCTTCCATCTAGAGGGCACCAAATGCATAATTATTCTTTTGTTTCATTGGTTTATAGTTGCTCTTGGTTCCAATGTACTTAAAAGATGTTCCTCAACTGGGGAAAGCACCTTTGAGGATTATAAAATCCACAATATGCAAAAGAAAATGTGTTTGCTGAAGTGAATTTCAACCAAATTTCACACGAATTCGGAAAGTTTACAGAGTGACGTCATGCTCTGTCTGTAAGCTTTTCCAATCTTGCACAATGTAGCAACGATGCAGCTGAATGGACAATGAAGAATAAAGAAATAAGCCCCAGCATGTATGAATATAATACACTGCAAATAGTCATGAAAAATAAGTCAACAATCGGCTCAAATGATGCTACATGTGTCAAGGGCTCTCTTTAAAAAAAATGATTTGAGCGTTTTCCCGGCACCGAAATCAATAATGTCAATAGTATCGCAACTCAAATCTCTTTTTGTGTATAATCATTGATGAAAGAGTGGGTCAAAAAGGGTAAATGCAGCCACCACAGACAGTGCAGATCGACTCCAGCATGAAGACAGTCACTTCTCTGCAGCTTGCCCTGTGTGGCCTCTCTCTCATATCGTGCCTGTCTGAAGGAGCAGTGTACGCATTTCCTCTTCTATTCAATTATAAGTCGTGGATTTGGGGCTATTCTTGTTTTATTGCATTTTTTTTCTCTCTTTTTCAGGCAGGATTTACCAAACCCTCCTCCTGTGGACTGTGTCTGGGGACGATGGTCTGAGTGGGTTTGTGATAATTGCACGAAAATAAGAGTAAGTAAAAGTTCTGGAAAGAGTATTCGAACATAAAATACATGTAATAATTTAGAATTCCTTTTTTTTTGTTTCCTGGACATTAATGTGTGCCGTACTTTGCCTTTGCTTAACACAAAGGAACCTACAGTAACATTCAAACTGCAAACAATTGAACTATGTAGAAAAAATCCTTCTAATACAAATCCAATCCACTTTTTTATACAGCACATCTATACTTTTCCAGAGCATTGTCACACGTTAAAATATATGTCTGCCCACTTTCATTTCATTTTTTAATTTTTTTCATTTTTCATACATGCCAAGTTACAGGACTTGACCAAAGCCAGATACCAAAGACAATTGTTTATTTAAGTACACAACAAAAGCACCAAAATAAATTATTAATCATGCTCAGTTGAACATAAAGTTGAAGTAAATAAAATAATAAAATAATAGTCATGAAAATTATAATTTACAGCTTTAAATAAAAAAGAAAATAAAAACAATAAAGTGAAATAAAAACAATTAAAATGTAATTAAAAAAATTCAAAGTTTAAATGAAATTATTACAATTAAATAAAAACAATTACAATTAAATAAAAACAATTACAATTACATTAAAACAATAATTATATGATAAACCAATAATAATAAAATAAACCAATAATAATAAAATAAACCAATACAAATGAAATGCATCCAAATTCGCACAAAAATACCTAATTCCTTTTTTTCACCATTTTTATTTAAAATCTGCAGCGGCAGATTTTCATCAAGAAGTATAATTTACGACCAAATCCTAATGGGGTCGAATGGTAAGCAAACAAGTCAGAGAGAAGGAAGGAAGAAGAAGGAGATATTTTATCAGAATTTGGATGTGGCCAATGACATCTCAGGTGAACAGAAACAGACGGCTGAACCAGACGGCTGAACTCTGTTTGTTGGCGATATGGACTTTAGTGTTTGACTTTGTATTGCTGTAATGTGCTCATGTTTTTTTATGGGCTCCACTTCACATTGTTTGTTATTGTTTAACTTGCACTGTATTTGTAAAACACTGAAAAAACTAATGAAAGATATGTCCACAATTGCTCAAAGTTAGCAAAATATATTGAGCACATTTTGATTGTCTTAAAAAATATTTGCTAATGGGACAAGCAAAATGATCTCCCTAGGAATAAGAAAAAATACAACAGTTTAAATACTACTAATAGTACTAAAAAATTAAAAAACACCTGATTTGAGCATTTATTGTGATAAGATAAGTCTCACAGGGGAGAAATGTCAGTGTCATCGTTGTGCACATTACAGCAGAGAGAGAAGGAAATAAGAGCACTCAGATTATTAAAGATAATTCATTTACATTCATTTACACGAGTGACTTCAAAAATTCACAGTGACTAAACTAGACTGGTCCAAAAAAATTCACCCCCCCTCAGCATTGACACACATGTGGAACGGAGCTTTGGGCCAAGAGCCAACTTTTGGTCCATTCTGTAAACACGTTTTTGAGAGGTCTGCAAATGCTATATGTTGGCTAATTCTTATTCCGGGTCCACCCCCATCGGCCCGGGGTGGTATTGCAAGCATGTCAGCGCACGTCATTTTGGCCACTTTTGAGCTGGGACCCGCCCCCGCTGGTTTTGCAGTGTACCCCTGGTGGGATGCATGAAACGGTCTGAATCTGAATATGCCTCACCATTTCAACCTCTTGTCAAGTTTGAAATGAAACAAATACTTTATATCTTGAAACTAGAGACGTTCACGATCCATAGAGGCGTTTGGGCAGTTTGGAGGCCAAGCGTGCCGCGGCTCTATCGGGGAGAGACTGGCCTGCATACCTGAAGGGACCTGTGAAGCACCACCACCTCCAGGATGCTCCCCAACTGAATTCATATGCGAGTCAGGTAAAACAGACTCTTTTGTAATTTCAGTGTGTTGTAAGTAACCTTGCACTAAACATTTCTACTCACAGGCCAGTGTATCAAAATGAGGTTCAAGTGCAACGGAGATTTTGACTGTGATGATGGGTCCGATGAGGATTGCGAACCTGTCCGAAAGCCATGTCTTAGTCTTGATTTGATCAATAGTGAGCATGGCAGGAGAGCGGGATATGGGTAAGGACTCATGTAACTGTTAAATAACTCAGAAATGGTCTGATTTGACCTTTATCGCCGCAACAGAATCAACCCCTTAAGTGCAGATCCTCGACAAAATCCGTTTAACAATGATTATTTTGGAGGAAGTTGTGAGAGAGTGAGAAATCCGTCCACTGGGATCATGGACAGAATTCCTTACAATGTTGGAGTCCTTAACTATAAGGTCTGGAAAACTGGCTTTTGTGCTTATCTATATTTACAGTATGTGACTACAAGTCTTTTGTTGATTTGTTTTTTCTCCAGACTGAGATTAAAGAGACTGTTTCCAGGGAGATATATGAAGATTCCAACACTCTACTCAATGAAATACTCACAGAAATATCCTCGGACGTTCGTGTCGGATTGTCCTTCAAATTTAGTCCCAGCGAGCCTCCAATGTCCGGAGCGGAAACTGGAACGGAAACTGGAACCGGAACCGGAACCGGAACCGGAAGCACAGGCGGAAGTAACCTCTCAGGAAACTTGGGCATTGAGCCACAAGTGGAGAAGAAAAACATAGTTAAGGATGTGTCATCGTACTCCACCATAAAGGTAATGATACACTGCAAAAGGAGTCAATGCTCAAATCAAGTATTTTTTTATATTAATCTGAATACATTCTGACTGTCATAAAACAACATTTGTCTTTTGGTCTTATTTCAAGAACTGTTGCTTTATTTTTTCATTCCAAGGGAGACATTTCCTTTCAAAACATCAAAATGTTCTAAATTACATTTTTCCAAATTTGTGCAATTTTTGACTTAATTTTCATCATTTTTACAGAAGAGAATAGTACAGAATAAACTCCGGACATTTCTCTTATATACTGTATGTCTTCTAACATTCTCCCATAGAACAAGAGCTTCATCAGGGTCAAAGGATCCATACAACTGAGCACTTACAGGATGCGATCTGATGATTTAAAAGTCAGATGGGATTTTGTGAAAGATGTTTTGAAGCTTCCATTGGAATACGAGAAGAGTATATATTTTTCCTTCCTCGAGAGTTATGGAACACACTACACCAAAAATGGAAAACATGGCGGTTACTATGATCTTGTCTATGTTCTGAATCAGGACACCATTGAGGAGAAAAGTATGATGAGTTTATCCTGAGCTTTTACATGAGGCTTTTCTTTAACCTGTACTCTGTGCTTCCCCCAGAAATAACCGACAGAATGATCCAAGAGTGTGTTAAAGTCGGGATCAGTGCCGGTGTTAATGCCGGGTCTGCGGATGTGTCGGGGAACATTAACACGGAAAATTGTAAAAAACTTACTAATACTACAGAAAGTGAGTTCATTGGTTTATTAACACTAGACCCTGAAGTTCTGAAACTAACAACCTCCAGAGCACACATTTTGACAGCTCTCATTCAAACCAACGGAATTCTGAAAATATTCAAAAAACAGTTTTTCAGTAAATTTCCCAGTGTTTTGCCTTTTATAAGTTCTGACTGTTTCAGAACTTATTGTTGTTATAATTTGAAATAGAGAATAAAAATGTCTTGAAAGGCTATACTGAATGCTAACGGATGGTAGTGAATGGTGTGTTGCTATGGTAATGCGCTCTTTTCTGATAAAAAAAAAAAAAAAGAAACATCTGAGAGTCCAGGACCAGCATCTTGGAGAAAAGGGGCTTTATAAAAGCTAAAGATAACTGCTCAACTCACTGTTTTACTCATGTTCCTCAGATACAAAATCTGGTAAAGCAGTTGTGGACAGAGTGATATCTGCCATTTATGGAGGTACTCCTGAGGCTGCTGCTGGCATGAAGACCCAGCTGACCAAAGAGGGGATTCTGGACATGATGACCTTTCAGACCTGGGCAAAATCTATTGGGGAAGAGCCCACACTAATGGGCAGTGAGGTATGAACACATCAAAATGAACCTAACATCACACACTTAAGTTAAATCTGAAGAGACTCAAACTTAAAAAAGGGGGGTTAATAGAATTGTATTTATTGGTTGGCAAGTATGCAACGGAGCATTGGCCTTTGAGCCTGAAGGTTGTGGGTTCGAGCCCACCAAGAGACCTTCTCTGGGGATAAGGGAAAGACCCTTATCCCCCCTTTGCCTGAAGCCCCCGCTGAAAGACCAAGTCTATACCATAGAGCAGCCATCCTCCTGTGGACTCAGGAGGGATCAGAGAGGGGCTGGTGCTATGTGTACTGGGTGGCATCTCTGGCCACCCCCCCCCGACCCAGAAATAGATTAAGAGGAAGAAAATCGATGGATGGATGGATGTTGGCAAGTAATCAGTACGTAAATTAGCACATAAGACTCTAGAGGCAGAAGAGGGAAATTAAAATAGAGATTATGAAATGAAATAGTTCGGTGGCTAGACCCTGGTGGTGGTAGCTAAGAGAAGGGTTAAAGAGCTGGTTTGGCTGATGATGGGGAGGAGGAGGGTTCCTGCACGAATGAAAGCTTTCTGCACAATTAGAAAGCTCGATGCAGGGCAGTGACTGAGAGCAGTTAGCTTGTGCACATGTAGGTCTTGTTAAGTCCTCCGAGATAACTAGCGTTGTGTTTTAAGGCTATTCAAGAGTTGAATCAAAATTTGAATTTACAGCCTTCCAGTCTGAACTTCTACTTCAACTTATTTTTGACTTATTCATGCGTTTTGATGTGACAGCCGGAGCCTATCTACACACTGGTTCCGCTGGAGCTTCCCAACGCCAACGATTTAGTTCTCAACATAAAGAGAGCTTCTACAGAGTATGTGGCAGAGTACAGTTCGTGTAAGTGTAAGCCTTGTCAAAATGGAGGCACCATTGCGCTAATAGATGGAGAGTGTCTGTGCTTGTGCCCTCCAACCTACGGAGGCCTGGCATGCCAAAATTACAATCTCAAATCTAAGAACATGGGTAAGTACACAAAGATGGGAAAAGATACAACAGAGTTTTTGAGGCCATTCTGACGATTTGATAACGTTTCAGACACCCCACCGGCTGTGGCTCAGATCGGTAACTGGGGGTGCTGGTCGAGCTACTCTGAATGTGTCGGAGGGAAGCAGAGCAGAACTCGCAGATGCAACACTGAAGGCCTCCAACGTGCATCGTGTGTTGGAGAGAGCATTGCAGAGGAGTACTGCTGAGCCTTGTTATCTTTTTGTAATGTTAGTCATAAAAATAAATAACAAAAAAACATCAAAAACTGTAATTATTTTGTTCTATTAACCAGAACAGCAATTATACATTATTTCACTGAACAACAAAAGGTCATGGTCCACACAGCATCATGGTACCATTCATGAAGAAGTGAAGGTTTTTTTCAGAAATCTCCAGTTTTCACCTTTTATATTATTATTATTATTATTGATATTTGTTTATTTATTTTTATGTTTAGCCAATTCCTACAATTTCATTAATTCTGAAGTCTGGCATAACCAGACTTTTACCTGCAGGTGGCGCCACAAGATAGCTAAGCCTCTATTGTCTACAGATGGAGAAACGTGTCTTGGGCATCAGAGAAAATCACATACATAGACAAAAACAGGACAAACATACATTCATAAAACTACACATAAAGCTTCACATAATTCAATTGTCCATAAACATTTGCATGGTACGCACAAAAGCCCAGATAATGTCCAAAAATGAGAAGCAAACTAAAGACACAAACTTTAATACAAACATATTTATTGTAGGAAACATCTCATTTGTGTGATGGGGGGGGGGTGCAAAATTGCAAGAGAACTCCTTCTCCCTAAAAAGGAAAAACAAAACAAAATAAACATGATATAAATCCACATCAGCCACCATTAATTCAACACGATTCAAACAGACCTCACTTGGCGTGCTTTTGGTAGATAGCAATGTATTCCTTGACATCATCCGGAGAGCCCAGGACGACAGGGACCCTCTGGTGGATGGAGGTGGGCACTATGTCCAGAACGTTCATTGACCCTGTTGTGGCCATACCCCCAGCCTGCTCCATGATGTAGGCCATGGGGTTGCATTCATACAGTAGCCTCAACTAAACACCACAGAACTCGGTCAGTACATGTATGAGCTGTTATTAATGCAACTGTGAAACCACCTTCTGACCTTTCCTTTGGGGCTCTTGACATTGGCAGGATACAAAAAGATTCCTCCATACACTAGGGTACGATGGACATCAGCGACCATAGATCCCACGTATCGGCCACCATAGGGAGCAGAGCCATCCTGAAATATCAACCCAAAAAAAATCGACAGTACGCAAAATGAAACCCTAGACAAGAAACAATAAAACAAGACAAAAAATAAACGCAAGCAAAACACACGACAATCCCAAGCCCTCGATGACTAAACACCTCCAGCATCAAAATTACAGAACAAAACAAGACTGAGGATATTATGACATTACCTCCGGGTATTTCTTCTTTTGTAGGTACTCTGTTACGTCTGGATAAAAGTGCTGGGCATATCCTTCATTCAAACTGTATATTTTCCCCTTTTTCTTAATCTTCACGTCTCGATCTACTAAAATGAACTCGCCAATGGCCTGGGGAAATGTACAAAGAGAGTTATGCACCAGAATAATACAAATTCGGTGTTTAATATGTGTATAAATGCTTACCGGGTCCAGCATGAAGCAGTTGACTCCTTGTCCTGTTGATAGGACCATCATCGTGGCACTACCATAAAGAGCGTAACCTGCCGCTACTAAGTTTCTTCCAGGCTGCAGGGCGTCGTTCTCACATGGTTCGCCATCTGTGGTCTAAAAAAAAGTATAGAAATTTATATGTTATGTTGTATTTGCCATTTGCCGTAAAACCACATTGGAAAAGCTGCGCAAGACTACCCCAGTGTGCACCAGGATAGTACACACCAGGGCTCCCGCAAAACTGTAATTGCCGGACTATAACCCGCAACTTTTTTCTAATTCTTTAAACCATGTGGTAGATATAGCAGTATGGTAAATGTATGTATTTTTATTGTGGTAGAGTTTGGCTGTTGTCGGAGCCGAGGTTATGGACTTATTATTTGGACTCCTTCAAGTTTCAGTAGCTATTGGACACATTTTGTTGGTGTCTTGTTGGTGAATGAGAAGCTAACGGCTAAGCTAGGAAACACCACCTTAGATCATGTTGTGACCAGTTAAAACAGTTGTCTATCTGGTTTGTTTGGCCATCTATTAGCCGTCTATCAGTTCTAAGTTTACATTACAACATGAAAACCTGCATCTTATATTCCAGTGCGGCCTATTTACGGACAAAATATAGTTCCTCATCAAATCTGACTGGTACGGTTTGTATACTGGTCCGCTTAATAGTCCAGCAAGTGCCATTTATCAAATATACATAACGTGATGTATTGTCATGTCCACATTTAAATAAATAAATATAAATTAATAGTTGGGCTTACCTTTTTGTAAACAGCAAAGATGGTTCCAATAGAGACGAGACAGTCAATGTTGGAAGACCCGTCCAAAGGATCAAAGCAAACAATGTATTTTCCCTGAGGACATTGAAGACAAAAACTATAAATACTAAAAGAAATAAGAATGAAAGTCGACGTGCATGAATGTTAGAATGGGACCACATCCTACTCTGTGATCTGGTTCCACAATGATGGCCTTCTCGTCTTCTTCAGACACCAGCACACAAGAGGTGAAGGACGACTTGATCATGTTGATCACTAAGTCGTTCGATAAGACGTCCAGCTTTTTGACCTGGTCTCCTGTGACATTTGTGCTTCCTGCGATGCCATACCTATAAAAGAATTGTATGAACTTATTTCTACTTTTAACAATTGTAAACTGCTTTGAGACTCCGATGTGCAGTGAAAAGGCGGTATATAAATAAAAATTACTTACTACTTTTGAGTTACTGCAGAATACTCTCAGGTATACTGTATACAGACTCACACAAAATCATTCACTCTTGTTTTATAGAGTGAATTCGTTTTTTTATATCATTTATTTACACACAATTAAATGAAGTTAATGCCAGTTATTGACAAAAAGTATAATCTGTGTGGTTTTTTTTGCTATTCCTACTCCCTCCCCATACAACCACCTTCCTCATTCCCTCTTGTTGTATATTTCTCACTGGGTTTTCTTCCAGCCGATGCAGGAGGTAAAACCCAGGAACAGAAGCATACTCACAGGTTGGCGATCCCGGCCTTTCTCACCGCAGTGGAGATGGCTTTGACGGCCGTGCAGATGGAGTTGAGCAGGTTTGTGAGCTCCCCAGTCCCTTGTGCCTTCCTGCCCTCCTCCAGGACAAACCTGGTGAGGGTCAGCACGTTGGTGTCGAAGGCTGCTTTGTCAGACATGCTTCAGGTTGGACCAGGACTGGGACTGAAACCTGGAAAAAAGTCCACTATTGTCCAAAGAATACAAATGTGTACCTTGCACTGAGATATAGAGGGGTGTGCAGCTCTCTCAGCCAATCACAGATGCAGCTTATCGTGTTTGGGGGAGGTTTAACCAGATGTTTAACAGAGGGCTCCGACCAAAGTTCAAAGATAGAGAGTTCTTGTTTAGGTTGTTTAAAACGTTGCAAAAGGCCTTTTCTATGGATACCTGCTCTGTCTTTGCGTCACTCAACTGTCCTTTGCACAATAAAGTAAACAATTTTGATATGTTACGTGCAAGTGTGCAAGTTTGGACCTTGTTGTCTCAATCAGTCACATGGTTTCGGACGACCACAAGCCACGGATTGGCCTCTGCAGGTGTCACTCCAGGATTGAGCCGTTTTATATCTATGTGGTTTCCTTTTAATTATAAGGAATAAATTCAATATTAGAGTTTAATGAGAACAGCTGAGCCTGTACATCTGCAATCATGTCCAATGTGCAACACTGCATTTCAGAATGTCCACTGAATTTCACTTTATCTACTTCTTACCCTGCCCTATATGTATATAACTTTGCACTAGACATATAGAGATAATATGAAAGATTGATATTGAAGCATTTACAGCTAGCTAAGAAACATAGCAGCTACTTATATTGTATATTTTGTGTGCTCCCTATGTGCTCTTACTAATGTCCTGTATAAATTAGATGTTATCTTAGCTTATCTCTTATCTAATTGTTCTTACGATTATTATATCTATTTTCTTCCCTCTGGCAGAAGATATTGTTCGCTGAGATGCAGGACAGCGATATGCTAACAACTTCTTTCCACAAGCTGTTATTATTATGGACAAAGGACTTTTATTATCTTGCACTTGCTATTAATTTAAACTTTTTTTGTAGATTGGTTTCACAGTGACAATTTTTTCGTGTACTTTTTAGCTGGTTTTATTCATATACTTGTCAGGTGCACACTGGGGGACTTTTTCACATGTATTCCAAAGGGGTTTTACTACAAATACAAAATAAACGGAATGGGAATATTTACAAAAACAAAAATCTGACCATTTATTTACTGCCTGACTTGTTGCTGTTGCACTCATGGGAGATCCCTCGTCTCGTCACGCCTCTGGCCTTTGACCAGTTGTGTCAATAGAATCAGATTTTCTGTAGTGCGTCCGTTTTCTATTACTATTCATTCAGCTGAAGAAAATAGTCAGATCACTTTCCATAGTTTTGTTGAACTTTGAACACAAGCTGTAAACAACATGATTAAGTTTATATATCCAAAATCAAATTGGTTTTAAAGAAGAAGAAATACATTTGGAATTTGTAGGTATCACTTTGATACAACTCATTGTGTAGGCCAACTCAATTCAATTCAATGTATTTGTGTATAGCCCTAAATTACAACTGCTGTGGTCTCGGAGGACTTTAAAAAGTTGTCGATTCCTCAACAACAGTTCAAGCTCAGGAAATGCAATGACAGCAAACACACAGGAGCCATTGGTTCATAGGAGGAAAGATGGCCACTATCCATAAATGTTAATAAACGTCCATAAATGTCTGTGTTTCCCTATGTATACGGCTGCCTTGAGATGTTGTTACGCAATTTCCAATTTCACAAATTTGTCAAAAATATTAGAAGATTAGAAAGAATGGTTTTTATAATACACTTTGTTTGGTCAGAATGACTTTGCATTGTTACTAAAAGCTGCAGAGTTTCATTTTTATGTCAGTTTCAGCTGATGGTGTGACATGTTACTGTTGTGTCACGACTCAAAAGGTCGGGGAACACTGATTGATTGATTGATTGAATACTTTATTTTGAGCCAAACAAAACAAATGATAACATTCTGCACGATACAGAAATCACTGCACCCACACATGGGCAACAAATGAAGGACAAAACAAAACACTGGTATATGTATAGTATACAGTAGGTTAATGTGAACTTCCAAATAGTTGTATCAATTAAACACAGAATACAATATATTTTGACGGCTATACAAATTCAATACATTGTTCTGTTTTTTGTTTGTTTTCTTTTTTATTCTTAACCACATCATTGCATTATTGTGCATAGTTTAGTTAATGTCCACACGATGTCACTCATGGCCTTTGCTTTGATAGTGACATTACTGTGAGGCGGGTTGTCTCACTGGTAAAACTTTGACCTCAGAATATCTTGGTAAAATTATTATTTGGCCCTATGCTTACACATCCTTTTAGGCTACATGAATAATGCAGAGCTGTGCACCTGACTCCTGTGGTTCAGTCTGCAGCAGCGGCCGCTCAGAGTGCATCTGTTTTCGTCTCAAAACAATAACGTCCACTTGAAAATCAGCCTGAAAGAGAAGTATTCCGATGTAGAAGAAGTACTACCTTCTCACGTGAGTATGACACTACAGTTTGAGAAAGTCACGTCACCTCAGATCACGTCTTAGAACTGGCGGTGGGGAAACTATGGGTTAGGAGGAGCAGGGGTAAGTGTAATTGGTGTAATTTAGAGCTATTGCATGTTGGCCTACCGTGTTTGTTGGCCTAACGTTTTAACATAAATTAATATATGCATGAAGCACACAAAGATGTATCCTTTTAGTGAGTCCCTACAAACCTGACTTGTGCATAGACTTCTCATGATTATTGAAATTGGTGTTGTTCATTTTGACACAATATATAGTATCTTAATCTGGAAACACCCTAACCCTTAACCACAAACATTGCATAAGAATGGCGCGTATCATATTGCAACTATATTAATGGCATTGAAATATTTTAGCTGCATCATTAGACAAGAAGCCCCGACGGAAAATTGGAAGACGTCTGCAGGATTGAATAGAGATTATGAGCGTTTGAACCCCGGGGCCTAAACCTTGGTGGGGAAAGAAGCTGAGCCGATAACATTCTCCACTGCAGAAGGCGGAGATGGGGAGGAGGTGGGTTGCTGCACAAACAACAGCTTGACTCGAGGACTGAGAGGCTCTGTTTAAACAAAGTGATGCCGAGAGCGCAGGTGTGTGACTATGCAGCTGAGGCCTGACTCTGTATGGCAGGTGAGACCCAGTCTGTCTCCCAATCTGAATTTCTACTTGTGTTTTTCCTCCTCAAAGTCACTGTTGCGTTAATGTGGCTGTAACGTTCCAATAGGGCCTTGTATTTGTGCTATTGTTGTCAACTGGACAAGATAACTAGAATGGATTAGGGTTACATTATAAATACAAACTGTAGTGCAGATGAAAAGAAAGTACATTATTTTCTTGCTGATTGTTCGACATTACATACTGCTTACAGATGAAAAACTGATACTCGGTGCATCTTGGCTTTTTCCTGTGAGCAGAGCGTTGCAGAACATGTCCTGGGATTGCATTTCCTGATGTAAGCATTGTGGGCCGTGCGGTCACCGAGGGCTGTACGGCTTCTAGAGAGAGAAATATATGACAGAAATATAATGTTGTATTGTATTTTCATCTTTAATTAAGTGTATTTTACAAATCTTGGACTGGACTATTTTGGATGCAGATCTACATGAGACATGCCAGGTATTTCTTCTGTGTCATTGATATTATTGTTATTAGTATAAGCTTTAGGATTTGTTATCTGTCAAGGCGGGATGGAAGTTGAATTTATTGTTTGACCAGTGTTCGCCAAGCTACTAAAATTGAGATAATTTACTAGTCATTAATAGATATTTTTGCGATACAATATCACTTACTTTAAAATGTGAGTTATATAATTGGATGTGGAATGCTAGTTCCATTGTAAGCTCATCTGAAAATATGTCAAATGTGCAACATAATTACACATTATGACAAGTAATATTCAACCAGGTTTCCGTTTTGAATTACATCTTAAAGGAATATGTCACAAGAAGAAACAGTAGTAGCTTCAGTAGTTACTCCCAACACTGGCAGTAATATACATTCTTATTATACTGCTTTTGGGAAACATGTCTCTGGTCCTGGGAATATGTCTGTGGTTGAGAGAGCCAGCCCAGAGTATGGTTATCCATTTAAAGGGCGAGCGAGAGGGTAATTATAGGCTAAAAAGGTCTCTGTAGTGAGACATATTATTTAGAGCGAAGCTTGTGAAAGCAGAGACTCTCTATGATTGGTAAATCTGATGTCCCTCCTCTTGAGTGGAGCACACAGAGGATACAAATGCCTTGAACAGTGCGGACTATAAACCCATACGATACATTGACATCCACTCAATAAGGTAAATACAGTGATGGTATTATATACTTTATGGGGGTATGATTATGATATTTATCTCTGCTAAATATCATGTTTAAATTGCTGTTGTTTTTCACTTCCTCTAGGTGTCTGTTTCTGCCAAGACTTGGATATTGACTACATTTCTCACTTCAACTTCACATGCACCAGATGTGCAGCTAATCTACCATCCACCACCATTAAGCGGCTAAGCTTCAAGAGGAGGCCCAGAGGAGCCTCAGATCATGAAGAAACCAATGTTGCTTCGTCCAGTCAGTGGCATTCGGCTGATTCCCTTTCCAACAAAAGGGGCGCAAGAGAAGTGGCAACACAAGGACGTCCTCCACTTCCTCCTCCTCATTCTTCAACTGATAAGAAAACATCACGCAGTAAAACTAAACTGCTCGATACTGAGGCAACACAAAGTATGGGGGAAAAGGACAAACTGGATATTGAAGTGAAGAGTCCCCGTACTCCACCTCAACCCCTTCCTCGACGTAGACTGGCCAGCTTTGGGGGGCTGAGCAGTCCAGAGTCCTCTTCCATCTTCACTGGCCTTGGTGCATACAGCCAATTCAAGGGCGTTCAACATCCAGCAGCAACTGGAAATATCTCTGAGTGTTCAGGCTCCTCTCTGGGAAGCACTCAGTCCCTGAAAGTGAGTCCACACAGCTCAGGGAGAAGTACGCCAGTCACGGGCTCTGTGCAGCTGCTGAATGTCCGGGACCAGATGGTAGCAGCCTTACAGAAGTTGAAGGAGTTAGAAGAACAGGTTAAACTCATCCCTGCTTTAGAATTGAACATTTCAGAACTTCAAGAGGAAAAGAAGGTTCTGTCTGTTGAGCTAGAAAAGCACAGAAAGCAAGATCCAGATGCTCTTTGGAAAACCGATAAAGACAAGTGTGTTTTGTGTTGTGAGCATCAATGTAAAAGTAAAGGAAAAGAGATTACAACTGATCTTGGAAGTAACACAGAGAAAGATGACCTCCTTTCAATCCAACAAGAATTGATTTATTCTTTAAAAGAGAGAATATGTTATTTAGAAGCAGAGTTAAAAGAATCGGCTCTTCAAATAGAGATGAACCGATTGAAATTGGAACTACAAGCAGCAGAACAAAGACATTTGAAGAAGATGGACAAAGCCTCCAGTGCCGTGCCATCCACAGCAGACTCAAGTACAGAGGCAAGACCGTCGACAACGAATCAAGGAGTTGGAAATCATGTCAACGTCTGTGATGCTAGCACGGGAGAAGTGACACTAATGAAGAGCGTTGGAATATCGTGTTGTAGGATGAAGCTGCAAAACGTGCGTGCAGGCCCAGGGGTTCAGTGGGTGGTTCGAGAGATGGTCGAAACTGCAGATAAAAATACAGGTGTCGAGATTTTGACCACATCGCAAGGAGTTGGAACGTGTATAAAGCTTTGTGATACAGGAAGCAACACAGATAAACTTTGGTCAGACAATGATCAATGCGCGGACGAGGGCAATACGGCTTCTCCTGTGACAGTTTCTCAAGATACCAACACAGTAAGGAACTTGGTATCCCGATTTACGAACACCAAGCAGCCTTTCATCACAGACTCCATCACTAACACTGTGATTAAAAGCCAGGACAAGCATACGAATACTCCCGCAACAGTCACAAGAACTGTCTCTGTGGGAAGCCGGGTCCAAGACATCCAGCCTCCAACACAGACTCGTACAATCGGTGTGGGGACCTCTCACTACTATATAGACAGCGATCCACAGAACCCAAACTGCAAGCTAACTCGAGATGCCAGCGTGGGAATCATAAACATTCATGAGAACTTTCTTATTGGGATTAAAACTCGGAATATGGCGTCTGGACCGTCGCATTTACCAGATCCGTTCAAGACAAGAAGCGTTGGGGTTGGAGATGGGAGGATTTCGGAATCTCCAACCAAAGAAAGGTCAGAAGTTGCGGAAAACCAATCAATGAAAGACACTGAACTGAATTTCTACATTGAAGAGATGGAGAGGTTTCTCACAGAGCACAAGGACTTGCTCAAAGACGACACCAAGACAATTTCAAACCAACATGAATCTAGTCTAAGGAATGCCAGCCCCACCCAGAGCGGAAAAATAACTCAAGAAGGGAATGGAGGGGTGCTTTTGGATCCATCAGGTGGGCGTTCTTCAATCTTATCGTTTTTCCATTTTTCAAACATAACCCTATTTCAAACGTTTATTTTTCAGAGCCAACCAACCGAGAGTCCAGAGAGATGTGTCCAGAGGATGACAATTGCACTGGGGCCAAACCAAACGAGGTCAAAAGAATGATAAAAATGTTAGAGAAACAGACGTGGAACAGTCTGGAAGGTAAACAACGCATGAACATGTTGAACTGGCAAGAAATGTCAATTACATACAGGGTTTGAGGTTTGAGCTAAAATACAGCGCTTCCTTGACCACTCCCAACGACCAGTTTAAACTTAAAAGGAAGTGGCTGACCATTGGTTTAGCAGATTTGACTTTGGAGGGATGCAGTTGCAACGTTTGGAATGAGATTTGGTTTTGTGACCACAGAGAGGTTTGTGGGAGTGAAAGTGAATATAGTTTTGCAGATGTTTGACTCCACGGTGCTATTTCTGTAAAAAAAAAAAAAAGTATGTTACTCTTCTTTACTTTCAGACAAGGCAGCAAAAGACACAAACCCGTGGTCTGTATGTAAGAGAAAGAACACTGACCAAAGTTGCAGTACATCAAGAAGAAACATGCGGCTAATGGGGGTGACCACAAGGTAAGACGTGCAAATAAAAACATAACTTTTTCAATGATTTAATATTGTGATTATCTTTTAGATTAGATCCCATTTCATCAAATTTCATTGACGCTGTTGAGATGATGGGGAAAAACGATTCTGCAAATATAAAGAAAAACAAAGGGGGGAGAAATGACAAACTTTCCTCGAGAAAACTACTAAAAGCACCAGCAAAATATTCTAAACATGAAAGGTACAGCAGAGGGTTTTTATGCATGATATACAATTCTTGTCTAAACATCTATTCTCATTAGTTTCAGGGTCAAATTAAGTGAAAAATTTCAGATTGCTTGCCAGCAGCTCATGGTGCATCTCTCTGAAGATAAGGATAAAAGAACAAAGGATTTTGTAAGTTCTGTTTACTTTTTTACTCTAGCAAAAATAAGATCTTTTCCAGTCCATGCAGCGTATACTCTGTTTAACGACAGGACTTTTCTGGGTGCGGAGTCTATGCCACAATAGACAGGGCGGGTGCCAGAATAAGTTTCCTATTCTTGCATTATGACCAAAGAAATTACTGCTTCAACGACAAGCCCTAAACTTAAATACCCTGCATATGATTCTTATGTGTTGTTAATTGGATATATTTGCAACTTACAGTAAACACTTTTTGAAGAAAAAGTATGTAGCCTACAGTATATTTCAGAAGTGGAAGTATGTGGCCATACTTGCATGTGAAAGCCAGTTCCCATCAGACCCCTTAAGCTGTGTATGGCAGGGCCTGGTTAGTACTGTGATGGGAGACCTCTGGGAACACCAAGTGCTACAGTGCGTCGGCTGCTGCTGTCAAGTGCCAAACTGTCATTGTGCCTTTATGCAAGACACTTCACCCATATTGCCTAAAATGAGTCTGAAGTGTATGTGGTTGTTGAAGGGGCCGATGGTACAGACTGCTTGCCTCGCTACTGTCAGTATGCCCCAGGGCAGCTGTAGCAAAAATAGTAGTTTATCGCCACCATGTATGGAGTGAAAGAAAATGACATGTAAAACTTCCTTGAGTGTCCTGAAATGCGCTATATAAAACTGATGCATTATTTTTAATTGTATTCATGTATTCTTTTTGTATGTGGTAGAAAGAAACCATTCAAACGCTAAAACAAGAATGGTTTAACATAACGGGCCAGAGGAGTGCTGCCCCCGATGTGGTGAAGGATTACCTGTGTGCGCTACGGGAGGTTTCACCTGTCGTGCTGCAGCATGTGGTCAATATGACAGACGGCAACGGAAACACCGCGCTGCACTACTGCGTGTCACACTCCAACTTTAGTGTCGTCCGGAGATTACTCAACACAAGTAAAAAACAAAGATCCATTATGTGTACTTAGTGTGTACTTGCATATAGAAGACTTTCATAAAATTTTTGTATGCATGCCTTTATATCTATTTATTTTTCTGCATAACTTGTTTGTATCATATGCAAAGGCAAATTCCCAGTTGTGACTACCTGTTATTCACAATGGCAATACAAATAATTCTGATTCTGGTGTACTGGTACTGGTACTGGTAGTGGCACTGCATGGCCAACTAGGGGCAGATGATTGGGACAATGCTTCACAGACACAACATGATTTACGTGTTTGACTCGTGTCTGTTGTTCCAGATGTGTGCAGTGTAAATCAGCAGAATAAAGCAGGTTACACGCCCATAATGTTAGCGGCTCTCGCGGCTCTAGCGTCTCCAGAGGACATGATTGTGGTCAAGGAGCTCTTCTCTAAAGGAAATGTGAACGCCAAGGCCAGTCAGGTCAGTTAGACTTTTTATTTTTAACAGCACCTAAAAGCAACAGTGTGCAGATGTTTGAAGGTGGCATGATGTATGTATAAAGTATAACGTTAAAACCATTAGGAACATTCTACATTGACTAATAATCTTCAGGACAAAAAAGGAGGTCACAGAAAATCACAACAACAGTTGTCTCCGATTCGCCAACGCATACCAGAGAAACAGTTTGAACAAAGGAAATGCAATGATAACAAACACATAGGAGCCATTGGTCCATACAGGGATCACCACTGTCCAGATGCATCATGCATGTTATTAAAATATTATGGGAAGCGATAATAATGCATGTTTCTTTTTTATTCTCACCGCTTTGCAGGCCGGACAAACTGCTCTGATGCTCGCATCCAGTCATGGGAGTTTGGAGATGGTAAATGCTCTTCTGGAGCAGGGAGCAGAGGTCAATCTCCAGGACGACGAGGGCTCCACGGCTCTGATGTGCGCCAGTGAGCACGGACACCAAGACATCGTCAAACTCCTGCTGCAGCAGCCACACTGTGACGCCACCCTCACAGACGGCGTACGCTGACTCTTTAACTATGTTCTTAGAACATGTGTGATATTGTGTTAACATTAGCCCTTACCTCTGCCAAGGGGCTATGTAATCACCAGGGTTTGTTTGTCTGTCTGACTGTTGGTTAGCAACATAACTCAAAACGTTATAATCAAATTCAAAACAAGTTCATCTCAGAAACTGGACAAGGACCAAATTATTACATTTTGCAGGTAAACGAGATCACTGTCTGGATACAGGATGAGAATGGATGAGAACTGCTCTACGAGTGCTTTTCTAGTTTCCGGATTTCCAAAAGACATTTCACAAAACAATTTACAAATGACGGGTTTGATTTATTTAGAAATACAGTTTTAACACCATTTTATATTAGAAGAAAACTACTAAAGGTTTCAAAATCAGTTGTTGTTTTTTTTGTCTGATCCCCCCAAATCGAAATAACCCCATAGCAACGCCCTTAGAAACGAAAAAACTTCACAGCCCTTGGTGATTTCATTTGCGATCTGATATGTATGCAAACATTAGCATTAGCGCAACTTGTAAGCTGTACAACGATCACTGATTAAATGGCACTAAAGCAATGCACTGCTAACACAATATATAAGTAAAAGAATGCCATTAGTTTCGCGTCCGAATGTATTAATTTAAACAATAGAATACATTCTAATATTTAATTTTAATTTATTATACAGCTCCTCACAGCAGCAGCACTCCATTGACTTGAATCCAATTCTTCCGATAATTTTTTCTTGATAACATTGTAATTCAGGTGTGTAAAATACTGCCATTACTTTGCAAGTACAACAAGCTATCAGCGCTTGTCACTACATTGTGCAGTTTTTCTGCACACTTGTCTGTGTAGAGAAGCTAGCGGAGCTAGCCACGCTCAATAAACAAATACATATCAATCAATCAACGCCATTAAACGTTAATCGGACAATACAGTATACATATACATCCTTAACACACATGCACGGACGATTTCAGAATTTGCTGTCAACGTTTTCATGACAAAAATACTGTTTTCAAGTGACAAAAAGCGATCGCGAAAAACCCGGAAGTTACAATGAAACAGCTAGCTAGCTTAGCTGTTACCTGCCTAGCACGTCCCGGTGAAACCTTTGGGAGCTAACTATTTTATTTGCAGTCATTAAATACATTTCGAAGTGTAAGGGCTGTCTAATATTTGTTTAAATATATATATAGTTTTAATTTTAGAATTATATTCGAATTTTGAAGTCGAAGCCCTGGCGTTAAGCAGCGCTGTAGAGGCTAGAGGACGCAGGCTGTAGAGGCTAGAGGACGCAGGCTGTAGAGGCTAGAGGACGCAGGCTGTAGAGGCTAGAGGACGCAGGCTGTTCGCTGCTCGTTCTGTGAGTGGAGGAGAACGAGCGGGCCGCCCACTCGGACTCTACTCAGCACTTTTCACTGCTTGAATTTCATACACAGTGGAATCAATGACCTCAAGTTTTCAATTAAATTATATATTATGATACAACTTGTAAACTTGTATGTAGTAAAAGGCATTTTTATGAACTACTTAGAAAAAAAATCGGGTATAGCATCTTTAAGTGCTTAAACAACTACACTCTGGGTAGTAGTATATAAATACTTAGCCTCTTTTATGTCTCAAATTCTTAATATTTGGGATTTTTTTTTACTTTTTAAATACAAAATGTAGTCAAAAGTCTGCTCAATCAGCGGGCAGGAGCTTAAAGTTTGTATCTTAACCTAATGTTTGTTTATTATCCTTTAGGACGACAGCACAGCTCTGTCCATTGCTCTGGAAGGAGGTCATAAAGAGATTGCGGTGCTACTTTATGCTCATGCTAATTTCTCCAAAGGAAACTCTGGGGTATGTTGCATCTTTTATCTACTTTTCGATAAATTTCAGAAGATATATCTTAATTTAAAATGTTCTCTTATTTTACAGAATAGTTGTCCCGCTTCACCGTCGCCCCCAGGAAGAAGGAAATGTTTTGGAAAGTCTATTGTGCAGTAAACTTTCAAAAGTTTACAGCACGATAGACTTTCATTTATGTTGTTGGCTGTGAATGAGGATATAATGTTTACTGCATGCAATTATAAACATATAGACATTACAAATTAGATTATGATGACATGTAAACTGTCCTGGAAGTAAATCATAAATAAAGTATCTAGTTACTGTGGCACAGAAAGTAAAATCGATAATATGTTACAATAGAAATGCATTGGTTTGTTTATGGAAGAACGGTTGCTTTGAAATTTTAGTCTAAACTTAACAAATGGGCTACCACCATGCAGCCTAGAGGTCTCCCATCACTTTATTAACCAGGAATTTCCCAGCTCAGCTACAGATGTCTGCAAGGATATGGCTTTTACTGCAGGTGGCGCCAATTTTCACTAAGTGCTGGCAGTGAGCCAACTGACAGATCAAAATATTCTTGTTTGGGTCTTTCCCATGGAGGTTAGAATTAACCAAATAAGAAGTTGATCACTAGTGTCATTTGGAAACATAACCTAAATATCACAACATATTTTGTGTTTGATGCTTAGACGGTTCTTTTACTTAGACAAAACATCAAAGATGAATTGTTGAAAAGCAGAGAGAATTGACAGGTGTATAGGGAGCGAACTTTGGGGGAAACTCATCTTAAATAAAACTTCCATAATAAAAATTCCATTCAAGTTTTGTCTGGCAAAGTTTGTTTTATTTTTTTTCTTCTCGAGATGTGGGCCCTTCTGACAATACACTCCCACCCATTGTAAACCAGCCAGGCGTGCGCATATAAATCCTTCTCCTTATATATATATATATATATATATATATATATATATATATATATATATATATATATATATGTATTTTTTTTATTATTTTTTTACGAATGCATGATTTGTGTATGAAAGCATAATCTCTCCGTCTGGGCTGAGCGCTTCTGTGATCAGCTGATGAAGAGACTAGCAGCTCGCCTCTATATGCTGGATTGCTAATTCTCTCCTCCACCACTGCAGCTGATCAGGAGAGCCAGCCCCCGCGCAGCAGTCAGGTAAACACGGATCCATGGCTTCACCCTCACCCCCTCACATGCAGCATCAGCCCGGGCGTCTGAGGTCTAAACCGCGGGGAGGAGATGGATGCATGAGTGCATGTGTCTTATAATAGATCCAACAAAAAAAAGAAAAGAAAGGGGTTGTCCGGTCCGCGCGTTTAGCACAGGGGAAGAGAAGCGTCTGCACACGGGGCTGTGGAGGTGTGTGTGGCACATGAGGCTGGGGATGCTTGCCAGATTTGTCACTGAGAGAAAGAGCCAAGGTTTTTTTGTTGTTGGAAACACAAGGACAACATGCAGAGAGATGCGTGCGCCTGTGGGCAGCATCTGCAGCAGAAGAGCGGGATTTCCACCGCCAGCTCTTTTGTCGCCTCCCCAGTTTTTTTGTTTTCTACATGATGCACGCATTGGCTTTGCACGTTGTCTTGTCGCTCCAATATTCAGATCAGCCATGTTTGACATTATTAATGATTTAATCTTTGATTTGTGCAGGCCGTTTTTTGACAGAAGATCCACGTCTGCTGCAGCTGCATCTGTCATTGTTCGCTGCATCAGTGTTTGTGCACATTTGTCTCCATTTAAGCCTATTCTATTCTTTATTTATTTATTATTCCCTTTTTTTCCTTCTGCGGCTGTAGCGGCCGCTGCTCATGTTTCAGCCCTCAAGCTTGTCCTGCGTCTGTAGAAATACAACAATTTAGGATTTCTAACAGCACATTATTAAAGCTACAGAGGATTGAGTTGTCAGATTTTTATGTACACTTATTTCTTTTACTGTGACACTGAAAAATGAACAGGCTACTCCTTGATATATGTGTTATGTGTATGGCTATCCATTCATCCAGCTGCACTCATTTTCCAGACACGACTTTAAAAAGAAAATATCTCAACTAGCAAAAGTGACCTCTTTGTTCAATAATAATGTTTATTTTCTTATAAAAAGCGCAAAACACAGCCTAACAGCCTCAACAGCCTAAACACTTTTAGTCAGCTATGTTTGTGAAATTCAACTTATTTTTTCCTGCAGAAGAAATTGAATCTAAACAACTTTTCATGTTCTTATGTTGTTCAAACTTTCTGTTCTACCGACTGCAGTCAAACACTTTGGGGAAGTTCCGAGCACACTCATTCTTCCACATTCACAATAAGACCCCGAAGGCAAAGAAAGTAAATCATGATCATAAAGTAGTGGAGTTCAGCATATGTGATATTAAACATTATTTTATAAAATCCAAAAGAGTTTCCGTTTTTTAAAACTGCAGAAATAAAAAATACTTGAAACATCTCCCTGATTCTGTGCAGACATAAAGGTAAAGCTGTACTTTGGGACATTCTCCTTTAGGTTTTATGCCACTCTGTGTAATTGGAGCCAAAGGAACAATGTTTCCATGGAAACAAGAAAGAGATTGCCATCCTCAAAAGAGTCAGGTTCATGAGGCTGCAGTGAAACAAAATAAACTAAAACGCAGTTTAGTGCACATTCTGGTGAATGGTTTGATCAACAGGGCAGATTATCCTAAATAATTATCATTATAAGTAACTGAAGAAAGGGTATAAAATATAGGATTGCATGGGTTAGGGTTACTAACCCATGCCTGCCTCTTATTCAAAGTCATTTTTTTTGTTTGCATTTGTTGAAAATTATCTGAACTGAAATGAGGTTTTAAAGATAATCTGTAAAAAATAATAATAATTAAAGCCGCAAGCGGCGTCGAACGGCCCTCGCCGCACCGCGCGACTCCCTGCACCGCGCGCACTCCCCGCACCACGCCGCCCTGCACCACGCCGTCCCGCACCACGCCGTCCCGCACCACGCCGTCCCGCACCACGCCGTCCCGTACCAAGCCGCAACGCGCCGCTCCACAACGCCCCGCACTACGCCGCACCACACCGTACCACGCAGCACCGCTCAAAGGAGGTGGCGCCGCCGTGTGATGATTTGTTCCCGTAGTCATAGAAGATTGTTAGTCAAATTTGAATGAATATGATAAGTAGAGCTGGTTTGGCTCCCGATGTAAACTTTGGCTCAGTCTTTAGGGGGCGCTAATGGGCCAATTTCAAATATTTCACTTTCACCTGACCTAAACCCTGGAGTTGAACAATGGATTCAAGTTTAATGCAAATCAGACTTTGTTTGTGCAAACGGGAAAAAATTAATGTTGTCAAAAACGGCCAAAAAAACCCTCACATTTTGCCGCTTCGCTGCTCAAACAACGTTTCACTGATCAAAATTCCCTGAAGTCATTTTGAAGGTAAATGTGTTGAGATGATTTGGAACAATTTTGAGGCCAATCGGTGAAACGGCCGAGGAGGAGTCGCTTTCCAACCGACATGTATGAAAATGATTATTTTTCATTTTTCCATTTTGCAGTGAAATTTATGGGCTTTCTGTTTGTCAGAGGGCTTAGCCATAATAAAACAAGTTCAATGTCTTGACTTGAGGAACATGTGTTCCAAATTACATGGTTCTATGACAATTTTGACCTCGAACCCCTCCCATAGGCATTTTTAAATCGGCTGTTGTAGGTGGCGCTATAGAGCCAATTTCAAAATTTTAACTTTCAAATGACCTAGACCCAAGAGTTGAACCATGGATTTAAGTTTTGTGCAAATCAGACTTTGTTTGTCCAAACGGAAGCCATTTTTCTATTGTCAAAAACTGAAAAAAAATACGCCACTATTTGCCGCTCCGCTGCTCAAACAACGTTTCACTGATCATAAATCCCTGAGGTCATTTTGACGGTACATGTGTTGAGATGATGTGGAGCGATTTTGAGGCGAATAGGTGAAACGGCCGAGGCTAGTTTGATGTTTGTGTGAGGTGTACATTTGCAATGAATCTGGAGCGTTTGTCGTCGCCACGGCAACAGGGTAAAAAATAAGCCTTGGACCCTATTGACTTTTTGAATCAAGAGTGCAAAACAGATTTATGTGCAAAATTTCAAACATTTTGAAAAAACTAAATTTGAAAATGCCCATCTAAAACTTTGAAATAGTCTGTAGGGGGCGCTAATGTGTCAATGTGAATCATTTAACTTTCAAATGACCTAGACCCTAAAGTTGAACAATGTATTAAAGTTTTGTGCAAATCAGACTTTGTTTGTGCAAACGGGAGCAAATTTAATGTTGTCAAAAACGGCCAAAAAAAGGTCACATTTTGCCGCTCCGCTGCTCAAACAATGTTTCACTGATCAAAAATCCCTGAGGTCATTTTGAAGGTACATGTGTTGAGATGATGTGGAGCGATTTTGAGGCGAATCGGTGAAACGGCCGAGGAGGAGTCGCTTTCCAACCGACATGTATGAAAACTTTTGCTGTTCATTTTTCCATTTTGCAGTGAAATTTATGGGCTTCCTGTTTGTCAGAGGGCGGAGCCATAATAATATTTTTTTCATGTCTTGACTCAAGGAACATGTGTACCAAATCTCATGTTTCTACGACAAACTTGACCTCCAAAAAGTCCCATAGGGGTATTATTTTGGCTGTTGTAGGTGGCGCTGTTCTGGCATTTTTTGAGTCCCATAAAAATAAACACCAAAATATCAAATTTTTCGCCAGGTCTGATTTTTGGGCCAAAATTAACAACTTTTCATGCATGTTCAGGGGGTCAAATTAAGGCTCAAAGTGCAGAAGAAAAAAGAAAGAAAGAAATAAATTAAAGCCGCAAGCGGCGTCGAACGGCCCTCGCCGCACCGCGCGACTCCCTGGACCGCGCGCACTCCCCGCACCACGCCGCCCCCGCACCAAGCCGCCCCGCACCAAGCCGCCCTGCACCAAGCCGCCCTGCACCATGCCGTCCCGCACCACGCCGCCCCGCACCAAGCCGCAATGCGCCGCTCCACACCGTACCACGCAGCACCGCTAAAAGGAGGTGGCACCGCCGTGTGATGATTTGTTTCCGTAGCCATAGAAGAACTTAGTCAAATTGTAATGAATATGATAAGTAGAGCTGGTTTGGCTCCCCATG